TAAATAAACGAAAAGTGGTCAAAGTTACCCCGGGAGTCAAAGTTACCCCATTTTACGGTACTCACTAATATTAAATCAATAATAATAAGTTATGATCAATAATCTAATATTAAATATTACTTCTTTTGCTCAAATTCATTTCTTGCCTTCATGCCCAACAGCAGCGACTTCGTTTTCTCGTTTTCGTTGCTGTTTGCAAATAGCTACTAATTTCCCGATCTTAAATAATATTATATATACTGCTAAAAGCTTTTTGATGCATTTCATATCCATGTAGTACATTGTCACCTTATAGGACAAAAAATTCTGCTCAGTTCATGTAAGAAGTTGTTAAAAATGTATGACGTTTTCTACCCTTATTTTCCGTATGCTTTAAGCAGCTATATATCTCTGTGTCATAGATGCTCGCTCTCAGATTTTGTTCTGTGGAAGAAACAAATTTTCAAAATTTTAGACCAAGATTCATAATTATATACTACGACATGAACATTTTCAAGTCGTGTTATTTAAAGTGAAGACAGGAGTAGATTTTTAACACAATCTTGTATTGAAAAGGTTACCGGCTCACAGATATTTAATCCATTTATAGCTCACGCAAATATATTTTATTACTATATATATATATATATCACGAATTATACTCGTATCACGAATCGCATCGAACCGTTTTGTTCAAGTTTCAAGTTTGTTAGTTATGAGGTAGATGCTCTGTTATGTCGAACGAAACAATTTGAATTTTCTCAATAATTTAGACGCTCCGTCGCACTTTCAAGTTTCGAAGTTTCTCTATCGATGTTGGGTGATTGTCAAGTTGTCAACATGAACTAAATTGAACGAAATAATTTCATTTACTGCTTATCAAGAAGATTAGGCAATTCCATATTGATTTGCGTCGCACGAATTTGTATGAAAAAGTGTTTAGAACTGATTAATTTAGACAAGCAAATTACGGTGCATTTGTAGCATAGTTGACTACGGCCAATAATCAGTCGGGCCTTCCGTGTTTTCCTCTTACGGCTGCTACATCCATAGAATCAAAACCTATACATTACACAATTCCGTATTTTACTGCGATGGAGTTCGCAAGAAAAATGGAGTTCGATTAACTGGAGCCGGTTGTGCAAGTGAACAAAATGCGATTTTCGGTATCGATACGTGACTTTCAAAGTAATTTCCTACAATTCGCGGCGAGGAACAGTTTAGGCAACGCACCGTAGAATACAGACGAATTCTATTCATCGTTTCGAACGTGCATGAGGTTATGGCATGATCCACAGTAGCTGTAGATATGCTCATAAATATATTTTGAATGTTAGGTTACGATATGCTACACAGTAGCTGTAGATATGCTCATATATACAGTGGGGGGAAATAAATATTCGTACACTTGAAAAATCGTATTTTAATGTATGTAAGTACATCCATAAATATATTTAGAATGTTAGGTTATGATATGCTACACAGTAGCTGTAGGTATACCCATAAATATATTTAGAATGTTAGGTAGTGATATGGTGCACAGGAGGCATAGATATGCTCATACAAAAGAAGTTAGTATCAGAGGGCAGAATAAATAAATACATTCGAAACGTCGTTAATAAATTGATATTACTCCCTTGAACCTGCATTTTGATCAATTAATGTCATCTGAAGAATATTGTTCGACCCTGAAAATTTAAATTGACGAATTCTCTGGCCATTAACCACCCGTGTTCATACAAATGAGTAGATGATGCGCTGTACAAGCGAAGTGTTGTGCCGGGTGTCAGGTCTTATCTTGTTTGTTGGGGGGTCGTCTTCCGCTCACTGGTCACTGGTCAGCCTTGTCTGTGTGAGATAAAAAACCTCTAACTCTCTCACTAATTATATCGCCTTACTAGCAAGTGTTTTGGCATTGTCACGGCCAGCGGGATAAAGTTTTAGTATAAAACTAATACTGCGCTCCTACTTATTTCGCCTCACTAGCTAGTGTTGTGAAATTGTCACGGTCAGTGGATGAAGTTTAGTTTAGAACTAAAATTACGCTCCTACTTATATCTCCTCACTATAGTGTTTTGGCTTTGTCACGGCCAATGGGATGAAGTTTTAGTACTTCTATAGAACTGATATGTGATTATAAGTTCAGTGCTTCTCATGATATTTCATGTCGCCATTCTCATACACGAGTACGATTGAATTCAGATGTCTAATACAAGTAATACGAGCGTGTGTAATGAATCGTTGTTCATACAGACCTGGTGCCCTGTGTAGGCTCTCTGTCTTGACTAGTTAACACAAATCTGTGTAGCTCATCGTGCCTGCGATGGCACTATGAATACCGTAATAATAGTATCGTACTAGCTCAATGTGCTAAGAGAGCTATAAACATAACATAATTTATTTGAATGGCGGACGACACCGATGTGTGAATTAAAATATGCGTAATTACTCGGCTTTGTCGACGTTTTCTCTAAACTTTGCAATAAATATATGCGACTTTATTGAATAATATCACTATAATCTCTGTTATTATTCATTGTTACTTTGATCTTCTTGATTAAAATAAACGTACATGGTCTGGCACAGACATGCAGTTGACTTGAGATCGAGTATTTCTTGCGGGATCGATGGCAACAACGAAGAAATTCAATTTATTTCGTCAGAAATAAATTGAACTGCTCTACATAAAAGAGCCCCTAAAAAATTGAAAACGTTATTATTTTCAACAATAAGATAAAATAAAAAAACAGCACTCCTTCTCTCCGTGGAATTTGTTTAATCTAGCAGTAGACGATCACTGAAGCTGCATCTACATAGAATAGAATAGAAGTGTCGGCACCGAAGAAATAGGCCCATGGCCTGTTGCCGATTCTTGAATTTTTCGTGACTTGATTCACAAGGGATCCGGCCTTTGGAACCCGATCTTTCTATAGCTGACGATTGATTGAGATAGCTGCTGGACTTATTGCCTGGTCCGTAATTTGCTAGGCATTTTAAGACTGAACATATGCTCCAGCATAGCTTCGTCCGGACTTATTGCCTGGTCCGTAATTTGCTAGGCATTTTAAGACTGAACATGCGTCCTAAATCACCAGCGATACTACCCTTCGTAATGATCATAGTTACCGGCCAACCAACGCACACTTGCAATTTATTGACAATTCTATCGTATTTATTATCTCTCAATTTACAGGAATGTTATTTTTAGTTCATTAAAAATAACAGCTCGTCATACAGTGTCGGTTACTACTTATGAAAAATCTACTTTATCTGGATAGAGATGATATTGATACACTTCCTTGTATAGCGTAGAATTCTCGCAGGTTTACATGAAAAATTTACCATTATTGTTCCACGCAGGTCATTAATTTATTGCCGTTGTTTACATTGGATCTCACGGTACTGTGAACTGAGGTTATTACATTGCGTAAGATACCGTACTGTTACATTACTGTTACGTTACTGTTACATTACGTATTGCGTTACGTATGACACTTACGTACGTTACGTAAAATAAATTTCTTTCCTACGCGATTTATTAAATGACATGGCTAATTGACAAGCTAAGAAAACGCATGTACAGGAAAAGAAAGCATCTTGATTCTATTACTTTGTGCCGTCAAGGAACCATAGATAATCTGTGGATGTTAATTGTCATGAACTCAGCCTCAATCAAAAGGCGATGCTTTTTTTTGGAAATTATTATTCATGACCTGAAATGTAGCAGAAAGTCTACTTTATTATTCAATATTTATATTTACAGTAATATCTAATTAGTGATTAAATTCAATTATTATTTTTCAAGATTCATAAATTAGAAGTCCGTTGCAAAGACTACCTAGCGAAAATATGAATATTAACATTTTATCCGTTATTCCTGTTTACCACCTACAAGGCTTGCAACTTAATTGTATCGAACACAATCCCTGATTGAACCACAACTATAAATAACGATTAAATTCGCTTAATATTAAAACGAAAAATAAACTGCCTGACTACTCGATCATTTCTCCTGAGTTTCTCAGCCTATTTATCGCAGCTAAAATGTTACCTACAAATATTTTTCCTAATTTGCCAGTAATTAGCGGCAGAGAGGTGCTTGCATCGCTACAACAGGCGGCGTGGTGCTTGTCTGTTGGCTTTCCACGCTCTATCCTCAAAAAACAACCGGGGTCAAATTCAGGCGTCCAGTTTCCCGTGAAAAATAAAGCTGTGATTTGGAGCCCCGCGCTGTGGGGCTTCATCCTGTGCCACCGCCATTACCTCCACCATCACCACCAACACCACCACCACCAACACCACCACCATCCACCACCACCACCGCTGGGTTGCCCTGCTACACGCCATCCACCACCACCACCATCGCTCCGCTATCAGCGGGTGGAAGGCCCTGCGCTGTAATCGCTGCTGGTCACAAATGATGCTCGCGGTAATGTGGCGGTGTCGCCCCTACCTCTTCCTGTTGGTCGGACGCATGGTTTAGTCGACACAGTGGCACCTCCAGAGACGGAACTCCCCTCTTCTCTTCGGGAAAGTTTGCAATGTCAGTTTTCTTGTACTGAAAAAAAGAACTTATCGAAAAATTTCTGTTCATGCCTGGAAAAATGACTAACGGCAAGCCCGTCCGCTTCTTTTCGATAGTTTTTCAACGGGAATCGTGCATCTTCATTTGTATTCAACTCGATTTATGAACTTTTTCAATTTGCGCACATTAATCATAAAAATCTACTAAGCGCTAATAAACTGTGTATTTATTGAAAAATATTGACTGCACTATTAAATTGAAGTGCATTTATTTGCTCGCCGGCATTCGACGGCCGGTTGACGTCATTTTCCTTCGTAGGAAATTTATCACGACTGGACTAAAACGCATTTTATATTCATGCAGTCAAAATGGGTCTCTTTAAAGAAAAACGGAAGAAGCTACGAGTGCGGGAACCCAAGATGCTCCCGAAGGATCTTGGATCAACTAAGTTAGTCACTCCTGCAGGTGCAAACATAATGGCCGCAACTAAAGCAGATCTCCCAACTGAGGTTCGTGCCTCTATTATTTGTTCCTTATCACCCGTTGAAAAACGTTCACCACACACGCGGCACCACAATGGTGATGAACGCGAGGCTAGTGATGACGCTTCCATCCAAGCGGAGAACCACGAAAACGGGACACACAATCGCCGCGCGGCTGACGCTTTCGAAACCAACATTGATGTCATTTTTGCATCCGATCCTCCGACTGTTGTCCTCAGCATCAGCGCTGAGGATCTCGATTCTTCCAATTCGTCGTTACTGACCATTCCTCCTGCCCCAGAGTCGATGAAGAATAACATTTCATCGACTAATTCCTCATGTTGTCTAATCACGTCGGAAGCATCGCTTTGGAACGACTCCTGTAACTCGGCTGATGATGACAACCGGCATCATGTGTATACCCGCAGTTCAATTAATGTAAGCAAGCTCAAAAGTGAATCTTCCGATTGCATATCAGAGGAGTCCAGTGTTCTAATTGATGATGCCATAGAAATAATTGAAAAACACATGAGAAATGAAAAGCAACATGGGCTTAAATTTGGCACCGAGGAGCAGTTGTCGACATGGGCTTCGAATGCGAGCGTTGATAGCAGCTACCAACTCGTCGGTGACCATAAGACAAACTCGGACGTCAACTCCTGTCAAGAGCCTGATCCTTCTTACGCGTCATGCGTCAAAAACGAACCATGTGATCCGAATGACCCTATTTCTAACTTCGATGTTCAGAACTTCTCCGATCTCATAAGATTTAACCGGCCATCAATCATCCAAGAAATGCCTCAGAGTGATCTGTATGATTTTAAACTTCTTGACTCGAATACAAGTACTCAATGGACAGATCACTCGAATATGCGCTCCACTCCCTCGCACTCCTCTGACAGTATCCAGTACAGACCTTCAGTTATCTCGGACGTCTTAACGCCCGTGTCGAGCATTGCCGCAAGTTCTCATATTCTTGCGACGTCCGTGCAGTGCGACGGGTCATCAGTGTTGACACCTACCACGTGGAAGCCTCCAGGCGTTGAGAAAGACTTCGATGCTCAATATTTCGACCCTGCGTGGGATCCCTGGGACTATCAGGCATCGCAATTAGATCCTTATGATTACAGGTATAGTTATGTCATTAAATTTGTGCCATAATACAGGTTTAATTGTCGAACTTACGGCGCATACCATTAGATCCGTGCCATTACAGGTTTAATTGACGAACTTACGGCGCATACCATTAAATCTGTGCTATTACAGGTTTAATTGTCGAACCTGCTGCGCGCACCATTAGATCCGTGCCATTACAGGTTTAATTGCCGAACCTGCGGAGCATACATTAGATCCGTGCCATTACAGGTTTAATTGCCGAACCTGCGGAGCATACATTAGATCCGTGCCATTACAGGTTTAATTGTCGAACCTGCGGCGCACACCATTAGATCCTACGAATACAGGTATAATTGCTGCACTAGAAACGCCCATTTTCCATACGAGTCTTCGTATTATTTTTTCATCAATTACATAGTCTGTCCACCATCAATTACTCGTTTGTATGTCTATTTGCTTGTCATCCACCGAACTACTGCCATATTATATAACTGAGTTCACTACTAAGTGATCAGGACTCAACACAATCAATAAGTTCATTGTTAAAAATTCCTGTAACTTGTTGTACAAGACGAGTTTTGCAGAGGGAATAACTGCTTGAACAGTTCTTCACACTGACTTTGTAATTTTAATATGCAAAGCGCTTGTAATGTGTGCCGTTTTGCAATGGTACCTACCACATCATTTCTCAATAAAGAAAAATTTTTTTTCAAATTATCAATCATAACGAATACATAGATAGAGCGAATGCAGAGATGTATAACCAATGTCGATATATTATGAATGCAGTGACAAAGAACTATTTGGACAAGATCTCGCTCATTCCTATGAGTGATGGGCACAATGATCTGGTTACAATTGAAGGTCATGAAGGTAATTGTTCAATATACTGCTGAGTCACCAGCAGCTGCCCACATACTGATCTGTTGTGCATAGCGCCCTTGCTGGGTCATGATCACCTACACGGACAACCTTATGTAATCTGATCACCTCCTACACTCATCACCTCCTACACTCATCACCTCCTACACTCATCACCTCCTACACTCATCACCTCCTACACTCATCACCTCCTACACTCATCACCTCCTACACCAACAAATAGCCTATGGTATAAAAGTATAACCTACTAATCCCTACGTACGCCCGATAATGTGCCATTATTGTCACTTCTTCATTGAACTGCTGTGCAAGTTACTTTTGACTAATCTCAAAATATAATTTTTTTTTTCATAGCTCCGTATAGATCACGCGTGTGCTAATATTGTTTGAACTCCTAATTAATATCCATTTAACTGTTACAATCACGATTTAACTGTTGTGTAAAAACGATTTAAGTGTTGGGAGGCTAATTTGTTTTAAAATGTTGTGTAATTATTTTCAAACACTTATTTATCTCAAATTAAGCCTTGGTTCCCTTGCTAATCTATTGCACGTGTATTCTGATAGGCCCACCTGGAGACAGGCTATGTATAGGTCAATTGCGCTATCTTTATCAGTTAACGATGGCGTGGTAAGCAAGTGTGCAGCTCCTATAGTGACCGATACTTATCACTGTATCGCCCAGACTTTGGACAGTCTTCACTGAGCCGTTGACTGTGAGTGATGCTTGCTAGGGACTTGTGTCGCAAATAAATATTTATATATCAAATAAATCAATCAATAAGAAAGAGCTTCTGTCGCAAATAAATATTTATCAATCAAATTAAATATGAACCGATTAAATTTCTCGATTTTTTAACACCTACATTATTACAACACTAAAAGAAGCGAATATGAATAAGACGAAACAGGAGTGTTTCCCAGTTGTGTGCGTGGTGCCGTTCAAACGTTATTTTGATGTAGCCATGTTTTGATGTTCCTCAAAGTGTATCATCTTCCTTTCTGTGAACTTATCAATTAATTTTCATTTTGAAAAAACTTCTGTAAATTGTTTAACGAATGGATAATGAACACTGGACAAAGTAATTGCTTATAACAGTAATTTCATCCTTTATTTACGGATACATTGACCGTTGTCAATGCTATTCTTCTACTAAGGCCTGGGTCCCAGAGGTTCCGTCAGTGTTAAGCGAGTAACAACTTATTGGTGAAAAAAATTGATAAAAATTACTCTTAGCTTACAAAAGTTCATTATTATTGCGTTTATTTTTCATAAGTAATAACTTAATTTTGTTCGGTAGACGAAATCAATTTCCATGCCACGCGAGCTCGTAGACAAGCGGAAGGGGCGCCGGTGAGTGTAGCGATGCCATCAACAATCTCCGTGCATTCTGTTCTTACGTTCCAATTTTAGTTTAGTGTGATCTTCATCTTATATTCATTGTCGAGAGGGTCCACTTCTTCCGATATCTCGATGATGATCTACTTGTGCAGCAGATATGAGGCTATTCTAGCCTCGATTCCAGTCGTCAGCAACTATAACAAAATATGTTGTGCCTTTTACAATGTTGTCGTTATGACCATTTGTTCAACTTGTTACGTATTCGGTGGTAACTACACGTCTCTAATTTATGTACATTATTGTCATTTAGTGTGCATTACCCAACTATCCACATATTATTTCCATTAATGGAAAAATTTTGACTTACAGGCGCGATGTAGCAGCTGGTGGCCTGGCTGCCTGGACTCCATCGGCCACATGGAATGACAGGAGTGCTGGGAATGAAGGTATCGGAGAGGTGGCATCTACATCCATCAGCCTGCCATCTGCATCCATCAGTCTGCCATCTGCTCCTCAAACGTCTCCTCTGCAGCTACAGCTCCGACAGCATCTTTACGCCGCCAATCAATTTCTAGATGACACTTGCTATGACTTCAACTCTGACCACGCGCATCCTTGTTACTCCGGTAATCGGGAGTTTAGCTCCTACTCTCCGTGTCCCACTGAACGACCCCATTTGGACTCCTACGGGTACTTGTACCATGGAAGTCCTGCCCCGAACCCGCTCATAGTTTCGCCGCACCTTCATTTCGACACGTCGTCCAACTGTCTACGGTTGCCGGCGACTCAAGGCGACACGTCGTCCAACTGTCTACGGTTGCCGGCCACTCAAGTGCACCCCCGTATGGACCAGACAGGCGCGTCGCCCCCCGACGACGGGGAGCGCCCTAGGACGGACCAACAATCGGTCGACTCCAACCCGTCCGTTAGCGGGGCGAACTCCCCCTTCGGCAGCCCCGGTATGTCGGGTAAGTGGACAAACCCGACAACTTATAAAGCCTTTTTTAAATTAAGTTATTGAATTGAAATTAATAATGTTTCTAAAATTATTTTGTAGTAATTGGAAATTATTATCGTGCTGGCTATTACATGGGACTGCTAAATTCAACTCATTTTAATGCGGGTCCTGAAATTGAGTCATGTAACACATTCACCATTGATTTAAGAGTTCGTATGTTTCAGTCTAAATACGTATAGAAATGAAAGAATTATTAAAATATTAGTAGGTACTTATGTACAATAATTTTCATTAAAAACTTTTATATACAATACTTCTTTAGATATTTAATGTTCAATACATAAATAAATATTCGTCAAGACTTTCGAAATCTTTTTTCACTGGACGACTCTACACTTGGGCGACCGCTTATGTTCCCAGTAATTATGTATATGCCCCCTCTTGCACCTTCACATGGATAATTTATTTGCAATTATCTTGCTCGATAATGCATTATCTTGCTCCGCATTTATTAACCTGATCATGTGCTGTACGCTATCCCTATCTATTTATTATCCCCAAGCCACCCAGTTCACTGTAATTATCAAACATTTGCCATGATCCATCATCTGCGTGATGCGTGGGGATTGTTCGACGTGGATCTCGCCACGGCTATTGTAATGCAGCAAATAAGTTCTGCATTGATCTAACTGCCAGAAGAAACAATGATAAATATGAAAGGTTCATGCAACAATAATTGTGTGATTCTAGCCTCCTTGTGACGCTTGCCTCCTTGTGACGCTTGCCTCCTTGTGACGCTGGCCTCCTTGTGACGCTAGCCTCCTTGTGACGCTGGCCTCCTTGTGACGCTGGCCTCCTTGTGACGCTAGCCTCCTTGTGACGTGTGTGTGTGCTAGCCTCCTGTATGTATCGCAGGCAAGGGTCGCCTGGATCGCCTGTGTGGCGTGTGTGGCGACAAGGCGCTGGGTTATAACTTCAACGCTGTCACGTGCGAGTCCTGCAAGGCATTTTTCAGACGCAACGCACTCAAGAATAAGGTGCGTATACTTCGCGACATCTTGAATTCATACATTTTTCATTTAGTGTTAATTTTCCTTATAAATATTATTAATATTAACTGATCCTGCAAGGCTTTTTTCAGACGTAAGGGTACGCACACAGTGAAAGCAGGTTGCCAGCGTGCTGGTTACCTGCTCAGGCTGGCGCCTGTAACCATAGAATACAGAAGCCTATTCGTACAGGTTTTCACTGTGAACACTTACATTATTATCCTATGTTCATTCTTGTGGCAGGTTGGAGCAGGTTGCCCGCGCGGGCAAACCTGCTTTCACTGTGTGCGTACCCTAACGCTCTCAAGAATAAGATGCGTATACATCGCCGCCATCTTAACTTCATGCATGTTTCAATTAGTGTTAATTTTCCTCCTAACTATTATTACTTGCTAAGTTTCAATATGTAAGGTACCTATATCTGTGTTTCTATTTACGTCCATCAGATCCTTGGGTGGTTTTATTTACATTTCAGTTTACGTTTTCATTTCGCCTTAAATTAGCAGTTATGAGATACAGCTTCTGATGCTAAACACTTGAGCAGCAGCGAGGCTTGAAGACCGAGCTATCGGCCCACATTCATACATTTGGAGATAGTGTTACTATGTAGTTTATACATACCTAGAGTTTTATATAAATGCTTGGGAGTTTTATGTATACCTAAAGATTTTCTTAATTTTAATGTCACCTTCATGGAAGGTCTAGTTTGATGATATAAATTGTCTTGCTGTATCAGGAATAGGTAGGATTGGCGCTAGATAATTTTGATATCACCTGCGACTCCTGACGTTAAATACGAGGTTCCTTGCTAATCGTGATGTATGTTTTTGTTAGGTGTTATCTTATAAATTTTCTTTTTATTCCTACACGTGATTGTTTGTTGTTGTTTGTGTGTTGCGAATCACAAATTATTAATTAACTGCTATTAATGACATTTCAGAATCTAAAATGTCCGTTCCAAGACAACTGCTCCGTAGACACGGTCACCCGGCGCTTCTGCCAGAAGTGTCGTTTGCGCAAGTGCTTCGAAATTGGCATGAAAAAAGAATGGATCATGACCGACGAGGAAAAGTTCAAGAAGAAACAGAAAATAGAAGCCAATAAACTACGCAAACAGTTTGGCCATTCTATACCGAATCCCACGCTGACCACAAATGATGTTACCTCTCATCCATCGCCGGCAATTTCGCCGTTCCTTAAGGGCGATCTTTGCCCAAGCCCTTCGTCGTCTACTGCTTCTTCTGACCTCGCACAGACCCATCCAGACTTGCAGGGGCGCCAAAAATTATCTACTTACCAGGAAATAAATGATGTCTTGGGGCAAGCTCCCTCTCGTCCGAGAGCAGATGATGGAGCTGAGGGCGACTATCGCGACAGGACTGCAGCTGGAGCGACATCTATGATGACAAGTCCTGTTGTATTAGAACCTCTTGCTAATGAGAGTCCGAGCAAACCACAAGCGGTGGTCATAGGGATGGTCAGAGAGACCGATGTGACCGGAAGAACTTCTGCCAAGGTCCTGAGGCTAGATAATCAAACTGATGTCCACCACGAAATAAATAATTTGTACACAAATGAGGCTCACTCGTCTAACACATCGTCTACTCATATAGCCTCACTGGAAGCAGTTGGTAATTCTCATCAATTAAATGCTAATCTAAACAATCAGCAAGTATTTTACCAGTCCTTCCCTTCTATTCAGTCCAACCCTGAACAGGTAATAGAACTCAGTTCTCTTGTGTCAACTCCCAGCCCCGAGGTCACCGCCACCGATCCTTCAAGCATGACTGTAGGTCCCGCTTTACCTGTTGCTTTAGTTCCTCCTGTGCCTCATTTGATGTCAAGTGATGTCATAAACGACTTATCCTCAATTCCGCACACCACAGCTACGCCAAAAGTATCTCGACCTAATATCCAAACTGCCATTAATCCATCTGCACTGCAGTCTTCTCGAGCTTCCAGTTCATCTTCAAGTGAACCTTCATTCCCACCGCATCAGATCCTAACTTCTAGCGCACCTTTGCCTCCAGAAACTGGTAATTCTGCTCAAAATCCTGCCAGTTTACCGCTGCCTCTGTCAACTGTCAACTCGCCTCACAATCCTGCCAGTTTACCGTTGCCCCCGTCAACTGTCAACTCGCCTCACAATCCTGCCAGTTTACCGCTGCCTCTGTCAACTGTCAACTCGCCTCACAATCCTGCCAGTTTACCGCTGCCTCTGTCAACTGTCAACTCGCCTCACAATCCTGCCAGTTTACCGTTGCCCCCGTCAACTGTCAACTCGCCTCACAATCCTGCCAGTTTACCGCTGCCTCTGTCAACTGTCAACTCGCCTCACAGTCCTACTTGTTTACCGTCGTCTCTGTCACCTGGCAATTCTGCTCACAATCCTGCCAGTTTACCGCTGCCTCCGTCAACTGGCAACTCGCCTCACAATCCTACCAGTTTACCGTCGTCTCTGTCAACTGTCAACTCGCACTCTGATGTCACGGGAGCGGTCGCCGGTCTCGGAGGTTGCGAGGTGCGGGGTAGCGAAACTCGGACGTCGTCAGCAGGCAAGTTAACAATAATTATTTTGATTTTATGTACCTATGTGTATTTTTGCTTTTCAGCGCATTTTCTCATTTATGGAAATGTCCGTCTGTCTGTCATGTCCGTTTGTCTGTCTTTCCGTCTGTCTGTCCGCCTGTCCGTCCGTCTGTCCGTCCGTCTGTCTGTCCGCCTGTCCGTCCGCTGTCTGTCTGTCCGTCCGTCCGTCCGTCCGTCCGTCTGTCCGTCCGTCTGTCCGCCCGTCTATCCGTCCGTCTGTCCGTCCGTCCGCGACCACGTTTTTGTCGATGAGAAAATGCGCTCTCTGTCACTCACTGCAGTGAGTACTGAGTTATATTTTTTGTTTTCTTGGTGATCTCTTGGGTTATTTCCTTCATTCGTGTTTTATGTTTATGATCGTCTATATGTTGTTGCAATAGTTTGTTTTTATACATAGGGTTGAATTTTCTCTATTGTACAAGCCTCCGCACACGCGTTTAGTTTTGAAAGCATTCCATTTAATTCTGAATTCACCAAATCTTAGAAATAATTTCATTCACGATTTTTAAAATAAACGTAAATTTGGTTCAGGTCTGGGTTCGTTACTCATTCTTGTTGAATAAAATTTGTTCTGTAGAAATTCTTCATTGTATTTAGTACTTAAATGTTTGTTATACGAGCAGACTGCAGCACCAGCATGAAGCTGTCACAGCTGCTGCAAGCGCCCACATCAACAGTGAGTTATAGGCGGATTAAATTATGTCATATAGTTTTTTATTTGCTTATTCTACTCCATTTTGAGTCGAGCCCACATTAAAATATTTTACGGTTGCTTAGTGTTGTGAATAAAACTTAGTTCCCTCAACAGCGGCCGCTCCTCTGCTCTCGTCCTTCACGTCAGAGGCCAGAAAGCTTTTCGTTGTCACGTCCAACCCAAGACTTGTCCTCTCGATTCCCGATACCCGCACGTCTGGAAACGAATTCTCTTGTTGGGCCGGATTGTCTCGTTTCTGCTGGTCCAGATTCGGATTTTTCTCCTGACTCTGAACCTGGCCATCACTCCTGTAGAAATAACGGAAATATGATCCCGTCATCGCCTGCTCTGTTTGAAATTAAGCAAGAGGTTGGTAGTACGTTCGATAAAAATCATTCCCTGCAGATAATCTTGTGACGTTATTTGCCCAGTTCGCTCGATAAAACATTGAGAAAACTTTAACCCTTGAAAAATATTTATTCAACCCTAATATATTTATTCAACCCTAATATATTTATTCAACCCTAATTACTTCTTACCTAAACTAGCAATCACTAAAGCGTTTAAATAATCTAGAATCTTTGTTGCAGCCTGTAACGTCGAGCGGCATTACAGAAGCAGTACCTCTGCTAGACCAGCCCGCTTCTACCGTTTTGGATTCATCCTCGTGCACGACGCCGGGCATCAGCAGCTGCAACACGACGCACGGCAGCTGCAACACGACGCACGGCAGCTGCAACACGACACACGGCAGCTGCAACTCGACGCACGGCAGCTGCAACACGACACACGGCAGATGCAGTGACTGGAGCACCAGCAACGCAATGCTGGCCCCACTTAACAAAGTTCACACCGGCTGTAAACATCACGACAAAGTTACAGCCAATCCTAATCCCGCGTGTACCGAGAACTCGGCTGACAATTCAGGCACGTCTTCCGTGAATGTGGATACCTTTCCGAACTCGAGAGCCCCTGCCGGGAATATTGAAAGTCCAAAATCTGGTTCGTTATGTGCTGCAGCAGGCAGCTCGCAAGGACCTCCTGTGACCCAAGAGTCTTCCAAAATTACTCTCGTGAAGCCCGAAATTATCGAAGGCCACCCGAAATTATCGAAGGCCACACTCGTGAAGCCCGAAATTATCGAAGGGCCTCTTGACAGTTCGCAGGAACCTCCTACGAGCTCCGAGGACGCTACTTCGGCGCAGGATTTTGAGCCGTTCTGCGTGCTGGAGGCGCTGAAGAAAATACAAGTCCCCCAGGAGGACAGCGCTGACCATACGTGAGTCCCCCAGGAGGACAGCGTAGTCCCCCAGGAGGACAGTGTCCATACATAAAATAAGTCCCCCAGGAGGACAAATATAAGTCCCCCAAGAATAAGTCGCTATATCGCTGTCCCCCAGGAGGACAGCGCTGACCATACGTGAGAGTCACGTGGCAGTTACGGTGTTGGAAATGATGTTTCATGTTGACAAATTGCTTTTTCTTTTGCTGGATTATTTTTTGTTAGTCTCACCAAAGCGATGTCCGTTGCAATCTCGCCTACACAATGTCTTGTCTTTGCTCACCTAATCACCACTAGTCACCACCACCCATCACCACCACTAGTCACCACAACCCCTCATCACCCTCCTGTACACCACAGGACCACCAAGGGCGCTCCTGACGAGGCTGTGGACGACATCCTGAACAGCGCTGTGGCGGCAGAGTTCTCGCCCTACGCCCTCGTGTTCGGCGGCGCCCCCCAAGGCGCCCCGGGGGCGCTGACGCCCCCCGAGCGCCACAAGCTCGCTGAGCTGCAGCGCGCAGACACCGCCATGCTGGCGCCCCTCAGCGAGGACCAGGCCTACAAGATGGTCTGTAGGGGGGCGGTGGTTTGTAGGGGCCTACAAGATGGTCTGTAGGGGCAGGTGGTCTGTAGGGGCCTACAAGATGGTCTGTAGGGGCAGGTGGTCTGTAGGGGCCTACAAGATGGTCTGTAGGGGCAGGTGGTCTCTAGGGGCCTACAATATGGTCTGTAGGGGCGTGCGCTCATAGAAATCAACGGGACTTTGTCTAAATAGCGGTGCACTTCTTCCACTTTTGAGGGTCATCTTGATCCTGTTAGGCCCGATAAAAGAGGTGTAACATGGAGGAAGCGTGTCACTATTTGGACAATATACCCATTCTTTTCTCTGTGTGAGGATCCTGAAATTTATTAGTTAATCGCTTATAATATTCTCCCGGAAACAAAGTTTAGTTTCTCGATGGCTTGTTACTGAATTAACTTGCTCTAAATTACGTTTTGATTTAGTAACTCCTCGAAAATAAAATGTTGACGGTATTTTTTTCGTGGATATTTTTAGCAGCAAGACTTTACTGTAGATTAGGTTTTAATTTAATGAGTTAATGATGATTTATTAATTTAATAATAATAATTAATAATAATAAATAATAATTTAATGATTTAATAATGATTTATTGATTGAAGGCATTAAAACATATTTAATGCCTTCAAAATTAATCCATAAATCATAGTGCACGTGTCCTGTATGTTTTGTGTTCGGATATCAATAAAAGAATTTTTATGTCTGCAATATTGACTGATATTGATCGGCAGGACTAAGTAAATATAATTTAAATGTCAGGATCAAGTGAATATAATTTAAATATCATAATTAAATATATAATATAATGACGTATTATTATGAGCAGGACCAAATAAAGTATATTATTATGAGCAGGACCAAATAAAGTATATTATTATGAGCAGGACCAAATGAACTCGTCGCTGCTGACGGTGATCAACATGACGGACATCGCCATACGGCGGCTCATCCAAATGTCTAAGCAACTCGCCGGGTTCTCGGGCCTCTGCACCGACGACCAGATCGCGCTGCTCAAGGGCAGCTGCACAGAGATGATGATCCTGCGCTCCGTTACTGCTTATGATGAGGATAAGGAGGAGTGGAAGGTGGGGGAGTGGGTGGTGGTGGGGGAGTGGGTGGTGATCCTGCGCTCCGTTACTGCTTATGATGAGGACAAGGAGGAGTGGAAGGTGGGGGAGTGGGTGGTGGTAGAGGGGTGAAGAAGTGGTGGGGGAGTTGTGTCGTTTTTAATCTGCCCGCTCTAGGCACCAACAATCCTCATGTCTAATCCAGCTCATTTAGCCTGAAATTTGCTTTGATTTATTGCTGTTCTTTATTTTGTGCCACTATAAATAAAGGAAAAACATGTCTTATCCACCCCCCACTTTTTTAATGAACAATCCTCATGTCTAATTCGTCTCATTCCGCCTGATATTTGCAGTGTTTCAGCTGTTGTTGTCGTGCAGATCCGCAAATTGTTACGTGCAGATCCACAAATTGTTGCCGTGCAGATCCGCAAATTGTTGCGTGCAGATCCACAAATTGTTGCCGTGCAGATCCGCAAATTGTTGCCGTGCAGATCCACAAATTGTTGCCGTGCAGATCCGCAAATTGTTACGTGCAGATCCACAAATTGTTGCCGTGCAGATCCGCAAATTGTTGCCATGCAGATCCACAAATTGTCCATTGTTGCCTTGCAGATCCACAAATTGTTGCCGTACAGATCCACAAATTGTCCATTGTTGCCGTGCAGATCCACAAATTGTCCATTGTTGCCTTGCAGATCCACAAATTGTTGCCGTACAGATCCACAAATTGTCCATTGTGTCCGGCAGATCCCCGAGCACCGCGACACGTACAAGTCCATCAAGCTGAAGGTGATCAAGGAGGCGCCTGGCAACGTGCACGTCTACGAGGAACACAAGCGCTTCATCCTCGCCTTCAGGCCAGAGTGGCGGCATGACCAGAACATCATGCTGCTCCTCTCTGCCATCACGCTCTTCACGCCATCCCGCCCTAACGTCCTGCACCCCAAGGCCATCCAGCATGAGCAGGTCAGTTGTCCTGCACCCCAAGGCCATCCAGCACGAGCAGGTCAGTTGTCCTGCACCCCAAGGCCATCCAGCACGAGCAGGTCAGTCGTCCAGCATGAGCAGGTCAGTCGTCCTGCACCCCAAGGCCATCCAGCATGAGCAGGTCAGTCGTCCAGCATGAGCAGGTCAGTCGTCCTGCATGCATGAGCAGGTCAGTCGTCCTGCACCCCAAGGCCATCCGCATGAGCAGGTCAGTCGTCCAGCATGAGCAGGTCAGTCGCCCAGCATGAGCAGGTCAGTCGTCCAGCATGAGCAGGTCAGTCGTCCAGCATGAGCAGGTCAGTCGTCCAGCATGAGCAGGTCAGTCGCCCAGCATGAGCAGGTCAGTCGTCCAGCATGAGCAGGTCAGTCGTTCAGCATGAGCAGGTCAGTCGTCCAGCATGAGCAGGTCAGGTTATAGATTCCATCATCGCCAAGGTAGTGCTGCTATCTATCATCGATGTATAATTAAAATGATATTTACCCTGTTATGATCGCTATCATTGTGTGTGCAGTGCTGCTATCTATCATCGATGTAATAATAATAATAATATTCCTGCTGTTTTCGATCTCTTATCTGTATAGTTTTGCTGCCTATCATCGATATAATTAAAATGATATTTACCCTATTATGATCACTATCATTGTCTGTGCAGTGCTGCTATCTATCATCGATGTAATAATAATAATAATATTCCTGCTGTTATCGATCTCTTATCTGTATAGTTTTGCTGCCTATCATCGATATAATTAAAATGATGATCACACTGTTATCATCGGTATCATTGTCTGTGCAGTGCTGCTACCTGCTGCTGCTCAAGCGCTACCTGGAGACGAAGCTGGGCGTGTGTGAGAGCAGGGCGGTGTACTGGGACCTGCTGGAGCGCATCAACGACCTGCGTCGTCTCAACGAGAACCACGTCAAGCTCTACATGCAAGTCAACCCTGAGGAGGTCCGCCCTCTCTTGATAGAAATATTCGACCTGAAACAGCGGTAAAACTAGAAGAAATATTCGACCTCAAACAGCGGTAAAACTAGAAGAAATATTCGACCTCAAACAGCGGTGAAACTTGAAGAAATATTCGGCCTGAAACAGAGGTAAAACTAGTAGAAATATTCGACCTCAAACAGCGGTGAAACTTGTAGAAATATTCGACCTCTAACAGCGGTGAAACTTGTAGAAATATTCGACCTCTAACAGCGGTGAAACCCAGAAGTATTCGACCTGAGACGCGTTGACACTCGTGCCATATTCTGTCCAAGTTTCAATAGGTACGGTATCGGTTAATGTGCTCTTGTGCAATCTCGTAGTTCAGAATGTTACATTATTGTTGGATTTTATTTCTATAACAGAGCAGATTTACCCAGCACTATATTCGTGTTCTCGGTTAATAGCTTAGATTTATTTTAGTTCTGAATGCGGATAAGACACATCCGCTACCTCGGAAACTAAGGATGCTAGTCAGGGTTAGTATGCGAACGTCATAACAGTATAATATTGCACATTATTCAGATATACAGGACTTATAAGATCTTGCCAAGCATCTGAACTTTCTGTTCTCTATACGTCGTTGAAAAATCGACCGGATTGGAGGAATGATTTAATTTTGGATTTGGATCTCATTCCTGATTGATAAAAATGTGAATGATTTTCCTGTGCACTTTTTTGGTGCGCTTCTTTGGAAAGAAGACGAAAATTTGATGAAAGAGAAACACTGATTTATTTATGTATTCATATCTTAGTTTTTCACTAGAGGATCCTCACTAAGATCTTAGATTGATGTGATCCGCGCAACGAAAGATCATAGTTCTCTGGAAGTGTGTGACCGCAACAACTATTAATGTTTAGTTCGTACCATTTCTTTTAAGCGGCCATACCTCAATGAGATGAACGCTCTCTCAGTCTCTACTGTACATACTTTATTAAGAGTGTAAAAACTTGTTTACGTTTAACAATATCTTCTGCTTTCATTCTTTCTGTTTTCCAATACTCGTTTCTTCCGTTGTTTTTTAAATTTATATTATGAATGTTCGCAAATTTGTTGATTTCGATCCAATCAATAATCTTGGCATTTTCCAGAGTTGCTAATTATTATTCTCTAATAATTTTATCAGAATTGAGAGTAAATTGTTATGTAATAACATAATATTAATACATATTAACATTAACATAGTGATGTCGGCGCTGAAGTGTAGGCCTGATGTGGCCTGTCGCCGATTCTTTTCCTTTTCGTGCCTTGTTCACAGGAGATCTAAACTAAAAATATAAGCTTGTATATCGTTAATTTATAGCAGCCAGGCACCTGCACCCTGTTTCTTGATATTGCTGGGGGACTACGTCTTTCTACCACTTGATTCGGGTACTGCAAGTACATGTAATGGTTCAGTTCATTTAGCCTACCGAGATTTCACACGTACGTGTATTGGCAAATCACGTGTGTACAATTGCGTTGTGCTCTTATGCTCCTTTCCATCTCTAAAACAAGATTGATTAAATCTCGGATGCCTGCAAAACCTAATATGCGGAAAACTGTCAATCTAAATAGAAAGATTATTACGACAAAAATGATAATTACCAATTTGTTTAAATTGATGATATTCCCTGACAATATAACCCAGTTTATCGGGCAGAGGGAGTTCTCTTTTTCTGTCTTCTCCAAAATGATGAAATATTTTCATTTTATTTGATATATATGAAGTTTTGGCTCCAAACAAGTCTGTTTTATCATGAAAGTTGTTATAGGCTACGTGCTTACGAATCCTAAATGTGTTTGTGCAGGATTAAGACGATCGTCCTGTCGATATTCTTGTTGTGTTCTTTTCATAACATGTTCATGAAGTCTTAATATTTTGCATTGTTGTTTGTTCTTCTTTTTTAATCTCATGGCGAGCTGCAATTAGTTCTCATTGTTGCTAATTCGGCATCGGTGTAGACATTTCATGGGAACTTTTATGTTACTCTGAAGTATTTCCGAGAATTTTTATGGAGATTTATTTTGAAATTTCTTTACCCCATGTCTCTTTTGATGTGTTATTTTCCTCCAATGGAACGGAAATTACAATTTTATTTTGTTAATCAACATAAATCATGTAAATATTTCTATTTATACCATGTCTTAATCTTCAAGAGTGATACAGAGAAATCGCCCATAAGTATATTTTAAAAGAGCTCACTCCTAGATATCAGGAGGCCTCCTCTGAAGATTTCTTATCGTTCAGTTGTCTACCCATCGTGAACCAGCTGTGTTTTCTTTTCTTAAAATTTATATATTATATTTTTATTATCTTATTCAGTTATTTTTTTTATGTGTTCGCAGTATTTGACCTCTGGAGATTCAGAAGGAACATTTTATCTTTAGCGTCCGTACAGATTGTCGATCTGGTATCTGTTAGAATTTTTTTAGCATGAAGACTGAAATTCTCTTCAAATGTGAGATGCTAATGTACAAAACTGTGCAGATGTCGATACTATTACTGGTGTTTCGATACAATCAATTTATGATAACTAGTGCCTTGTGAGACATGAAGTCGAGATACATGATGCACATGATGCATGAAATACATGATGCAAGAGATACATGATGCAAGAGATACTTGATGCAAGAGATACTTGATGCAAGAGATACTTTATGCAAGAGATACATGATGCATAAGCTACACGATGCAAGAGATATTTGATGCAAGAGATAAATGATGCAATAGATACATGATGCAAGAGAGACTTGATGCAAGAGATACTTGATGCAAGAGATACATGATGCATGAGAGATACATGATGCAAGAGATATTTGATGCAAGAGATAAATGATGCAATAGATACATGATGCAAGAGAGACTTGATGCAAGAGATACTTGATGCAAGAGATACATGATGCATGAGAGATACTTACATGATGCATGAGAGATACTTGATGCAAGAGATACTTGATGCAAGAGATACATGATGCATGAGAGATACTTGATGCAAGAGATACATGATGCAAGAGATACATGATAAGATACATACACACTTGGCTGTTGGAGTCGGGACACAAATGTGATGGAAAAGTAGTGCCATGACACGGAGGTTTCCTAATTGAAGACGCTTCTTGTGAACAGTGATGTTACTTACATACCGAAATCAGGTACTATTTACTGTGGCATTATTTTAGGATTAGTCTGAAATGTGTAAGATTAAATATACGTTGCAAAATACAGGCTGGTTGATGAACCTCTGAAAAGTTGTTCATCAATTATTCTTATTCAGTGCAGCGCTCAAACTTCCATGCGATGCTATTTTAATTATCAATTATGTTGGTCGAAATATAGAATTAGTTTAAGACATCGAGTGCCATAAATAAGATTTTTTTTCTTGGTCATCACTGAGGCGAGAAGCCATGTTTACTTGTTAAGTAAATACAGACCTGGGGCCATACTTTCAAAACTCGCTAAGTGAACGTAAGTACTTACGCTCTATTTTCTTGTCTATGATTGGTGGATTTTGCTTGAAAGGCCGTCAATGATTGGCTGATGAACTTACGATCTCTTAACTGTTTTTAAAAGAGTGGCTTGAAAGGCCGTCAATGATTGGCTGATGAACTTACGATCTCTTATCCTTTCTTGAAAGTATAGGTCCAGCAGGAAACTTTCGTACTTGGGGTTAAGAGTTACCATTGATGTATTATTATAAGTGATCGAAGTTTGACACGGCATCTCGACTTTGTTAACTAATATGTGCTAATATTGGTGTGTGTGCCATTCAGAATTAACCTTGAATATTCAGCGTGTTTATTAGCATAGAGGCAATTACTGTAAGAAACTCGTTGCTTGTATAATCAATTTATTCTCAGTATATGTTTTTCACATTTTTGCCCTCTTTTAGTCGCCCGAGGTTATTTTTATGTATTGAAATCGTATAATTATTTTTTCATGTAATTCATGATGGGTCGTTCTCAACCCTGATCATCATAATGCGTCGTTCTCAACCCTGATCATCGTAATGCGTCGTTCTCAACCCTGATCATCGTAATGCGTCGCTCTCAACCCTGATCACCGTAATGCGTCGCTCTCAACCCTGATCATCGTAATGCGGCGCTCTCAACCCTGATCATCGTAATGCGTCGCTCTCAACCCTGATCATCGTAATGCGTCGCTCTCAACCCTGATCATCGTAATGCGTCGCTCTCAACCCTGATCAGGGGGGACTTCTGACGTGTGTCTGTGCTCGTCAGAAGTCCTATGGGATTTCGCGCTCCTAGGGGGATTGTTCCTGAGCGCCCCACCGCTGAGCTCGCGGTGTCTGACTGCAGGTCTCAGTTGTGGGGTTAAGTTATTATGTAGGTAGGATTCCTTACATTTTCCCTACGTTCATTACTTTGGGAGATATTCCTTATTAACTGAATTTGAAGAAGAACTTCACCGTAAGCTCTCGAGTGAAGAAGAATTTGAAAACTTTCTAATGCGCTTGAATACGAGCTACAGTACAGGTTTGTCTAATGCAAAGGTTCTCACTATAGGTTCTGGATCGTTTTCAGCAGTGTCCAAGAAATTTAATGATCTGCCTAATCGGGTCCGGAGAAGTGTCGATTCAGTTCTAATCTAGTAAGTTATTTCGACCTAATCGCTTCAATAAGTTCACGTATGAATTTCAATTCTAGTATGTTTAGTTTTTGGTAATTTTCAGGTAGTTGATTTTTGAGATTTTTATAGGTCGGGTGCTTATAATTTCGGATCGCACAGCCTCATTGCCAGTGATTCTATAAAATCGCACGACGCAAACACAAACGGAATCTTAGGGTAAATTGATGTAACAAGATGAATCAAATTTAATTTATTACCTGAAAAATATTTCTTGGATACTAATACCGGCTGCAAAAATATTCAAATTGTTCAAACGACATGGTAAATATATGAAAAATATTGAAACTAATACTGTTTTCAACATCGTCTCGTAAAAGGTGTTTCAAAATAAGATTTCGCTAATTCAGATTAAAATATTCGTAATATATTAGTTCGTATGGAAATCGAAAGCTCAAATATTAGTGACGCACCAGGAATTTCACATTCGGCGATTTTACTTGTTGAAGTTGCATCAGATTATAAAAGTAACAGAGTAAATGTCTACTAGCTAGTCACCTAGCATCATTTATATTTAACCATTATCATCATAATATTGTTTTCATCAATTTGAACAGTTTTATTTCTTGCTTATTATTTCAAAAGTTAACTCATGTTTTATTCACCTGCAAAACTAATATCAATTTGATAATTATTGTATCGCATTCACAGTAGTTTGCCGATCATTCTGAGGTCTTTCAATGATATATTATTTATGTAAGAAATAATCATATAATTATAGAAAGAAAACATAGTGTTTTTTATCGATTGATATGAAATTATTTGTAAATGAAGCTGTTGTTTTTATTCAGGTTTTTGTCTACTGCAAGGACATCTATCGGCATCATATGACCGAGAACTTCTTCGTCTAGTAGTGAAACGTGTGTCCTGTAGGAAGTCGGTAGTAGGTAGGCTAAATGAATTCGATTGTTTTTTATATATTTTTCAAAAGAGATCAAAATTGTTGTAGGTATTTTTTTACAGCATATTTTTATATAATTTCACTGGTACTTTCACTGTTAATTGTAAGGTTTGATTCAGTTTCAGAATTCCACTAAGAAAGAATAGTTCTAAGTCTTCTAACTTACAATTTATTCACCGTCAGGCGACAATTTAGTATTCACCGTCAGGCGTCAATCACTCAATGGCAGCGCCAAAGCTCTTCACTCGCCACTGAGTCACCAGCCTTATTAAAAACGATTAATTTTGTAAACATAACTGAGTAAACTGACTCTTGAGCCTCTATTTTCTAATACTATCGAACAAACATTCAACTTAACCCTATAAGCAATTGCCAATTGAACCATACAAATTGTAATTCTGTTTAGTGACCACTGACTGACCAGTATTCAATAATGAAGTTTTTTTGACAGATGGCTATCAAGGCAGGATTGGAGGTTTCTTATTACAAATCTTACTTAGCTACTTACTTTCTTATTCTTACTTAGAATCTTACATGTTACTGTTAGCCTGCAGTGTGGAATTCTGTATAGGTAATATATTCTCATGTCAATTTAAGAAAACGTATCGAAATACCAACCCTACCACCGTGTTACACCACCTTCCACTGCAATGAAAATTTATAAACTGAGCTCATTGGAAACTACGTAGTGAATTCGAACACGTGGATGTCGGCAATACGTATCAGTTAAATTTGAAGCGCTGACGCAATACAACTCACCACGTGTCGAATATTGCCACACAAAGTGACGGAATATTGGGATTTGGTAGGTTTCCATTCTAAAGGCTTTTTAATAAATATGGCAACATTTTGTGACGTTTTATCGTTGCTGACGCGTAGTGAAGTGTTTTGAGTCATGTGAAGGCAACAGAACTTACGTAACGCCTACGTTTTTTTTATAGTTTTTCATTTCTCGATGCATCCTTAATGTGTCGGAATATACCGCGTTTACCCTAAATGCCGTATATTGCGACACATTAAGGACTTAGCAAAAAATGAATGGCTATAAGTATAAAAAAATCACCGTATGCGCAACTCTAGTTCCGTTTGCGGTTTGCCTTACGTCACTCTCAAAACACCACACTACAAGCCAGCAACATGTCAATGAAACATCACTAAATGTTGCCATATTTATTTAGAAGCCTCTAGAATGCAAACCTACCAAATCCATATTATTCTGATGCTGTGTCTGACTAAATTTGGCAATCGGCATTTTGTGAGACTAATTCCGGCCGTGCTTCAAACTCTACTAGCTAATTCATAATTCCGACACTCTTGTGTGCGAATTCCGATTGCAGTGTGAGCTGTATTGGAATACGACACAGCTTGGAATTAGAACACCATTGAATATTGAACACTACTTATTACTTAATTACGCTTTTAGTTAAGAGCTATTAAGCTTTTAATTAAGAAAATTCTAATTTTTGCACACGGCTTGGAACGAGCTGTGTGAGCGTGTGTGTCTAATTCCAAGCTGTGTCGGAATTAGTTTTTATGTGTCTAAAACAGTCTCTTAACTTAATCATCTATTAATTTATTTACCATTTGAAATCAGCAAATACAAGTATACTTAAAGGATTCCTGATATATTCACAGACTTATTTAAAAGTCTCAAACCATAATAATATTCTTTCTACACAAACAGTTCATCACTATTTGGTAGAGCAAGGTCACCTATCAACTTTGACATATTTTTTGATGTTCTCACTGGGTGACGTGCATTGTCTCTCTTTGGATCTTAACATTTACCCGCCAGACAGCCCAGATCTAGTGTTTTGGCAATAGTATGGCACCGTGGCATGGCACGCAATAGTATGACGTCACTATTTCAACCATCAATGAATGCGTGGAACTAAGACAAAGCTTAATATAAAGGAAAAAAGTTGCTAAGTGTTGGAAATACCCACGATGTCGGAATATACCGCGTTTTCCCTATCACATCAATAATACTGTAATGTGTGGATATGCTAATATCATATCAGTAAAGGAAGAACAAACACAAATTGCAGAAAATGTCATTTATTCTATGCATACTCATCTACAATTTTAGACTACAAAGGAAGAGTAGGACTTTGAAGCACGGTTACTGTTAGTAATGGGCAGTTTAGGCACTAATGGATGAGCACTCTCTGCAACTGCATGCTTCAAATGTTTTAAAAGTAAGCCTTATTTCAAGTGTCTCACAGAGGTAATTCAGGACACTTTTTCTGCTTCTGGCACCTTACCAGTGGCGGGCACAGTTCCACTAATCCGCTAACCGCTAATTAGCGAAGCTAACTTTTTCCTTATCGGATTAGCTGTTCAGCTAACTTTGAAAACCTTTAGCGGACCAATTAGCTTCCGCTAAATTTAGTTCCGCTAACTGGCAGTCCGCTAAAAATGTTTTAAAATCTCTGATTTAATGCTAAGTATCTTAAGCCATGTGCCACGCCCACACTGACGGCTGACTACGTCATCAAGTGTTCGTAGGCCAATCACGTCTTATGTTACTGGCAGTAACACAAGACTGCAGTCCTCTGGTGGACGCAATGCTGGCAGGCATCACGAAAAGATTTGGGTCCCTCCTAGAAGACAAGGAGTGCCAGCTGGCAGCGGCCTTCCACCCTAAGTTTCGCCTGTTCTGGCTGGAAAAGCATAATCACAGCCATCTCAGCAGGGTACAGAAGGCCATGGAGACCGCCGTGGAGACAGCCTTGAGGGAGACCGTTGAGGAGGGCAGCAGCACCACCAGCAATGACGAGGATGGGGAAGATGACTTCTTCAGCAGCATTACTCAGCCCATGGAGTGCAGGAGGAGCCACGGGTCACTGAAGTCCAAGGCACAGAATTTGGTGAAGACCTGGCTGGAAAGCAGCTCGAAGGAGGAATTGACTGACGTTGCCTTCTTGGGCGAGCAGGTGTTGATGAACCTTTTTGTTAAGTACAACACAGCCATCCCATCCAGTGCTGCAGTTGAGCGCCTGTTTTCCATAGGCTAGGACATCTTGAGTGCCAAGAGAGCCACCCTGTCAGATGCCAACTTTGAGAGGCTGATGTTCATGAAGGGCAACAATCATCACCTCGAGGAGATGTAGGCGAAGGGCAAGCCAGAGTAAAAGGAGTGTGTAACCCTGGTGTAACCTTAATATTTCTTATTCATTTAATAAACTGTATGTTGAATGTCAACTACTGCCTAATTTCATTTGTTCATTTAATTATTTATGTTACGTACATCTTGATCATCATCTATCTGATCTTGGCATGCTACATCTTTTTGGAAAGCTCCTTTTCAAGGCTTAAAGTTCAGCTCTATATGCCTTTTTTCAGAGTTTCCCCCCCCCCCAAATTAAGCCAAATCTAAATTTATGTATTAAAAATTAGCGGTTAGCGGCAAATTCCGCTACATTTTTCGGTGATTTATCGGTTTAGCGTTATCGAAGCTAACTTTTCAGTTAGCGGATTAGCGGTTATCGAAGCTAACTTTTAGGTTAGCTGTGCCCACCACTGCACCTTACCCATAACTTTCTTCCATAATTCATCTGTTCTCATATAGGAATTTATTTTTGAACATTTTTGTTGATTAAATATTAAATTTTTATTTCCAGAACATAAAGTAAGCCTCATTCATATCCACAATGCCTCTCTCCTGTCGATTTTACTCCCAAAAGTATCCAAACATTGATGATGTTGTGATGGTGACAGTCCGCTCCATCGGGGAGCTTGGGGCTTATGTTCAACTCCTAGAATACAATAATATTGAGGGCATGATCTTGCTCTCTGAGCTGTCCAGGAGACGTATTCGCTCCATGAACAAACTTATCAGAGTCGGAAGAACAGAACCTCTTGTGGTCATCAGAGTAGATGAAGAAAAAGGTGAGTTCCTCCACTGTAAATTATTCGCTTTATTCTGGTAAACATGCCAATACTTTGCAAGGTCTATTTTTTGGAGAAAGTGAACTAATATGATGTGAGAACATGTTAGATGCTTTTTTTCATATCAGATTTTGATTTAGGAAGTCTTTTTCAATTTGTAGTTTTTTTTCAAGTTCAGAAATGTTTGAATGCTGTCAATGTTTGCATATCAAAATGAAATGCTTACCTGGGCTATAATAATAAAATGCATTATGCAGTCTTATTTCTAGTCGCTTGCATGTAATTTGTGATATAACATCGAGCATCTATGCTTCTAATTGCATTGTTCTCTCGGCAGGTTATATTGATCTTTCCAAGCGACGAGTGTCGGAGGAAGATGTTGTCAGGTGTACTGAGAGGTTTGCCAAGGCCAAGGCTGTTCAGAGCATTTTGAGACACACTGGCGAACTCTTAGGGTACAAAGATGATGAAGAATTTGAAGAACTTTACAAACAAACAGCATGGAAATTTGAAGCTAAATTTAAAGTTCAAGGAAGTGCATACCATGCCTTCAAACAAGCTGCTGTGTGAGTTCTGTCTTTTTTTCAGTAACTAAGATCATAGAAATTGAGATTTAGTTGCTTTATTTATTTCTTAAATGTATTTTTTATTGAAGTGAAAGTATTTCATTAAGAGTTTTTATGTATTGTGGAAAAATATGTTTAATTTTACATTAGTTCCTTTGTCTTCTATATCATTGCAAAAATTACTTCATTTGAATATAGATGTAAAATACTCAGCTCTTTCAATAAGCAAAATAATGACTAAGCTGTTAGATTTGTGCCAAAAAATTATTAATTACATTTGTACTTGAATTGCTAAATTTACAATCAAGATATGATTTGTGCTTTATTGATAAGGTGGTTGCAATGTGATCATTTTGTCTCTAAAATATTCTAACTGTTTCTTATTATCTCCCTAATGAAATTTTGTCTAGTGAAATCAACCCTTTCACCTCTTACCATTGGTGCCACCTAATCCCCATTTATCACAAATATAACTTGAATATGTAATAATTATCCAATTTAATCTCCCGATAAATTCAATATCTCTCTCCCATAACACAGAGATCACTCAGTTCTTGACGAATGCGAGTTGACAGAGGAGACAAAGCGAGTGCTGATATCACAAATTCAGAGCAAACTTCAGCCCCAGGCTGTGAAGGTGCGAGGAGACATTGAAGTTTACTGCTACGAGTATGAAGGCATTGATGCTGTCAAGACCGCTCTCAGAGAGGGCATCAAGGACTCTACAGAAGAGATACCCATCAAAATCAACTTGATCTCTCCCCCTCTTTACGGTGAGAATCATCATCTGTCTGGGATTCTTTTAAGTATAATTGTTGCAGTCACTGCCGCGGGTCAACTGCCATTTTGTTGAAGCTTGTTTCAACCTCAACATTTTCAGATATTTTTGGTAAATTTTTGTGTCTATAAGCTATCCTATAACCTGCATTATGACTATTAGCGGCCGCGAGTCAACTGCCATTTTGTTGTAGCTTGTATTTAGTATTAACCTCCCATTTTTTTACATATTTTTAGTAAATTTTTATGTCGATAACCTATCTTATTACCTTATAAACGGCAAACCTCTCTGACTTTCAAAGAGGCCAAATTGTTGGTGCCCGTATGGCAGGTACTAGTGTGACAAACTTCCTGAATGCTTGCCATTTCTAGAGGTAGGTACTGTCTATAAAGTTAAGTAATGACTGCTTTCGAAAGAGAAGGAAAAACGTCCTCAGCTAAGCTCAGGTCTGGCCGAAATCTGAAGTTGTCTGAGAGAGACTGCCGGTACTTAAATCGAATTTTGAGGGACAATCAAAAGACCACGGCTGTTGAAATTACTGCAGACCTCAATAGACACCTAAAAAACCCAGTCTCCATAAAAACGGTTTGCCGGGTGCTGCACAGATCTGAATTCTATGTGTTTGGAGTGGTGTAAAAACCTCCAGAATTGGTCCCTCAGAGTCGTTTAATCCCGACTGCATTCTCCCAACCGTAAAACATGGCGGGGGATCTGTCATGATCTGGGGTGCTATTGCTTGGAAATCCGGCGGACCATGGATTTCTCTTCATGGGAAAATCAACAGCCGTGACTATTTAGGAATTTTAGAGGACCAAATTCATCTAATGGTTCAAGCACCGTTACCGGAGAGGAACGTCATCTTTCAAGATGGTAATGCCCCAATCCACACAGCTGGAATTGTTAAAAAATGGCACGAGAAACATTCTTATGAAGTTTAGCATCTCGATTAGCCACTAAAATAACCAGATGTGAATATTATCGAGCATTTATGGTCAATTTTAGAGATGCAAGGCAGAAATCGATCCAGCCGCCATCGTCTTTAAAAGAGCTGGAGGGAGTTTTAAGTGAAGAATGGGTTAAAATTACTTTGAAAAATCAATACCTCGGAGAATTGAGGTTGTAATTGCCACCATACTAAAATATGTTTTGTTTATTTTTCAGGCGTTTTCATTATTTTGTCTAACCCCTGTATATACCTAGAGCATAATAAACAAAATCTATGGCTTTAGTTGGATTTATAAATTATAATCATTTCTGTTCTGATTTAATTTATACAATTCCTTCGTCTTCTTGTCTCTCATAACCTGTTTCTAGTTGAAAAATAAGTTTAATTTATTCTTACAAATTTATTCTCTCCGACTGTTAAACTGTCGCATGCTAATTTATTCTTTCAACCTGTTATGAAAAGAGTTTATTTCAAATTTACTGCATATGAACTCTTCGGTTGCACTCTACTTGTAAAAATTTACTTTCTGCAGTTTTAATCAGTATGATCATGGTATCTTTTTTGGCCTTAATTCATATTGAATGCTTATGCTGACGATGTAAGTATATTGCGTGAATGTGTTGAATCATATCTGATCTTTGTTTGCAGTTATAACGACGAACACAACGGAGAAGGAGCAAGGCGTACTGGTGTTGATGGATGCCATAAAGCACATAGAAAGCAAGATCAAGGAGTACGGTGGCGTGCTGAGCGTCAAGATGCCACCTAAGGTCGTCACTGACATCGAGGAGGCCGAGCTCGCCCGCAAGATCGAAGCTGCTGAGGATGCGCAGCGCGAGGTGGCAGGAGACGATGAGGAGGAAGACCAGGATATGGACGGCGATATTGCCGAAGTGGCTTAATAACTCAGAGTGACTGACGACTAAAATGCGTTGGGTGATAGTATGAGTAAATGGTATTATGGATTAAATGGCATAGGGACTCTGACTAGAATTGAGGTTAAGTAGGTAAATGACTAAATCTAGAGGACTGCCGGTGGCTAGGAAGCAGATGGTGACAGGCGCATCTTGAAACTTCAGTGGAGCATTTCTTACCTTGCGAGTGAACGGGACGGAACAACTGATAAATGAACTGTACGCGCTGCAAAATTATGCTTCTTACGCATTACACTCAAGTTTAAAAAATTTCTATCTTATAACTAAATTAAGACAGTATTACTGGTCACCAGGTGTTGTCAAATGATTGCTTGGTGAATATAGGAAATTTGTGCGAAGAACAATAGACCTCAATTTTGTTGAGAATCCTCGATTGACTATACTATTAAAGGCATTTAATCGTCAACTTGCTGTCACGACTATTCCTTGCAAAATTATGACCAACACAATTGAGTCATAGATCGCCTTACAATAGTGAATAGGCTTAAAAAGCAGTGAGCCTTTGACGGCTGGAAATACCAAGATATGCTCTGTATTATATAGTATCATGACTTAGCTGCTAATGTGTTCCGTAAGGATGCAAGTCTCCTTGGAGTTCTTTTGTTGAAAATGGCAAAACAGAACGCGATTAAAAATAAAATCATATTTTGCGAGATCATTCAATCGTAGGGTGAGCTTGGCCTGACGTAGAAAGAGATAATTGTCGATCTGGCTTTCGTAGTTCGATCCTGGTTCAATTTATTGTGCATTTTATCCCTCTCTACTCACTTAAATACTTTTTTCTTACATGCGAGGTCACTAGTTTGTTGAACAGAATGCTGTACTGTTCTACGGTCAACATTTTCAGAGGTTTTGACAAGCAAGTTCATTTGTTGGTGCTGTAGTAACTGCTCTGAAAATGTGCAAGTTAATTAATTGTTCTTAACATTATTGATTTCGCAGATCTATCCTTATCCATTTTCTACATTTATCACGTTTGAAATCAGTTGGGAGGTTTTTATGACCTATTTAAGGATTAAAGAGTTAATCAAACTCTTCTCATAAACCTTTCATACTACGAAAATATATACTTTTTTTCACGTTTTTGCCTTTGTGGCTGTTTCTCTTGTTCAACTGAATAAGCAATGAAAGTCATTATGATCGTGAAACTCGCATTTAGGATGATCGTGAAACTCTGATGATTAATTTTCTCACTTTCATACGCTTACTTGCCATTCAATATTGTTTGCTTTAACTTCTTGAACCATCACAGCTATTTGATAGGGTGAATATATCTATGCGTTAACCATCTACCGCCGTATGTCACTCTCCCTGGAACATAACTTTCAACTTTAATTACATGTAAACTATTGAGTGTAGTAACCCGATGACGTTTGTAAGCAAAAGACATTTGAAGTTGTCGTAACTTGGCGGCAACCATCATCGCAAGTCATTTTGCTATCACTCGAATGTATTCTTTTGCGGAAGTAGGCATGTGACAATATTGCTCCGGTTACTCATGTCAAGTGGTAGAGGGCTAAGGTCGTTTTAACGTTATGAGCAACAAACGAAAGGACTTCGGATTTTGCATTTCAGGGTTCTCAATCCAGATTCTCTGTATGAAATAGTTTTGCTGAACAAACCGCACTTTTCAAATTGTATCCTGCTGCTTACATACAATGAGCTTCTTTAAGCTGCCCATTTCCTCTTATAACTATCGCGTTTTTTCTTAACCATGATCATAAGAATGCCGTTCGTTGTATAACTATACGATTTCAAATCAGTGTGCGACAAATGCGAGACTTCTACCCTTTGCAAAATTTCTACGCAGAGCAGCGCTGTGGGTCTCGCATCGTTTCTGTTGGGGGTTGCAGTGTAGACAAAATGTTTCGTTGCTTAGGATGGTTAACGTAATCCACGGGGCGAGTAGTCGCGTCCAAATATTTGTGATGATCAATGTCTTCGGAGGCGAGTAGCTGGTGCATTGCAACCAAAACACTTCAGGTTGTTGTGAGCCAGTCGAGTAAGCCCAGTAACACCTTGGCCGCTGTAGTGTGCACGCCGGTGGCTGTACCAAAAACACTCTGCTCGTGTATAGGCTCTCAGCCGGCAAAACTGGTAATTCGAGGAATCGACGCGACTATTCGCCACGTGAATAAGCACCTTTAGTGTAGAAGGTCCACAAAACTTAGCCAGCGTCCACAAACACCAACTACCCCCCCCCCNCCCCCCCCCCGCTTCCGCCATCAGCTCGCCCCTTCAGAACTCAAGGATGAAGTCCCAAGTGGCTCAATACCCGTACACAGATTTACAAACCCCTTTAGACTCTCCTTTAATATCGCTTCCACCTGCCTTGGTCTCTTTTTTTTTCTCAGAGTAACCACAACCGAAATCCTTTCAGTATATCTTATTCTTGACGACAATGAGTGTTACGACTCTTGTCAACCCCTAGATGAAACATTAAATAAAGAAGTAGAAATTTTCAAAATTACATTGGGCGGGCTTGTATATGCAAATGAGCAAATCCAGTTGGTGCGGACTGCTTGGGATGCCGGGTCGCAGTGATGTTCTCTGTGGAGTGTGGACTGTGGACAGTGAGCTGTTACGTTCGACCGTTCGAGTTGCTGCACTGCACATAACGCATACGTCATAAGGTTGCTCATTGCTGTCAATTTGTTGAGCTCAGCAAGACTGGCAAAACTCAACAATTACCGTAGAGCCATTGAGGTTTGAGCTGCGCCTCTGCGGTGTCAACAGAAAAGGGAGCGCAGCCGTGCACCACCATCCACCAATTTTGTCTTTTGTGCACCAATAAGCCCTGAATCCAATGCCTTGGATCTCTCCGGACCTACACAAATCAGCTGTGAGTGGGTTAGAACTCAGAATGAGGTGGCAGTTCCATTTTGTTTTCATGTGCTAAAGCAGCTAAACTTTGGGTCTGGGTTAAGTTAGGCAGTTGTGAAAGGAAAGGTATTCCATTAGGATCAAAAGAGGAAAGTGATGAATTTTCATGACTGGTGTCTGGCACTGGTGGCGCCAATCACAGTCCACAAATTGACTAACAGTTAACAGTAAATTGCTGAAATTCCATGTGTACATAATCAGTTATAACTGTTTTGCGTGTCTGCCAGCAATTGTCAACTGTTTTCTGTTGGGTTGCCTGCCAAAAAGCGAAGACCACCATGGCCCTGGATGTAATGAACCATAATGATTCCTGCCTTCTGAAACGTAGCTTTCAACACTTCAAGCCGTCCGTATCTAAGCCGTGGGTCGAACCAGCCCTCTGTCAAACGGCCACTTGTCGAAGGACAATAAATTTTGGAACAGAACTATGCTATCTGAAACCTAACCTCAGATGCGGTGAACATAAAATTACATAATTAAACGATGCCTGGAAGTCATAGTATTCGATCCGCAGCCAGGTGGTGCACCGCAGGCATAGTCAATAGTGGCAAACCAGAGCTTTTTTGGAATCAGTTCATTTTTAATTTCCTCAAAAACTCAAGATTTAAACCAATTTCTTAAGTATGATAATGCTGGTATCCATGATACTTTACTGGTCTACTTATAGGACTCAAAAATGAACTTGAGGGAGAGTCTAAAAAACTCTCTGCTTTGCCACTATGCATGATACTTTACTGGTCTACTTATAGGACTCAAAAATGAACTTGAGGGAGAGTCTAAAAAATTCTCTGCTTTGTCACTATGACCGCAGGTGGTGGTCAAGGCCGGAAGAACCCATCAACCCAAAGCCGAGTGGTGCACGGCCAGGGTGGCCCAGTGTTTAAAGTTCAGAGTACCAAGATTGGTACAGACTACAGAGAGGCACAGGTTCAATCTCAGCTCTGTGCGCCAGTTTCTGGTCAGAATTGGCAAGGAGGCCGGGCGGTTAAGCACAGCAGAATTGTAGCAGTGAGTGGCAAGCTTGAGACCGCAAAATACTGTGAATCTTCTGTGATGTTAAGAATAGGTGACAGGCCTATGGACTACGGCCTACTAAACGCTGAAACCGCTATTATTATCATTATATAATTGATGATGTCTCTGACTATAATTACAGCAGGACAAACTCACAAAAGTACAGTGCTGAGCACTGAGCAGGCATGGAATATATCTACTTAGAGAGCCATAACTTATTTTTTTGAGCCGTGGTTTTATGGATTTGCCAGGATGCCAGCCGTGATTCCATTTCTTAGAGCCGTGATTAGATTTTTTGGGCTGTGATTTCCATATCTCAGCCATGAAAAGCCATTTACAAGGTGCAAGTTTATTTACAAAGTTCATGCATGTTTGATGTGTTATCCCAAATCTCTAATTTCACCCTAAAGCTGTCAAACGGCAACAATAACATTTGTCTTTACTATAAGCTGAACACATGTTAATGCAGTCTGATGTGACTGCACCAATGCATAATCTTCAACAAAACATTTAGGTTGACTTGTTTACATAAGGACAATTACGTTCTGCAGGATATTTTGATTGATCATCTGTCACACATTCTATCACTATGCAATGCAACCACTCAGATACCACCAATGCAAAAGAAACCATTACCAAACTTGCTGCCAAAGCCTTCAACCTCAACCCATCAGCTGAGACCTACTCAAGGGACACTAATCCTCTCTGCTTGGTGGTGCCAGATGCCTCAAACCCCTAAAATACTGAATCTCAGGCTGTAATAACAAATGACAATTCTGAGTAACTAAGTTTAAGATAGAAATCTACGCCTGTGTCATCAAAGGAAGTAGAAGCAAACCTTCCTCCATTGACCATTCACAGGAGTAAAATAATTTGTAAAAATTACCTCCAATTTATTCAGCTCTTATGTTGTCTGTTGTAGAATTGTTTCACATCAACCACCCTCAGGTTGTGCAATGTGGAACATCCCTGCTTACTTCTTTAGTGCCCAATGCCAACTCTATCTTCTCTTCCCTACAGAATTACAGATCACCATTCCGAGGTTACTCACATCTCTGATTTTTCCAGTGCCACCATGGTTTAACTTTAACACCAATAAATATCTACTAACAGGCTTCTTCTTTTCTCAGTATCATCTACCCTCCTTGCAGACTAATTCAGTTCAGTTCTCTCCGCGCCATAAGGCGCACAAGGCTTGGACGTCACTCCTCCACTGGGTCCGGTTTGCAGCTGCCTGCCGTGCTATGTTCCACGAGTTCCAGCCTGCTCGGTTTCTCTCCTCTTCCACCATTCGCCTCCAAGTTGTTTTTGGGCGTCCTCTCTTCCTCCTTCCTTCAGGTGCCCACCCGAGGGCCANAGGTGGCAAAACTCGCATAATCTTTCTCCATTATCATTCTGCATCCCCAGCCCATGCACGCCCATAGTCCTCTCGTACCCGCTGTTGTCACTTCCTACTTTAGCATTAAGGTCTCCCATGATGATAGTGATGTCATTCCTGTTGCATCCATCTAATGTTTCTTGTAATTCTTGGTAGAACTGTTCTTTCTCCTCTTCCTCCCTCTCGTTGTGAGGGGCATACACTTGAATTATAGTCACTCTTCTATATCTCGAGTAGAATCTTGCTGTTATTATCCTCTTGTTGACAGGTGTCCATTCCATGAGTGACTTCTCTGCCTGTTGACTTATCAATATAGCAACGCCTCCCTCGTGTAGTTCATCATCTCCGCTCTATATCAACGTCTGTCCTGTAGCCAACCTCGTCCTGCCTGCTCCTGCCCACCTGCACTCGCTGATCCCGAGCACATCCAGATGGTATCTTTTCATCTCGCTCGCGATCTGTGCTGCAGCTCCTCCCCTGTACATGGTTCTCACATTCCAGTGACCAATGGTAAAAATGTTTTTGGGTGTCACTAGAGATCTTGTCGGGCGTTGGGCTTCCCTAAGGCTTTGACCCATCGCCGTCATAGGGCCAATATTGACGACCTCTGTTTCACCCTGGTTTACTTGCAATATGCCGTCCGTTGTTTCTGTAACAAGATTGTTTTCTGGGAGTAGGTTGTTATCCTTCTGCCCAACCCCCAGGCTTGGAGGGCAGAAGGATACTACAGACTAATTACTCAACAAATATTCCTTTTCCTCAACAATATTCCTTTCACACTGCTGCTTCCACAGATGGATCTTGCATCCTTCAACCAGTCCCTTCAATGTCTGCAGCATTGCACTTCCCATCCAGAGGCATCCTCTTTAATTGGAAGCTTTGTCATGAGGTGGAGGTAGTGGAGTCAGAGCTGTTTGCAATACATGAGGCTCTTAAGTGGTTACTAACAAATGTTTTTCTTACTGAAAAACTTGTTATTTTTACTCACTCCCAGTCATCCATTTTATTGATCAAAAATAGAAGACCAGATAGTTACTTATGTTTAATTTCTGAAATCCAAACCAAACTAATGTTGCTACTTTCCTTGCATGAAATATTCCTACAGTACATCCCTGGGCACAAAGGCATCAGGGGCAATGAGGTGGTGGACCAGGCAGCAGCAGAAGCACATTCCTTGCTGTACCGCACCTTAACTGCCACCTCGTAGCTGGAACTGACCAGACAGTTGAATTTGAAGATTGTCACAATGGAACAGTTGTTGACTGAACAATATTAGAAATTCAGGGAAGAGCCACTTGATTAGCTTAATCAAGGGGGCAGTGGGCAATTGACCATGGGCCCTCATTAAGAACTGTGCTGTGGAGACTGCACTGGCCAGTCGGTGCACCAGTCACGCCGGAGTTGAAGCACACCTTGCTCGTTTCAACTTGGTTGACAGCCCCTTATGTCCTTGTGAGTCTTCAGAAACCATTCATCACCTGCTGCTAAATTTGTCATATTCATGCCCCTGCTCATACTAATCTTACTAGTAATTTAACCACACTTATGTTTCAGTCAATTTAAAGAATTGCTGAGAGGAGGCCCTTTTTCTGGTGTCACCCAGGATGCAATTGTTAATACAGTTGCCTCATGTTAAATTTCAACTAAGACTCTACAGACACTTTGCTGAAAAGTTGATTACTGCCGTAGTATCTTGTTACTCACTTTTTTAACCCTGAGTTTACTTAATGCATCCAAGACTTGTGGGAACCAAGAATCTAAATTTAAATTCCCTCCCCCACACTCAACTGTGTGCTTCTATTATGGAAAGACAATATAATGCATAAAATTTCTATTTTAGAAAGATGTTATATTATAATTCTATGCAGTTATTATAGAATTAGGGATATTTAGTTTAGTGAAGCAGGGACTGCCTGAAGCAGGGACTGTAAGGAGTGCTACTCTTCCCCCATTTTACACAGCTTTCCCTATTCTCCGTCATAATCCTGCCCACAGCAGATGGTGTTTTGAGTTGTTTTGCAGTCAGAGTAATTCTCTCTTGCTTTGGCTGTTGAGCCGAGAGAATCTCCAGGCCCCCAGGCTGGAGAATCTCCAAGCTCCCAGGCCCCTGGCCACCAGGCTGGACCTTCAGTTAACGTGACGATCTCATGTGTGGCGCAAGTTAGGCAGCATGGTTACAATGACTAATATGGGATTAAATATTGATTTGTTGAAATGAAAACCTGCCTGATAGCTGGCTGTAGTAGTAGCTGCCAATTTTGTATCCCATACCCATGTAGTTACTATAAGCACAAGCAGTTTAAACACTACTGTTATGTACACATGCAAAAATTTTCTGTTTCCTGTTTGTCTTTGTCTGTTGTGTTATTGTATTTTTTTCTTTTGTTTCAATTTTGTTTTTCTTTTGTTTCAATTTTTGTTCTTTTTCTATTTGTTTGCTAGTATTACTTTATTTATTTATTTTTTGTTTCAGATTTTCAGATTGTTATAGGACTAAATCAGTTTAGGCATCTAAAATCATTTTAGGCAAGAGACCAGTTTCCAGTGCTCTTATAAGAATAAAAAATAAGAAGAAGATACTATTATTACAATGGCCATAATATATGTTGATGTTTTTGAGGTCTAGTGATGCCTGACTAAGCTGGCTGAAGTTTAAGGAATTATTTCTGGTGACGTACTTAGTTTTTGGCCGTTACGGTGCTTATACACGGGGCGAGTAGTCGCGTCGATTTGTCGAGTCGACTCCAAATATTTGTGATGCTTAACGTCTTCGGAAGTGACTAGATGGTGCATTGCACCAAGAACACACGAGTGTGCCCCATACCGCCTTGGCCGCTGTAGTGTGCACAACTGTTGCTCTCTCTCTTGCTTGTGCCAAGTGACTTAAGTGATGTGAGTATGTCTTGTTCAAACGGCTGCTCTAAGAAGAACGTGAAGTGGAGTCCGGACGATATTGAATTGTTTTTGGAGACTTTCCAAAAGTATGAATTACTTTGGAATGTACGTCATAAGGACTATTCCAACAAAACTAAGCGAGAGACTAGTCATGGAAAACTAAAGGAAGACCTTATTTGTCAAGGTTTGATCGTTCCTGATGTTACATTTTTAAGGGCAAGAATTAGAAACATAAGATCAACCTACAAAGTCGAATTAACAAAGGTGATCTCTTCAAAATCAAGCGGAGCTGGGACGGACGTTTATACGCCAAAGCTACTGTGGTTCAAAACGGCCGATTCATTTCTGAACGACGTAGTTGTCCCGCGAAAATCTCAGTCTAATCAGGTAAGTGAACCTATTCCAAATAAGTAACAAAGACCTAGTTACAGAAAATTTGCAACAAATTATGTTTGATAATTTCAGAAAAGTTAACCCCTTTATTCCACAGCTCACTGACTTTTTTAGCCTAAAATAAATTTCCTTGTGTACTTCACGCAACAGCCAAACTAGTTAATCAGCGTGTTATAAATGTCTCAACCGCGTAAGTGAAAAGTTCTTGTAGTTAATTCAATATTCCAATAATTTATACATTTTTTATTTCAGCACTTGACTTCTAGCATTCTTTTCCAAGTTCATTGAAAATCAAACGGCTTTCGTAACGTGATACTAAAATCCTCATTATAAATCTTCCAAAATACAATAAGTCAATCAAATCGACTGCAAGAAATGCACACAATCAATTAACTATCTATAAAAAATTTTGAACTCGAGCGGACATTTTAAGTGATAATTCTTTATTACATTTAAATTATTTTAGGATTGATCAGAGAATTTATAATACATCATTATTCTTCTACTAAGCATTTATCGTGGCGTCTGGTTCAAACGAACTTCGAGGGCACGTTACGCATAACATTGATAGCAATCGAATAATAAATAGACTCAAGAAAGGATGGGAACGGATAAAATGACTAAGCACAAGACTCATACGCTCTACGAAATATTTCCGTCTTTAGGCGTCGACGAAACTCCTGCAGCAAAGGAACCGAAGTTACAGAAGCCGGCAGACGGTTTACAGGTTCTGGCGGCGGCAACCGGAAACGCTCTGTCGCCAACGGGGGACGCCTGTCGGAGACCACCACATGCCGTGCTTCGAATGGATTTTCATGATCCCTTCCCTCAAGAACATAGCCTATGACACTTCTTGACTGCAACATTATTAGCCGCAAGCCACCAGACAGATCATATCCGTTGAATTAGATCAATCAGCCCACAGAAAAATAGCCTGACGTAAAAGGGCCCAGCATCGTCTGCCAATGCGCAAAAAATTTTACACCACCTGGACGTCGCGCGCCGGAGCCGTCCGTATCTGTCTCACGTGTCGAATCAGCCTACGGTCGAACGGCCACGCGTCGTAGGACGATAAATTTTGGAACAGAACTATGTTATCTGAAACCTAACCCCCAAATGCTGTGAGCTAAAAATTACGTAAGTTAGCAAAGCTTCGGAAGTCACTCGTCGACGGACGATAGATTTTGGAACAGAACTTTGCTTTCTGAAACCTAACCCCGGATGTTGTGAGCTAAAAGTGACCGTCTTGTGGTGCACGGCAGGATGCATGCAGTTCCACAGGCGACCTGGGCAGGTACTTTCAAAACATTGCTAAGTGCTCGTAGCGGCTTAAGTGCAGCGTAAGTCCGCTAAGTGCTCGTAACTTCAAATAATGGTACCTTCAAAACATTTTGCAGTACGTTACGAGCACGTAACTTTGCGCCGATTGAAAGGTCGCGTAAGTGGAGGACGAGCAACTTTTGAGTGAACGAAGCGATTGGTAATCATTTAGTTACTAGTATCTAGTCTCTAATAGTGTCTGGACTAGTGTATCATATTAGTGTCTAGACTTTAGTATCATTTTAAGGTAAATCCTCTAATTTTGATTTAGAAAAATATCCTTATTCGATATTAAGAAAATTTTATTAGTCATGCATCAAATGAATTTTTTCTTAGTATATGTCAACAGAAAACGAATCTGACGGGTGAAGCTAAAAAATGAACTTACTAAAATTCTATTATTCTCGTTGTTCATTATGTCATATTAATCACTAAATAACAGTTTGCTATCTTAAAACGGCATTTGTCATCAAAATATTAGATTAAAAGAGTCTAGAATTCTTTAAAAAGAGACAAAATTTTTAAATAACTGAACACAGAAGCATGGCGTCATGTGGCGTCATGTGACTCATGATGTAAACAAAGGATGTAAGCGAGTTTGTGATTGACTGACATGCAACATGGTTTGAAGGTACGGTCTTAGCTAAGTCGGTCGTACGAAAGTTTTGAAGGTGTCAAAAAACGCTGATCGTACGCTAGACGTATCTTCTTGAGCTTAAGTTCAAGAATTTACGTCCACTTGGCAATGTTTGAAAGTACCTGCCCAGGTTGGTCGCAGTCCGTTGTCCGCAAGTTACAGTTCGAGCTTAAGTCAGGGTATGAAGTGATGATTCCATGCAACGTTCAGTGGTGCATAACCCTTACTCTCTGGGCTATTTGCTTCAGAATGTGGTAGAGTAAAGCTCCTAATATTTAAAGCAAGATGATGTCACGGGCTGGTTACCGACGGATGGCTTAATCCGCGGCTTATTGGTGGTCATCAGGAAAGGGTGGATAGCTAGAGGTCAGCATAGCCCAAGTCCACAGTGCTATTCATATACCTTCCCGAGCGTAACGCAGCCGGGCATCTTCACAGCTTTTGACACAAAGCGCCCACCAGAACAGCGCCGTTCGGTCACAGGCCGGATCCCAACTGGCCGGAGCGCAGCATGCCTTACCGCAACAGCTACTCCTAACGTAACGTAACCTAACCTGCAATCGTCTTCTAGAAGGCAGATCCGACACGCGCTGCAGACATGGGATCGTCAGAACAGCGAACTTGAACTGCGTGCGCTGCTGGGTCGCCTGCCGAAGACCATCATTGTCTTATATGTAATGGAACATCATGATTCCTGCCTTCCGGAACGTAGCCTTCAACACTTCTGGACAATTATATCACTGCAGTTTATTAAGTGCCATTGGTCGGAAGTCCATAAAGTGTGGCATTACCATAGTCCAATCTGGTCAGAACGAGCGCTACGTATAGAACTTGCGCTACGGGCCTCGAGGACCGGCCTCGAAAGACAGCGACTGATGCCACGTATTCGTCTCAGAGCGCCAAAACAAGCGGTGGTGACTTTGGCAATGTGATTGTTCATAGAAAGTTCCGATTGCAGCAGAATGAATGCCCAGGTTGCAAACTGCGGACGCATGCACGACAAACTCGTAGCCCACGCGAACAGGGTTAGCCGGAAGCTGATGCTGGTGCCGAGCAGTCGCAAACCAAATTAAGTCGGTTTTTTGCTGCATTGAGCTGAACCCGGTTGGAGCGCATCCAGTCTGAGACGGCGTCCATGCAGACAGACATTCGATCCTGCAAAGCTGCAGCAACAGCCGGTGCACAGTAGACATAAACAGGGTTGCCAGATGGCTTTAAAAGTGGCTAAGTCCGCGAACAAAAAAAGGCCTATAACTCAATATGTACTAGTATATTTGTAAGTTCCAATGTAAAAATTTCATTTATTGCAGTTTTTACCATTCAATTAGGGATCGCCCTTATCATAAATTTTAGCCGGCCAACGCAGTTGACAAATACTAAATCGCGGAATTTGTCCGGAAAAAAGACCGTCTGGCAACCCTGGCCACAAATTTGGGTGACGTCGGCGAACATATGCGGATTCAAACTACATTATTCGATTATATGTGTGGCGGCTTCCATACACCCGAGTTACTGTCACCGCCATAAAGAGAACTAGAACACGCAATTTCGCTAAGTCTTACTATTTCAAATTTGTCCGTTGTCACTATCTCAGCCTTGTACCTCAAGTTAGTACCTATGTCATACGCCGTTGTCCACATTCGGGACCACGTAAGTCGTTATCTTCAAGGCCGGAATATCTGCTACTTTGTTGTTACGACTCCTAATTTTATTACAAGAAAAATTCGTCATTATTAGGTATCGAATATTGTACTTTTTTGTAATAAGATTTTCTTTGTCGTTTCAGTTTACAAGATATAAGGAAAGGAAAGAACCTCTCGTGTATCTCATTTTTCGATACTTCGTTATCTGCCCGACAGCGCGTTAACAATGAACGGCTCGCTCGGAACAATATGCAATATGTCGACAGTATATTACTGAAAGATGATCGGGCCGAGAACTGATCCCCGTGGCACGGCACAATTGACTAATGATGGCCTACAAGGGTTCCAACGTTGAACGCATTGGAATCAGTTGTTGAGATGCATCGGACTCAAAGCACAACAGCACTGTACCGCGCAGGCCGAATTATTCGTCAAGTGGGCGCAATAAGGTAGCGTGGTCGAACGCCCCAAACGCGACCTACAGGTCGAGTAAAGCTAGTGCCGTAATGTCGTCGCGGTCTACTGCTCGCAGAATGTCTGAAATCACCTTCAGCACAGCGGTTTCCGTCGAGTGGAGATGACGGTATGAAGACTGGAGGCGAGGCACGAGACCGGAGTGCTGAAGAATGTTGTTCAGCTGTCGGGCCACAACTTGTTCCCGGAGTTTCGACAAAACCGACAGGTTGGAGATGATATGATTTGGGATCGGAAGCGTCAAGCTCTGGTTTTTTACATAAAGCGTAATGTAAGCTGATTGGAAGTTCATCGGAACCACACCGTCAGTGAAGCAGAGGTTGAAAAGTTCGACCAGAAAATGTGCTAGGGTTACAACAATTCCCTTAAGTAACGACGTCGGCAGAGGATCGCTGGCACACTGCTTGTTAGGCAGCACGGGCACTGCAGCGATGATGTCGTCAGCTGCGACGCGAGCGAATTCTTGGAGTACGCAGTCGAAGGGGCACTACGCAAATGCTGCCGGCGGAGCATCGGCCGACGTTGCTTGCACAGCAGGAGTTTTGTTTTCAAAAAACCGCATGGAATTCCTCCACGCTTACGTCACCCGAAGCCTCAGTATGACCTCTTGTCAAGATTTTGTCTAGCTAACGCCACAGCGCTCGAAGATCGCTGGGTTGAACGTCGACTCCTGGCGCCAAAATAACTTTATTTTAGAACAAAGAAGAGCGTGCGTTGGTAAGGTCACATGACAAACCATGCCAAAGGTGGCCAGAATGTCGTTCAGCTGTCGAGCCGATGGGTGGCAAACCGAGCCAGCGTCGTGCCAAGTCTCGGTCATGAAGACGACATCGAGTGCGTGGGAGTGACAAATGTGAAGGAACTCGTCAACCTTGTTATTCAGCAAACGGATGTTGAGGCAGCCGAAAGATAACTGGCGGCACGGCTGCGCACAGTGGCGATCAACATGAACGCTAAGCAGGTTTTGAGGACTACAGGTCGACATAGGCCGATACTCAGCAGCAGCATCCGCAGACGTTGAGTTATTCGCAAATGATTTCAACCGTAGCAACGGCCTATTGCCAGTGATAACGAACACACCGTTGTCGCGCTCTGCTCGATAGGTGGCAGCAGGACGCCTATTTCGGCCACCCGGCATCCACGATAATACATGCGAGGCGTGGGTGACATTGCGAAGAGTAAATCTACTTTCTCAGAGACGGTTGGATTAAGGGCTACTGCAGCAGACCGCAGGCCGAGCAGTGGCTTAGCCGAGTAAGCTACCGGCGCCATGGATAGCCGCCAGATTCAGCTTGGGTCATGTAATAGTGACGCCAATCCTACAGTCAGCTGAAAGCGGAGTATAGCGAGCTCCAAAACAAACTCGCACAATCTGGCCATGCCAGTCAAAAACACATGTCGATGTAGTTTGTGTCAAGCAAGCTGCATGAGTATAGCAAGAAAATAAAAAAAAGCTTGCTTGAGTAGCAAGAAAATAAAAAAAAACGGTCTGGCAACAAGCTCACTCCAGCAGTTTCGATCGAGACCGTATGGGGTATTTGCGTATTGTCAGTACAGTAACGGTCGCCCAGTCAGATTTTACGCAGTCAGCTCGCCTATAGTCAGCTCGGAGCTGAATATGTATAATGAACGCCGAAACGAAAAACCACGATATACCTAGTCCCCGGTCGAAAAACACGCTTACATCGACGTTGTTTGCACCAAGCAAGCTACGTGAGCAGCCGTAGGTAAAACTCCATTCAAACACTCCTCCAACCAAGATGGCCGATCAATCTAAGATGGCGATCAATCAAGCCAAGATGGAACATTGCTTAGAATGAGTGAAAAAAGTTAAAAGTTTTTATTGATACTTACTTACTTCTAAATTCAAGGTTATTGAATAATGAACGTATACCGAAACGCTAACTAATATTCCCTTTATTGTAATTGAACAGGATAAGCCAAATCCGTAGATTAATGTGGAAAAGATATTAAATTCTTTCTTTAATTTTAATTTGAAAATTTTACTTTCCGATAGCTTTCACTTGCCAAAGACCTTCGTTGTTGAAGTAGGCATCTAGTTCATTCCTTCTTTCCGGTGCTTTTTTGGAGTGGGAGTTCACTGCACGAGTACTTCTTAAGGCCCGTTCACACTATGGGCAATACACGAGAATCAAGTGCCTCAAAGCGCATGCAGAGGCGCTTTGCAGCCTCTGCATGCGCTTCTTGACCGATTGACGAGCTAGCGATTGACAGGGGCCATGCCTCATGCAACACAAGCGCGGCGCTTAGTAGATAGCTATTAAAGAATTGATATCAATTGTATGCTTAAATCGCAAATTAACTAAGAATTTAAATTAAATTAAAAATTTAAATCAAATTAAAAATCTAAATTAATTAATTAAAGAAATTCAATTCGTTCTATGGTTTCAATGTATTAATTTGTGACATTTGGACTTCTGATTTGTGATTCTAGATTCTACGAACTGACGATGAAGCTGGTCTCCGAAACGTTTTCTATAAAGATGTGAATTTTTGTGGACTATTATTTGCTTTTAAATTCTTAGTTAGTAGATAGCTGTCTGTGGTCTAGTAGTAGTAAGGTTGATTGAGTACGCTGGTCCGACACACCAAATGTCGACTAACACCACTCTCGTTTGAAGTAACTCTAGTAAGAGAGCCTAATTGATCTTTATAGAGGAAATGAATGCATATGGAGTGTTCGTTCAAAGGAGTACAAAAATCGAAATGCAAATGATGTAAGTTATTTCTACATGACGTGTTTAGTTTATGTGATTTTAGCAACTCCTGACAATTTATGCATTACCGTTTAGCGATTTCAAATGATGTAATGATATCGGTACGAATATTAGAACTTTTTATTTAAGAATAGACTATTTTTTTATAAACTGTATCTTTTTGAATGTGCTAGTTCTCTAATTATGATGCCTATGCTAAATTCTCGTTTACAACTGGCATAGTGCGAAGAATGACGGACGACAGCACACCCGAGAACAATGGCCCACAGCTCAAATTCGGTTACATCCATCCTCATTGACGTTTAGGCGGCAACTAGTGTTCAAAGCGCGCGGTCTCAAACCACTGAGTACAAAAGTAGTGTGAACGGTTGTGCGCGGTGAGGCACTGCAGCAAACGACTCAAAGCACATGTCGTTGCCACTAGTGTAAACGGGCCTTTATAGGGGTGGTAGCTCGATTGCTGCTGTACGCCACAGCCATTGATGCAACACTCCTGTTTTTGTGTCTTCAAAATCGGTCCATCCCTTTTCAAAGTATGTAGCTGGCGATACTGTGCGCAGCCACTTGTGAAGAGTGCATGCGGCTTGCACGATTAGGTCAACTGTAGAGACCTCAACTTCGATTTTTTTTTCGAAACATTCAAAATCGTGCTGCTAATATTCCGAACGCGTTTTCAACAACTCTTCTTGCTCTTGATAAGCGATAGTTGAATATACGTTATTCTAGGGACAAGTTTTTTCTTGAGAAGGGCTTCATTAGATTAGTTGACAAGGGATAGGCATCGTCTGCTACAATAATGTGGTCAGGAGGCAAATTCAGGCTGTTGTTGTCGTGAGCAGTTTTCAAAGTAGATAACATGAACAGTGAACACGCTTCCATCATTAACGCGTCCATTTGTGCCCAAATCAACATAGATGAACTTACAATCAGCATCCGTTAAAGCCAGCAGTATTATGCTGTATCCTTCTTTGTAGTTGTAAAATTCTGCACAACTTCCAGGAGGCCGTTTGATGGCTACGTTCTTGCCCTCCAATGCACCACAGCAAATTGTAAAATGTGATTTTACAAATTGATTTCAGAGTTTCTCTGTATTTCCTTCCATTCGTCCATAATTTGATGTACCTGCTGCAATAGTAATACGTATATGTTAGTTATGTGTTAAATTCCATGCAGATACTAAGATTTAAACAATTGCATAGCATTATTAAATTTTACATTTGGATTTATTTCAGAAATGCGGCTCTGAAGAAGCTGATGTCCTAGAAGATCAACAAGTCGAAGATGACGAATGTCTCGATGATGATGATGATGATGATGATGATGATGGCCTTCCGTTCAATATCAGTACAGAAAATGAAGCAGAAACGTCAGTCCCAAAGCGCCAATTTGCGACGCCAGCGGCAAAGAAGAGACGAATCACAAAATTTTCGAAGAGAGAACAATCGGCAAGAGTTGATAGGGCAATCGACAAATTACAAAATATTGTTTTGCGTGAACAGTCGTTTTCAAACCAAGCATTGGATCAATACGATGTATTTACTCGACATATTAATTTTCAATTGAGGCAACTTCCTTTCAGGAGCTTCATAATGTTGCAAGAAAAGATTCAGAGCCTCATCACCAAAGAAATGCTTGCAAACCTGTCACAGTCACCTGTCATTGTATCAACATCATCACTCGGAAGTACATCATCGCACCTGTCAAGTGAAGAGGAATGCCCTAACAACTAGAATTCCGATGTCTTGAGAATTAATGAAAGCATTAACTTTCAGTAGCTTTTCAAGAATTAATCATTGAATTGAGCTTTTTAGTTAAAGGAATCGTCCCGTTTGTATGAAATTTTGTCTAAAAAAATAATATAAGACAAAAATTATTTTTTTTTAAATAGTATCTCTCCTTTACCTCAATGTAATCATTTCGTACAGGATTATTTGGAGTATGTTATAAATAAATACAATCCATTTGCTTATAGATAACATTGTCGTCGGCGACAGGCCTATCCAGGCCTAATCTTCAATGCCGAAGATACTATACTATTGTAACAGTGAATCCTTAATCTTAGAACATAATTATCACATCAATTCTTGTCATTCTTGGAGCTCATTATGTCATTCTTTATGATTGTATACTTATTCATTCGTAACCCTTTGATACAATTATAATTTTAAAGGCGATATGGCTTCACGCTGATAAAAATTTTCCTTCAAGTAGTGTTGAAATCGGGATGCATGCGAAAAGCCAGCATTGCCCAATACCAGCATTTCTTTCATACTCCTTTCCGTGCGCAAGTCTGCTACAGGGCAGAGTAGCCTAAGGTATTATAGGCAAAAAGCCATATAGGCACAAATTTCCTTCATGGAAATGAACCAGCGAACTAAGGAGCAGAAAGCTCATTAGCTCGCTGTTTAACCGCCCAACAGTTCTATCCCATGCCGCCTAACCTCCTCACGATTTTCGGTAAGAAACTCCCTACGCCATACCGCTGTTGATACACAGCCAGCACTCCAGCCCGTCCGTTCGTCGCAGATGTTTTCCCCCAGCATAACTCTACCTCCACGCTTTATACCCCGTCTCCCCGCCTTTTTGCACCGACTGCAAAAAGGCTACCTATGACTTTAATCACTTGGCTACTCTACCCTGGGCGTGGGCAGGCATCCCCGCGACTGGTAATTGGGATCATGGTTGAACTAATAATTATTTCAACCACGATTGGGATATCTAAGGCCAGTTCGTCGCAACGATGAAAGATGATGCGAGATTAGATCCGGCGTGGCTGAAGTGAACTATATCGAGCACTGGGGTTTTGCAACAAAACTCAAGGGATGAATTAGTATATGGGGGCCCGGAAGTCGTCAATTTACGAAAAAAAAATATTATACATTTTTCACTGTATTTTAATTAGCGAAGATGGCCGCTTCTCCTAATATATTTCTCCAACTTTTGTTTAATATGGCTCGTTTGATTTGTAACATTGTCTACATTTTTGGTCATCAAAAATGTAAATCATGGTTAATTTTGGAGGGTTTGAATGAAAACAAATATCATATGGCGGTTTGATGAGAATGATTTAAGCGGAGTACAAAAATTTGATGTCGTAAGCTGACATTGATGTCGTGCGCTGCCTTCTAAGCTCCGAAACGCTTTTCGAAGACCTACTATTTATCGAACATTTGTGATCCTATCTAATTCACCAATATCGTAGTCCTATTTTTTCGTGCTCCATATTTAGATGGCGCAATCCTTTTCTGGTTGTAATTCCCAACCTGTTAGTGATTGAATTCCACTTTTAGATCTCGTTAAGCCGTGAAGTCGCCGCATATACACTCAGGTTCTACTGTGTACCAATAATACTTCGTATCAACCGCTAATATGTGTGTGCAGAGCAGGGCAGCGCTACTTTGAAATGTAGCGGCCGCTACCGCTACATGCTCTAAATGTAGCGGGCGCTACCGCTGCAATTGCTTAAATGTAGCGCCTCTACTGCTACTGAAAATGTAGCGCCGCTACCGCTACCGCTAATGAAAATGTAGCGCCGCTACCGCTACATATAGCGCGCTACTGCCCACCTCTGTGTGTGTCAGCTGCATTTCGGGCCGCCTTGGACCGGTGGGCGAGTGTGTAACGGTTATTAGTCATCAGTAATTTAATGAAATCATAAAATACCAGTGACTTAAAATAATTCATGAACTCTGTATGTGTTGGCGTAACAAGTAAACCCTTGCAAAAGTCTAGTGGTCAAAATTCTTGCTCTGGTTCGAAACCGCTAGGTAAATAGAATACATTAATTGATCGGCTAAACTCGAAAAATATGGTCTTGACATCTCTGAAAATTTGTTGTTAGGATATTTCCTCTTTTCGTAAAATATTGGTACTCACTGGCTACCTTACTTATATGCGTCCATCGCCTCTCAACTATAGGTACTTGACTAATATTAGTACAGGCTATTGTGCGTCATATCAATCCAGTCGAGTAACAGACGTAACGAAACAAAGTTTGAATTTGGAATTTTTCCCCGGACGTTGAAGCTCAACTCTACAAACATTTTGGCAAAGATTAATATTTAGACTGTCACGGGAACGCCTTAATTTGAAACATTCCTTAATTCTGTTGAAGAAACAACTTGATATGTCATAAATACGTCAAGATACAGCATTGTTACGGGATTTTCTCAGACTCGAAAAGCTCCCTGTGTATAAACGAAAAGCTCCCTATGTAATAAAGATTTAATAAGCTGTGATTGATGATAATTTTTTGAAATATTGTCCGTTAATCATTTATATAAAGAATACGACGTGCCACTTCATTTTCAATGTGCGCGGCAATCTATAGCTGAGGGAACACGAATTCTATAACGAGAACAGACGTGCAAATGGATCGGAAATCCCATGGTTGTACTAGTATTTAGTTCAACCATGGGAAATCACATCAATCAAAAGTGTGGGACTAATAAAACGGCTGGAAAAACAGTAGATTCAGGAATGATTGTCACCGTCGATTGAGATTGTGGCAGTTGCGAATTTGTTTCAAGAATCCGTTCAATAGAGTTGATTATGAGGATTTCTTAAATGAACAAAGGGGTCAACGATTCATGTGCGAATACAATGACTACTGCTAGCATGAACTAAATTAAACTCCATTCGTATGATCCTAGAATCTTCGGAAAAAATCAGCCGGCTATCTCTGCATTTTGCGGTAATGACGGCTACCAGCATAAGAAAATACTCTAATTATCATTAATATTTTCCTAGGTCGTCAATTATTTTTCAAAATTAGGAAACTACGAACTCTCTACCAAGGAAGCCGTCATGCATCATGCACCGATCCGTGTCTGGATCTGTAGAGGTACACCATGATTAGGCGATATATTAAAATAAACCTAAATATATATATACATTTTTTAAAATATGATTTAGGGAGTCTGGAAGCGAAATAGAGAGAGTAACATAATATCGTCCTCTACAAGTAATCTCAACTTGCACAAAAACAACGAAAACTGCTATGTATTGTACGAACAAAGTTATATTGAATACCTATAACTTCGAGGTTGCTAATTTAAACGTGATAAATTTTACATTAAATAATTAAAACTGATTAATGGTCGTCAGCTGGTATTGGTTGAATTCCAGTGGAAAGAAAATCTATGTGATCACGATGAATCCACTTTCGAAAAAAAAAACGTTTCGAAAGTAGACTCGAATGGAACAATGTTATACCAATTAAAAATCATCCAATGAGTTGAGAGCTGGCATTTGCCAATAAGTGATGTGATATTTAAGTTTAACACGAACTTCTGGTGAGCTTTCTTTTAGAAACGGAACCCATCGAACTTTAAGTCTGCTGTTCTTGCAGCAGGTCTTGCGGCTGACTGCAGTGAGACTAATATATCAATTTATAAAAACACTTTTGGTATCAGATTTCAACAAAATAGGCAGTAATGCGTTGAATCAAGTTAATAATACAATCTATAGATCAAACAAGTTGGAAATAAATTCTAAAACTCTAAAGCTTCTATTTATTTGCTTATTTTTTAAATTTAGCAAAACTAGCTGGACGATAATTGAGTTTAGTGCTGATGGTGATTAATTCGCATTTAGAGCAATGCTTATATTGATCGATCTTTAAAAAGCTGTTCAAATATGCACAGAACTAAAAGCCATTAGAGACATATCAATATCATTCGAAATCGTACGTAAGGAAATTTTCAGCGAGCAGAATCTAAGGGGTGGATTGCTAGAGGTCAGCATAGCCCAAGTCCACAGTGCGATTCATATACTTTCCCGAGCGTAACACAGCCGGGCATCTTCACGGCTTGTGACACAAAGCGCCCACCACAACAGCGCAGTTCAGTGACAGGCAGGAGCACATCCAGGCCGGAGCACAACTGGCCCTACCGCAACAGCAGCTGAACAGCTACTCAACGTATGCTATCCTAGCCTAACCTAACCTGCGGGCTGCGCCGCCTGTTGCGTTGCGCTCCGGCCAGTTGGGCTCCAGCGCTGTGAAGCAGTGGCTGTGTTGTGCAAAGCGGAATTACTGTTAGCCGGAGTTACCCACATCTCTTAGATCTGAGGCTATGTGTAGATATTGCATGCTGATGGTTGGCGTTAGGCCCAGGGCCTGTTTACGAGTTAATTTTCTTACCCACGGCTGCGCTCCCATTGTGATGGTATTCACGTTGCGGCCCATCTCCAAATGGTTTTTCCTCAATCTTTGCCGGGATGAGTTCTTTTATTGGCGTCTGTTGAAATAATTTCGCATTGGTCGGCGACGAATGTTAAAAGGAAGAGACTGGAAGGTTTTGAAGGGTAAACATTGGAAGGATTTCATTCTTATTATTATTTCAGTATTGAAATGCCTTGCACCTTACGAGTCTTGCAATAAGTCCAGCAGCTATCTCAATCAATCGTCAGTTATGGAAAGATCGGGGACAAACGGCCGGATCCGTTGTGGAATCAAGTCACGATTCACGAAGAGTACCTACTAGAATCGGCAACAGGCCATGGGCCTATTTCTTCATTACCGACACTTCTATTCAGACTATTGTATATTGATAACTGATAAGTAAAACCCACACTTGTTTTGGAAACTAGAATTTTATGAAAATGTACAAACGGTGGCTTTGTGCAAACAGTGCAACACTGCAACTGTATAGGTAGGTAAAGGTAGCTACTAGACAAGTGGGTATTGTAGATGGAGCCATTGTTATCTGTCTAATTATAAATGCAATATAGGAGAAGCTCGCGGATTATTAATACAGAACAACTTTGGATTATGGCATTATTCGATGCGCGGATGCGGCTTCACCGGCTTGTAGTTAGGCTAGCGATAAATTTCTAGGAAGACTGGAAAAGTCTTCAACTTAACAACTGGAGTGGACTGGAAAAATTTTTAGGTATCTTATTAATAAGATGTAACGAGTTCATTTGTGCAGAACTGCAGATGTCCTCAATGCTTTAAAAATGAATTGTTCAAATGATATAATCTAACTAATGTAGGTATCTACCAAAATTATAGACTACCATCAATTTGGCATCAAATGGGGTAATAAGGGATGAGCATTGGGCAGGGTAGGCTAATAAGGGACAGTCCTTCAACATTTTATAGAATTGTCATAGCAGCTAATTTGAGCTAAACTTATTAAAATGTTGCAAAACTAAAGATAGTGGCATAAAGTTCAAAATTTTTCCTATCATTGTAGTATAAACTATAGCAAGTTAAGAACCACACATTTACTACCTCTAAAAAATCCATGAAAAAAAGTGCATGAAGTAAGATTTTGGAAAATGAAAAGTACCTCTGGCTTTGCTAATGTCTGTAGCAAAAAAGATATTTGCTGTATTAAAAAATTTTCCATTCATTCCAAGTCTTGATGTTTTTATTTTTATGTATTAATCATCCAATTTTTGAATAAAATAAAAAATTAACCCATGTTTTTGTAACACTTGCATAATTTCACTTGTAGAAATTTATTTTTTACCTGCAATTTCTAAAAAAATATGCCATACATTTCAGTTCACTTTTCTCAGCTAGTCAGCTTAGTGGGCTTAGTGGATTATATTGAAGTGATTGCCTATAGCCTTTTAAAGAAATTTTTATTTCTATCGCAGAAGAGTATGAGCTTAATGGTAGTTTTGTCTGAACTCATGACAACATACCTAACCCTTTACCAGATCCAATTGTGCTAAAAATATTCATCCAGTCATTCTACATGGCTGATCCAACTGTGGGCTCAGAAGGAGACTGCGTTGAATGCTGGGAGAACTACAGTGCAGGCGAGGTCATGGTGCAAGGACTGGCCGGACAGATTGACCAGCAAGACGTGGAAGCCATTGTCAGAGCACAAAAACAAATGTGAGTCACTGATGGCAAGCATTGCTTTTGTAGGTGTGAATACTACATTCAGACAACTGGAATTTTGACAGAAAATTCAATCCAAAAATAAGTCACCAATGTGTAGGTACTTCAAGAAAAAATCATGGTTTCTTGAACCATTTTATGTTGAATGATTGCCTATACTATTATTTTTATTGACAAAGCAAGCTGCTCAAGGCATCAGAACGGCTTAGAACGGCTGTCATCTGTAGTGTGGTAATTAGTGCACTTGTACGTATAGCAATTTTTTTAAGCAATCAAGTTAGTAGGTACTGTTTTCTGCCAGTACTTGAGCATATATTTTGTGTTATAGTTTTATAATCAATATACCTATATTAATTCTCAAAATATTCCATGATGAATCCTAAATATACTATACCTATATCTGTTAAAATAGTCATTGATTGGTATTTATGAATTTGTTATAAATATTTATAGCAATATTTAGATTCATTTTCCTTGTAGATAACCTTAATTACCTACTTGATGATGTGCTTTCATTAGTTTATGTTTCATCAACCAACATCAATTGAAACACTTTGAGAATCCATAAGAATCTTTCAGGTTTTTTATTTTTTCAACTTTTTTTATTAACAATTTTTACCACATTTACTGTTTTCTGTCTCAAGGTTTTTTTAGAGGGGGTTTCATAGGAGTAGAATTCCAGATATTGGTAGCTAAAATTTTTGGATTGCAATGAATCATGTATTTTGAGTAAAATATATGGATATTGTCTTCCATTGGTATCTAAATAATCTTTTTGCAGGCTGCAACGGTTTGAAAAAACTAATGAGATGTTGAGCAACTGCAATGCTCTCTCTGCATCACGCTATGCTGCGGCCCAGCAAGAATTTTCCAAGCACACTTCAATGCTTTTGCAAGCCAAGAAAGATCTGGACTACATCTTTAAAAAAATACGAGTTATTAGGTCAAAGCTTGAGATGCAGTATCCACAAGCTGTTAAAGGTTGGTTGGTGTTGATTTGAAATTTTCAGATGTGTTTACTGAACGTTTTGGTCAATTGCTCAAGATATTTTGGGTTATGAATAATGATTTTGTTTATTACTTTTTGATGATGATTAATGCTCTCTGACATCTTTAACAGGATTTGATGATGAATTCTCACTTAATTTTTCAGTTATTTTGAATAAAATCATTGATTTGGTTTCATACAAATACCTATCTACCAGTCCACATTCAAATTTACTCCCTTGAAATGCCATGGAAATTTTCATCTTTGACTTTGATTTCAGCTGTTGCTGAAAAATTCAATGAAGATGACGAGCTTGAAGAAGAAGGAGAAGACGCTCTGAAGAGACAATCATCTGCTCCTTCTTCTCATTCCACTGAAGGCTCCTCGTCTCAAACGCTGTCAAGCAGACAGCAGCAGGGAGAGACTCTGGCAGTTGACAGCGAGAGTGAGCAGAAGAGTTGCAGTGGTAGCAGCAGGAGTGGTGGAGATGTTGCATGTGCAGTACCTGAGGAGAAACCCAGTGGTGGAGAGTTAGCACTCAATGCAGATGTGGATGAGGATTATCAAGACGCTATTTTACGTGGGAAAGTTAAGAATATTAGTGGCAAACTTCACCACGTCAGTTCCTCAGACAGTTCCACGAGTTCAACAAAGTCTAGTTGTTCTTCATCAGATTCATAAGTGAACTGTGAAAAGTGTGCATTTGTATAAATAATTCATCTTTCCCTCTTCATTTGTTTTAATATTTCAGCACTGACTGATGTCTTATGTTGTTGTAATTGTTCATCTTGGTAGTGATGACTAGGGAGGTGGTTGTGATAGGTCACTTTTTCCGGGCACTGGGAGCCACTGGTAGTTCCACGACCATCACTGGCTGGCCGACCCGCCAGAACCATTTTATTGCTTTACACAACACCCTGGACAAGTTAGGTACTCATTTATCAACCAGGGTTGGATGAATGGCTGAGTTGACCATGAGCTGAGCTTCCCGGAAGAACTTGTCCACAGTGGGACTTGAACCTGGGAGCTGGGTGCGAGAGTCTGTCTCCACTGCACCACCGAAGCTCCCATATCTTATGATGCCATCTGCATCAGATGACGGACACACTTGGCTATAAGGCAGCTACATCAGTGATCAACCGCGGTGCACAGAACTTGAACCTACTGCTACCTAATCATCCATCTGACGCATATACATCACATTTTTCTCATTAGAGCCATGAGAATTATATATACGTCTTATCTCTGGGCTAATAAGACTACAGATATTTCATTATTTATTAACTTGATAAGTTCTGTATTAGGTTTAAACTATACTATTCAATTTTTGCATGAACATTCATTCCGTCATATGTGAATCGTTTCCCACTGCAGCTTTTAGTCTAGTTTTGTGAGTGCTCGTTGCTCCCATTGAGGATAGATTTAAAATTATTTTTATGAGGCGTCATTCTGGTTAACCTAATAATTTTTTAGCCATTTTTTGTTAAGGACCTGCTGTAAGTATCTGTAAGTGGCATACTCCTTCTCCCTGTGCACGCTCATACAGTAGTTGTTGTGCAGAATGCTGAAGGCTTCTACACTTTTATTAGCTAAAAACTAGCGAATTGAACCTATTTATTTTTTACAATTCAATTTTGTCTGCCTAATTTTTAGGAGAAAGTTATCTCAATTTCTTTGTAATATTTTTGTGGCTTGCAGAATGCAGGTGAATTTTGAAATTTATATGAAACCGTTACCTATATAAATGAAATTGTCCCTGACCTAAAGTTCGTACTAAGTCGTGCAGGTTGAGATCCCAGATTCCATTGTCACCTTTATGGAGCATTTGACATAATTGCAGCCATTTTGCCTTTGTATGACGCTGTTGCCGTAACTTGAACTTTTTTTATTGCCAGTAGGTAAATCAAAATTTTTTCAGAGTGAAGATTTTACTAGTGCATCACCAAAATCGCTATCGCGTCTTTTCGTATATATTTTTAGGCTGTGATATAAATCCGTTTATATTTATGTTTAGAATGTAACTGAATGAAAAAATTTTAATTTTTTACTGTATCCCACGCAAAGAGTGAATTTTTTGTTTGAAAAATAATAGTAATACTTAATAATTCGTTATGCTGGTTTCTATGCGACCCAAGAATAAATGAACGGCTTTATTTTGGTCACAGCGTGCCAGTTTGGTAGAATAGGGTACTGAAAGCTACCTGTGTTTTTTATATCGTTTATGTAATAATTTTTGTGGAGGTGCTAGCATATTATCATTACTAAAGCTGTGATATCTCAATCATCGGCAAAATCAAAGAGGAATGACCAAGCTATAGGGCATATTAACTGACCTATGTTTACAAGATTTATTTGATATAAGATACCAAAGAGCAAGGCAGTTTTTTATATTTTTTGCAGGCAGCAATGCTTGCAATCAGGATTTGATTAAAGATACCAAAGAGCAATGTTGTTTACCATCCATCCATCCACTTTTTCAATTGTAAATTTACAAATCATGCTACATTTACTTAGGACTATTTTTCTCGACAATGGTGAAAAAATTTCATGATTTCGTTTCGAAAGTTTGTTACTTGAATATTATACACGTATTAGCCTAAATTCTCACTTTCGGTACTTGTCAAAAATCCTATGGGATTTTTCGTTCCCAGAGGCATCTTTCCTGAGCGCCCCATCAGCCGGGAGCGAAGTTGTTATTAAGGAAGGATTGTTTGCACTTCCTTCTGTGCTAGTAGCTGACGTGTCTTGTGAACCTTTTTTATGAACCTAAGGTTATAACCGTGAGCGTTAGGTTAGGTTAAATCCATGAGCGCTCAGTTAGGCTATAACCATGAGCGCTCGGTTAGGATATAACCATGAGCGTTCGGTTAGGGCGTTAGGCCATAACTCTGAGCATTCGGTTAGGCCATAACCATGAGCGTTAGGTTAGGCTATAACAATGAGTGTTCGGTTAGGCTATAGCTGTGAGCGTTAGGTTAGGCCATGGCCATGAGCGTTCGGTTAGGTTATAACCGTGAGCGTTCGGTTAGGCCATAACCATGAGCGTTCGGTTAGGTTATAACCATGAGCGTTCAGTTAGGCCATAACCCTGAGCGTTCGGTTAGGTTATAACCGTGAGCGTTCGGTTAGGCCATAACCGTGAGCGTTCGGTTAGGCCATAACCATGAGCGTTCGGTTAGGCCACAACCATGAGCGTTCGGTTAGGTTATAACCGTGAGCGTTCGATTAGGCCATAACTATGAGCGTTCGGTTGGGCCATAACTATTAGCGTTCGGTTAGGCTACAACCATGAGCGTTCGGTTAGGTTATAACCATGTGCGTAAGGTTATTCTATAACCAGGCCTCGGCAGTCACTGCAGCGTCCCAGACTTGCTGCTCTTCTTGAGCTTAAGTTCAAGAAGTTACGTCCACTTGGCAATGTTTGAAAGTACCTGCGGACCTCGAGTTGTGGCATCTCCGCCGTTTGCGAGCTGCTGTGGAAGGTCAGCGGTGGGTGACTTCAGCGTAACGCCTCGAAAAAATCTCACAGAATATCTAACCATATTTTGTGAGATTTTTTGAGACATATTGCAGGACATATTTTTTATTCCGCGTTGATAAGCACTATTTTCCACCAGTTTGTTTGAAAGCCTTCGTGTAGTTCGTGACGTGATGCGTCTTCTAATCCTGTTGTCGAATTCCCTTCAAATAGTTCATGTGATATGGGACATTTTTTATAGCCCGTGTTCTGTGTAGTCCCCGCATCCCTATAGCCGTGTGCCGTGTGGACCCTGCATCCATAGAGCCCGTGTGCCGTGTGGTCCCTGCATCCATATAGCCCGTGTGCCGTGTGGTCCCCGCATCCATATAGCCCGTGTGCCGTGCGGTCCCCGCATCCATATAGCCCGTGTGTATAGCCCGTGTGGTCCCCGCATCCATACAGCCCGTGTGGTCCTCGCATCCCTATAGCCCGGTGTGGTCCTCGCATCCCTATAGACCGTGTGGTCCCTGCATCCATATAGCCCGTGTGGTCCCCGCATCCCTATAGCCCGTGTGCTCCTCGCATCCCTATAGCCCGTGTGGTCCTCGCATTCCTATAGCCCGTGTGGTCCTCGCATCCCTATAGCCCGTGTGGTCCTCGCATCCCTATTGCCCGTGTGGTCCTCGCATCCCTATAGCCCGTGTGGTCCCTGCATCCCTATAGCCCGTGTGGTCCCCGTATCCATACACCCTATGATCCTCGCACTCACATAGCCCTTGTATCCTGTACAGCCCGTCTAATCCCCATATAGCCTTTGTGGTCCCGCATCCATATAGCTAGCCCGTGTGGTATCTATATAGCCAGCGTGGTCCCTGCATCCTTACAGCCGTGTGGTCCCACACCGTGTGGTAGTCGGTAGCTCAGTGCGCACTGGCGAGCTTATCGTACACGCCCCTGCGGCACCTCCGGCGCTATCGTCTTGCCTCCGCCAGCTTTGTTATCTACATTCATTCAATGAATTCATTCATAAATTCTTCTCTTCATTCAATAATGAATTCCCTGTATTCATTTATGAATTTTCTGCATTTATTTATGAAATTTGTTCATTCACGTATGAATTATATTCTTTCTCGTTCATATGAATGAAATCAGTTGAATTAGCTAAACAATTACCGTTGTTTGTATATTACCGCAGATTAGCGAATAAATGAGGCTATTCTCACAATTTAATTTAACTAATTTTGTTGCGTTCAAACTCAGCTCCGCTCGAACCATGATAAATAGTGCGACTTATTTAGTGATGCTTCACTCAGAGAAATTAGTGAGACTTGGTCCGAATATTGATGCACTTTTTGCCCGTGCGTAGGTCATCCTGACCCAGTTTGGACCGGCAAACGTGTGTGTATCAGAGTTCCGCAACCATGGTGTCCGGGCTCGTCGTATTTTACTGTCTCTTGGCAGCTGATATGTCATACGGTGGCATAACTTATTGTTAACTACCGACGAATAATAATTATTGTACGATTGTCATTAAATTCTAATCTTGCATTCATCACAATACACACACGCTTGGGGTTACACGTTTTTTAATTCAAAGGCTATTGTACTCGCGAAAGGTTCAATTTAACGTTCACTCTTTGTTAAATGCAAGATTTTTTCATTTCAAATTAAGGGAGACAAAACAGCGTACCAGTTTACCGTATCAAAATAATAATTATGTATGGGAGATTGTTGTAATAATAACTCTACGAGGTAGAAATGCCAGCGTATATGACTCGTTATCAGAAAATGAAGTTCTCAAGTGTCGTTTTTACGTGGCTTATAATCTCGACACGAGATGCACCCAACGCGCCGACAGGTTCGCGGTCGGTTCAAAAATCAGATTTGAGATGCATGCTGCCAGTCGAGGGTCAGCCGTGGCGAAGTGAAGAGTGTGTGGCGTGGCGTCGAGTGGCTGAGAATAAAGTTTTGAGTTTGCAGGTTTTCTGCATATAAATTGCTCTAAAGTAATACGAATAATTGGAATACGTCAATGTACTCATTTATGTAGGTCGTGGTAATTTATTTATTTTGAATGATACCGCTTTTAAACTTTAAATTGTTTATACATGAAGAATGTGCCTCTCAATGTGAACACGAAGAATATCAAGGAAAATTTGGGTTATTTAGATAGTTATTACTTTCATTTAATTAATCTGTGCAGAGATTCAGAGGTTACTTATCATTCCCACATTTTACAGATAAGAAGTATTGTGTACCTGTAAATGAGCGAGAGTTTATACGTAACGACAAAACATAGGTACAAACCCCTTTTAAGAATATAAAATTTTTACCCATTACTACCACTCATAATGTGACGCACGCGTCGGCTGCTAAGTATCACCATTTACAGCCAACAAGTTGTTTAGTCTACTACCGTCTATTGCACTGATTTATGAAATATCCACTATTCCACAGGCCCGTCATAAGAATTCAGTTTCTTCAAGTCTTGAAAAAAGTGCCAAGCACAATTCACGTTTGCTTCAAAAACTCGTGTGCCTGCATGGAACGCTTCTCAAGTCTAGGCGAACTTCTTACCATCACAGCTATTCTGCATTTTGCTTATTATATATTGCATTACAGCTTCTTCGTGTTGAATGAGATCATGACTTGACCTGATTCCTGTGAGGCTAGGGTTACCGATACAATTAGACAAAAAAATTATATGTTTTCGAACGTTGTGCGGCTCTTTTGAAGCTCTATTATAAATTTGAGTTCTTCTTTTGTACAATACAGTATCAATTAAGAGTATTTGCATATCATATTATGGCGGCATCATCAACATTGATCCGGCGGCAACACTGGCCCCTGAATCAGCGGTTCTTCCCGCTAGTTGTATTGCTACTCTTCTCCAACGTGTGTGTCGCTGTGGAAGACAACGAAACCATCGAAATTATCTGCCCTTCCGGTAACTATTGCCTGATTTTTAGGTTGTTATCATTAAATTTACATAATTATTCTTTCTATCTTCTTTAATAATCGTTAATCTATTCATAATTATTCTTCAATCATAGATTTTTTTATGTGTGTGATCTTTCTTGATTCTTCCGTGATTAAAACTTGCAACAGTTCGATCAATAATTTTCGAGAACATTGATGATTGAATAGTTTTGTACTTTGAACAAATGTAAATCGATGATTGAGTATTTTACCATAGAATTCGTCAAGTGACATCCGTATAGCGTAATCGTGCTGTCAAGCTACTACAAATTGAACAAAGCTATTTCATAACAAATTTTTTAACAATACAAGTAGATTACGATCACAGACATGAGACAGCATCTGCTTCTGTAAGGGTAAGTTGTCATGCTGTCAACTGTCAAGTCATGCATTTGTGATGAAACGCCCACAGTACTACAACTATTTGAGTAGCTATGGTTAATTATTAGGTATGGTCGGTTACAGACTTACAGTAATACTCGTAACATTTGCAATGGTTTTTGATAAGCTGTCACGTATAGGACATAACGAATGAAACTTGGAATAACAAACCCCTGGAGCTACAGCCACAACGCCAGCTGAGGAACCTATAATGGCAGCGGTGCTGACCGATTCGACACTTCAGCGAACTCGCGTGCGAACTCGCCTGCGAGCTCGAACTTCATTTTCAACTCTGGCACGCATAACTCCTTCAATTATGAACGGATTTTATTCAAATTTGAAATATAAGTAGATAATCAAAAAGTAATTGACGTAAAAATCTGAAAAAATACCCTCCGCAGCGTACTGATATTATCTACTTATATTTCAAATTTGAAGAAAATCCGTCCATTATTGACGGAGTTATGCGTGCCAGAGTTGAAAATTAAGTTAGGTTTTCCATTCGAGCTCGCAGGCGAGTTCGCACGCGAGTTCGCTGAAGTGTCGGACCGGTGCGGTGCTGCTGTACTCAATGCCAGGGGGCGGGTGCGTACAGTTCATATTCTTCACCATCGTCCTCTATGCCGGGCATTGCGACTTTATTTGATCAGGAGAGTAAAATACAACTAACATTGTAGCTATTTTATATTAAAAAATAAACATTTATTTCATGGATACGTGAAATAATAGCGAATTTTATATACTAGAGTTTGTTAGTTGCAATGGATGTCTTCCATGTAGGCTATCAAAATTTTTTTACGCCCTGGCAGAAACAGTTCTGAAAATGAGTCAAATATACGATTGTAAAACGTAAAAATATTGTCCTTTAGGTTTACACGTCCGAGTTAATTGTTGAGAATTTTATTGAATTCTACGAAGTTAACCTAGAAGTCGCCTAACCTAACCTCTTCCTTTGCCATCGGCTTGACCAACAGATCTGTTTAATTCGCTTGTCTCTACAATTTCGTATCATCCGCTAAGTTTAACGTGTAATTTTAGAAGGATAACCCGGAAGTCATTCATTAAAATGCGAAAGTTTGAACAAGTGTTTAGCTCACGATTTTAAATGTTTATTCTCTCTGGAGCTTCGCTACGCGCATGCGGACCAGACGCTCTCAAAATAGGCTCTCTTATACAAGCTCCTAGGAAAATGAATCGAAACGTTGAAGGCTTGGTGGTAACAATTGTAAGCGGAGCAAGAAGTGTCTGGCAACAATTGCGCAGTAGAACTACGTTGCAGCGATTATCATGTATGTTTTGCATCGCTTCGAAACTTGGTACAGTGGGACGAATTTTCATAGCAGGTTTTCCTCGTACAAGTTCTTCAAATCAAAAGTGATTTTAACCTAATTAACAACGATGATATTTAATGACCTTGTGCAAGCATTATCGAAATTACTTACGTCCGTTTCGTTTTCACGTGCGTAAGTACTAAACGCTGAGTAAGTTAGGCTGCTTAGGCGTACAAAGTGGCCAAAACATGAAGTAGAAGCTAAAAAAATTGACAATTCCTGCAGGAACGTAATGGGAATAAATAGCAGAAGCATATTAACTCAATGTTACTTAGCGGCCATACCTCAATGATACTTGCCGTACCTCAATGATACTTGCCGTACCTCAATGATACTTGCCGTCCCTCAATGATACTTGCCGTCCCTCAATGATACTTGCCGTCCCTCAATGATACTTACCGTACCTCAATGATACTTACCGAACCTTAATGTTACTCGCCGTACCTCAGTAATACTTACCGAACCTAAATGATACGTACCGTACCTCAATGTTACTCGCCGTATCTCAGTAATACTTATCATTAACATTATGAATGTGTACACACAGACGAAGGCGATACGGAGTACTGCTCATGCAACATCAACCAGACGGGACTCAGCCGCCTGCTGCAGGTCAAATGCGACTTCCTCAACAAAAAGGTTACTAGTATGCATTTTTAATACACATTACGAATTGCATGTCAACTCAGATAATTCCTATCTGATTATTTTGTTGAAGAATCGAATCATAACAATCAGAGAATCATGTTGAATCAAATCATAACAATCAGAGGATCATGTTGAATCGAATCATAACAATCAGAGGATCATGTTGAATCGAATCATAACAATCAGAGAATCATGTTGAATCGAATCGTAACAATCAGAGAATCATGTTGAATCTGTTATATGCAGGGTTATGTGCAGAAGGTGCGGTGTTATGTGCGGAAGGTGCGGGAGTTATATGCGGGGTTATGTGCAGAAAGTGCAGGGTTATGTGCAGAAGGTGCAGGGGTTATGTTTAGAAGGTGCGGGAGTTATATACGGGGTTATGTGCATAAGGTGCGGGGTTATGTGCAGAAGGTGCCGGGGTTATGTGCAGAAGGTGCGGGAGTTATATGCGGTTCTACACGAACTTGTAATTGCTGCATTCTCCTAGTAATGAATCGTCAGTTATGGAAAGATCGGGTTCCAAAGGCCGGATCCCTTGTGAATCAAGTCACGAAAAGTTCAAGAATCGGCAACAGGCCATGGGTCTATTTCTTCAGTGCCGACACTTCTATTCTATTTTATTCTAAAGTTTATGCTGGTGTGCAGGCGCTGTCCTCCGCCCTGGACATCTGGCACTGCGGCAGCGTGCGTCTCGTCTCCTCGCCGCCCATCACGCGCCAGTCCAGCTACAAGACTTTCGTGGGTTCGTTGCATGGTCATATTACATCTTGTATACATTCTTTTATAATATATTTTAGTTATATACATGTATATGTACCTATGTTTACTTCACTCCCAATGCTTGCTTCACGTCTTGCCAGTCCAGCTACAAGACTTTCGTGGGTTCGTTGCATGGTCATATTACATCTTGTATACATTCTTTTATATTATATTTTAGTTATATACATGTATATGTACCTATGTTTACTTCACTCCCAATGTTTGCTTCACGTCTCGCTAGTGCAGCTACAAGACTTTCGTGGGTTCGTTGCATGGCCATTTCATGTCTTATATACATTCTTTTATAATATATTTTAATTAGATAGTATCTATGTTTAGTTCACTACACATTGAGCTCTTGTCACGACACATTAATTATGTAAGTACTCGTATACACATAATATAGCATCTGATTCACTCCTAATGCTTGCTGCACGTCTGGTATGCATTTTTTTATAAAATCTATTATATAATTGTTTATAATTAATTTATAACAGTTAATTTCATATAATATAATGATATTTTATTTATTATAATTATTTACCAGGATTTTCTCATTTGTGGTAATAGAAGACCTCAGCCTATCAAGGCACGTATATGTTAGATCAATGAGCCTATTGGACAATAAACCAATTAGATCAATTTCTACTGCCACTTCAGATAAGATGTGTTACGAGGTCTGTCCTAACTTGCTTACGTCGCGTCACACTCTCGTTTTTAACCTTTCTTGAAAAATTAAGCCTTATATTAAACTGCCGACGCCATTGGATGCTTGCCAACTCCGTTGTATGGCTTTTCATCGATCAGTTAAGCGATGCAGTGAAGCTGTAAACTGTTGTATGTGATGTAGCATGGATATTACAATATATAGCCTGAAAGAAAATTAATTTAAGTGGCCGGCAAGTCAGTGTTAGGACCAATGTTTGGTAGGAACGGTCAGTTCCGTGCTATCTGAACAGTAACGCAAGATTTTTTCACAGTAACACAATATTCTGAAATAAAACGAAATAGTTCCGTGGAAAAACTCGATAAAGCAAGGTCTCGTTCGTTTTAACCAGGAATATGTTAGAATATTGAATTTCAACGACCCTATTCCCATAATAATGTATGGAAAGCCAATCTAGCGTGTCGGCTTAAAATAATTTTTTTCATACAATTTGACTTATGGGTTTAAAGAAAAGTTTGACGAAATTCGCTCTTAGTATTCACTCATGGTCTATACAAGGTCCCCGAAGGATTACTAGAATTTGAAACAAGAACCAACACCGGGGCCACGGCTATAAGCTTAAAAAAATTCGCTGCAACTTCTCCACGCGACAAAATTTCTTCTCGCTTTGAATCACCGACATGTGGAACAGCCTCCCCGATGACATCGTTGGCGCTCCAAGTATGAACGCGTTCAAGAACAGACTAGATAAAGCTATGGAAAAATATATGTTCAGATTTGAAATGCCTAGCACCATGTCGAACCCGGTGGAAGTCTAGTAGCTTCTTCAAACTATCGCCAGTCATGAAAAGATCCGGTCAAATGACACGATTTTAGATCTTTTGTGAACAAGGCACGAAAAGGAAAAGAATCGGCGACAGGCCACATCAGGCCTACACTTCAGCGCCGAGATCAATATGTTATGTTATAGTGTTATCTTATGTTATAGTGGTTATATCCATGGCTTGTCATCGATTGAATGTGTATATTTTTCTAAATTGTATTTCTGCTACAAGCGTCCACGGATACCTGCATTGAGCCTCCATATCTGGAAATTTGCCGTGTCATTTCAATATTCTCATTTGAATGATAGAAATTCATCATTATCTGATAAATAAGGTACTACAATATTGGACTAAGTTTGTCACTCCATGTATCAGGGATCGGGATAATCGACTGCAAGGTGGAGGGTCTGTTTCTATTTCATTTGAATGATAGAAATTCATCAATATCGGATAAATAAGGCACAATATTTGACTAAATTTGTCACTCCATGACTCAGGGATCGGGATAATCGACTGCAAGGTGGAGGGTCTGCCCAGCAAGCTGATCAGGGACCACCACCGCGGCGCCCTCAGGATCAAAGAGTCCACCGTGGGCGTCATCGAGGCGGGCTTCATAGACAACATTGACGAGGTATTTTATTTTATTTTTTTTATATTTTTAGGAATAATATTTATTGCAATATTCTCTCATTGAAAATACTGTTAGCTTTTATATTTTACCCACACACCGGCGAGGTATTTTACCCCCCCCCCCCCTCGAAGAAACGATGGCGAGGTATTTTACCTCCCGATGAAACAAACAACAATTTGAAATAATTTTAGCCGTTACATTCAACTCAAACAACATCGACGAGGGATCTTGCACTGTCCCTCGATCAAATCGCGGTCAGAGAAATGAACGTGACTTAGTCAAAATAGCGATGCACTGTTTTGGCCTTGTATGGGCCATTTTGATCCAGCAAATGGGCGTATCAGTGCTACGTTCTCTCAAATTCTCTTGCTGTTTGTTCGCAAGTGTGTCAAAATTTAAACAACATGGCCTTTTCATTCGTCTGAGTAGTCCTTAGGAACGCAGTAATATATCTTTTGATATACGAGGCTTGTATACTCTAACTAAAAATACTATTCATTTTCATATTCGACCCAAACAGCATCGACGAGGCAACTTGCTCTGTTCCACGCTCAAGAACAGAGTATAATTTTTTATCATATTCACTCTTACTAAAAATACTCTTCACGTTCATATTCGACTGAGGATGAAAAGAAATGGGAGCTGCAATCGCATGAGTCCAACCTCAGCAAGTTGAAGCTAATTGCTGCTAGCAAATTTACTACCATTGTAGATGAAATTATTCCATATCATTGTCAGGAAAATCTTTCGTGGACATCTTCGGTGTCAAATATTCACGCGACATTGCCTTTCTTGCTTGCACTTGAATGTCTACTAAGGAAAGGGTGGCCCAGTGGTTACAGTTCAGAGTACCAAGATTGGCGCAGAGAGGCGCGGGTTCGATCCCAGCTCTGTGCTCGAGTTTCTGGTCAGAATCGGCAAGGAGGCCGGGCGGTTAGCCAAGTAGAATTGTAGCAGTGAGTTGCGAGATCGAGACCGCAAAATGCTGTGAATGTTCGGCGATGTTAAGAATCGGCGGCAGGGGCTAATAATCTATGAAACCGCAATTATTATTATATTATTGTGAGAATTTTGTGTTGCTGTATTTGCGACATAGGAGCCGGCTCCAATTTATTTTAAGCTTATATTCCTGACGTTCCTAATTTACCAGCATGTTTATTTCCGCATCGGGCTCGACCAAATCGTCCGAATTTCAGAATCAAAAATGAGCTACATGGGTGTTCAATGGACACTTAGTGATGCCTAGTGTTCCCGAAAGCTGTTACCAGGTGTTCTATGTATCCCTATGTTCTCCATCAACACCCAGTGATGCCTAGTAGTGTTCCCGACAGCTGTTACCAGGTGATCCATGTATCCCTATGTTCTCCTAACACCTAGTGATCCTAGTGTTCCCGGCAGCTGCGGTATCTTGTGTTCGAGGACTCTGTAGTGGAGCGCTTCGCAGGGCCCGCAACCACGCAGGCTGCGCTGACGCTCAGCAGCCGCGAGCTGCACACATGGAACGGCTTGCTTATTGACAACGTCACTATTGCTGCCATCGCCCCCAACGCATTCAACCTCACGCATAAGGTGCAGGGGTTATGTGCAGAAGGTGAAGGGGTTATGTGCAGATGGTGCGGGGTTATGTGCAGAAGGTGCGGGGTTATGTGCAGAAGGTACGGGGGTTATGTGCAGAAGGTACGGGGGTTATGTGCAGAAGGTGCGGGGTTATGTGCAGAAGGTGCGGGAGTTATATGCGGGGTTATGTGCAGAAGGTGCAGGGGTTATGTGCAGAAGGTGTGGCTCAGCTTCATGAGCTAAGCTGGAATTTCTAATTTTAATTTACTCCAAGTTATCGCTGGAATTTCTAATTGAAGGAAATTGAAGTAATCTCGGTTTTGAGATTCTCATTTCTTGGAAGGGAAATTACTATCGTTGAATAATGATGTTCATTATTGGTTAGTAGTCCTGACGGAAGGTCGTTGGAGGAACGAAATATTTCCCTACGTTGTTTCATTGAACTTTATCGATTGAAGAACTTTACGACCTCGTATTTATAAATTTGCCTAGCTTTTGCTATTGCAAGATACAAATTAACGACCGATACAAATTCCATACATAAATAATTTATGGGAACAAAATTAACCAGAGCCCAATACGCGCATCTCATTTCCCGCTATTTACACGTGACTAAAACTTGAACAATACCTAATTACATAACAATGTTTAAATACTTATGAATGCAAATGATTGTACTATAATTAACCAATGTGCAAATATCAAACGATATATAACAATATCGGAAATAATGAAGAATATCGGTGGCTGGCAGGTGGATGATGAAGAGGTCGTCATCAGGAACTCGCGAGTGGGCGACGTGGGTAGCGGGGCACTCGTCGTCAGCGGTGACATCAACGTTAACATCACCGACAACGTCTTCCATAAAGTCGGCGACGGCGCCTTCCAGGTCACTGTGACCCACTTGTTCCAAGTCTGTTGTTCGCTTTATTTCTTTAATTTAATGGAGACATGAGAGCTACACGAGGTGGTGGAGGGGCTGACACGCGGTTGTAATGGAGGAACAAAATACAATTGTATGATGTCACATTCTGATTTTGATGTGACAGGTCCGGGACGTGCTGGCGGTGGTGTTTCAATTGTATGTCACATCCTGATTTTGATGTGACGATGTGGCAGGTCCGGGACGTGCTGGCGGTGGTGTTTCATTTGTATGTCACATCCTGATTTTGATGTGACGATGTGACAGGTCNAGATGTGTATAAGAGACAGTCCTGATTTTGATGTGACGATGTGGCAGGTCCGGGACGTGCTGGCGGTGGTGTTCCAGAACAACCTGCTGTACTCGTGGGGGGCGGGGGCGCTGGCAGAGCTCAGGTGTCCCGCCAAGTTCTCCATGCGGGACAACAGAATAGCGCGGCCCCCCGCCAGCAGCGCCGCGCCGGTGCTCAATTTCCACCAGACCTGCGGCACGCCTCAGGTGAGAGGCTAGGGGTCGTGAGAGGGGGATCGTAGCTCAACGAGGGTAGTTCAAGGAGGGCAAACTTAACTACAGGAGGGTTCCTATTTATCTCCGCCAGCCGATAGTTCAGGGTCCGCGTTGAGATGCACTGCTGTCCGGGAGGGTTACACCTGGGAAGGTAACTAAGCGAGGGTAAGGGTAATTACGAAAGTTATAATCTTCAGGGACCTCTAGGCGATGATTTTTGAACAAAAAGGTATCTCTCTTTCCAGAATCGGTATAATTGTATAAATAATAAGTGCTTTTAAGTAAATTCTGATCAGAAGAATTGCAAAGCAAAGTCGTCGTATTCGAGTAGAATTGTTTACGTTGCAAGAAAAGAAGAAACCAATTCTTGTGGTTGCTGTCAATAGGTTGCCTGTTATTACACACTGATGAAACTAGTGCCCTGCAGCGTGGCAAGTAAAGGCCGTTTTTGTAGCTTGCGCATTTTTTCAGTCATAGCGATAACATAATTCATTATCAGTAAAGCCACGTATTCGCAGAAATCGGTGTAGTATAGCGGCAGTTTTTGTTGATATATTAATACAAGAAAATTAGTCCCCGCCCTCACGTGGAGGTGGTACTTGTGGACGATGATGACGTGCCTTTACCCTGCCCTCACGTGGAGGTGGTGCCTGTGGACGATGATGACGTGCCTTTACCCTGCCCTCAGGTGTAGGTGGTGTCTGTGGACGATGATGACGTGCCTTTACCCTGCCCTCAGGTGGAGGTGGTGTCTGTGGACGATGATGACGTGCCTTTTTCTGCGGCCACGACGGCAGCGAGCGGAGGCCACACGACTGTGGTGTTCGTGGTGCTGCTGACGGTAGTGATGATAAGCGGCGGGGCGGTGGCGGCGGCGTGGTGGTGGTGGCGGGAAAAGATGGTGTGGAGTCCCGCCAGGGGCGACACGCCGCTCTGTGAGGACCAAGACCTGCCCGACGTGTCAGGCTCCATCGTCAACGCGTGTCACATGAACAAGCCTGAGCCCATCGTCGTCGTGCGGAGATGAGCCGCGCGTAGCCTCTGTATTTAATTAACTCTGCATATTACAGCGGTTAACGTTTTGCCAATTATTTTAGCACATGGAAGAAGTTCTTACGTTCACCTTCTATGAACCTGAATAATTCATGGTAAAAATATGAACCACTGATTTTTCAAATTATTCTATTAATCGAGAATTATGATTTGATAACTAACTGCGTTATTAAAAATAAATAAATAAGTCTATGTTGCGCGGGACGAGAAAGTAGCTCAAAGAAACAATAAAAACTCAGTGAATTGATATGGTCAAAATTTAATTAGCATCTCGGGTTTTTTAAGCTTGACAAAAATCGAAATTGCAAACGAGTTTTCGAAGTCCACGATTCCAAAATTTTACTGAATTGACGTGCAACGAAATAAACTCTCACATAGCCATAGTTGCTCATTAAAATGCTTGCTTATATGGGAAATTAAGAAAAGACATCCGAGGTACCGTGTAACGGGGTGATTTAAATTTTTTTGGCGCTGGTACTGTAATTTTGCAAGTCACACAGGAAATATATAAAATAGTCTTTATATTTTTTGCTTTTTAAGTTATTTCATGGTACTTTGAGCCATCAACACAATTTTTCTAGAGCAAGAACTTTTCCGAGGTGCAAGGTTTTCTAAAAAATCTTAAAGTAAATCAAAACGACCCAATTGACTTCTTTAGGAAATTCATGAGCTCGAACCGTAGTTCCTGTTCAGATCGATTACTATTCCAGAATTTTTGTATATGTTGCATACTAAAGATAAGTCCTCATATCACAGTTACCTCCTGGTATCATTTACCTTGATCACTTATATTTGGCATAAAACTAAACTTTCTCATGGTACTCGAATTTACATTAATAACGATGAAGTTTCCAAACCTATTCCACTAAACGCCTGACAGTAATGTGGCACCCATACACCCATTTCGGCTAGCACGGCTCCGCATTTTGTCAATGTTATCAACATTACTAAGAAAAACGTACAGTATGCATGAATAATGCATTATAGGAGACACAATGAAAAGTATGAGCGGATGGACCTTATTTGTTACTAAAAATTTTATAGCTAAATACGATTACGCGGTTGTGCGATGAGCTTGATAGTTTCTATCTCCAAACACAAAAGCTACTCCAGTAGCTCAGAGATTCTCCTGTCATTCTCACGATTTGAACTCCTTGGATTGAGCTCAGGTCCTAATACAAATGCTCTCATTCGAACATGTCCAGCAGCATCTCATTCCATCTTACACGTTAATGAATTCAGCGAACGTACACACTCCCATCATCATTTGTCACTCCCATCTTGCACCATAGGCTTTTGCTGACGGAAGCAAAAATTATTCAAGCATCGTAAAAAATCAGATTCCCGTGACGCGAGTCTTCCACACACAACAATCTCTTATTCTCATCTTGACTGTGTAGAGATAAATATTGCCAAAAACGATGATCTTCAGAACCACTTGTATAAAAACAGGGATCGACGCACCTTTAGCAATCATTCTACCTCTTAAATTTTATCGATTTAATTACATTGTCATACTTACATGACTTGCTCATCGTGATATTCACGAAGAGATAGTTACAGGTGCCGCCAGTAAGTTAGACCAAGAAACTGACGCAGTTTCAAACCTATACGAAAAGTAGCAATATAACCAATAGTAAAAGTTTTCAGCGAATAGTAAGTTATAAGCATCAAACCTAATTTTAGCTTAAACAAGTAACGATACGATAATAACTTTGGCACACATTACTCATTTGGCGTACAATATAAATACTAAACAACCATCGAGATATTCTAACATTCCATGACCGTATGTACAGAATGATTATTGAATGTAAGTAAAAATGGAAAAAAATCGCAATGGCAGTCGAATTGCTGACTAGAACACAATACTGAAAATTGTGACAGGTTTTTGCAAGTTCAGTTCACGGCAGCGTGGGAGCCGCTGCGACGTGAGGACTGCCGGCGAAGAAGGGACTGCGGTCGCTGAGCAGCAACACGTCCCGCTCATTGATGCTGAACCTGCAATCAAATATACAGGGGTTAGATAAAAAAATATAACTCAGTACTCACTGCAGTGAGTGATAGAGGGCGCATTTTCTCGTTGACGAAAACGTGAAGTCACGGACGGACAGACGGACGGACATGATTAGCACAATAGCACTTTTTTTCCATAAATGAGAAAATGCGCTAATAAAGAAAACACCTGAGAAATCCCAAAAAATATATTTTAGTATGGTGTAGGTTCACCTTTTTCGTCATTACAGCCTCAATTCTCTGAGGTATTGATTCATATAAATTGTGAATTTTTCCATAAAAATTTCAACCCATTCTTCAGTTAAAACTGCCCTCCAGATCTTTCAAGGACGATGGCAGCGGGAATCGACTACCGACTTGCATCTCTAACATCGACCATAAATTCTCGATAGTATTCAGGTCTGGTGATTGTGGTGGCCTATGAGATGCTCTTCTTCATTAGAACGGTCATCTTGCCATTTTTCAACAATTCCAGCTGTGTGAATCGGAGTATTATCATCTTGAAAGATGGCGTTTCCATACGGTAACAGTGCTGGAATCATTGGATGAACATGGTCCTTCAAAATACCTAACTAGTCACGGCTGTTGATTCTTTCAGGAAAAGAAATCATTGGCCCGCCGGATTTACAAAAAAATATCACCCCAGATCATAACATATCCCCCGCCATGTGTTACGGTTGGGAGGAGGCAGTCGGGATTAAATGACATTTAGGCTCCAAACGTAAACTCGATCAGAGGTCGGAAATAAGGTAAACGATGATTCGACAGAGAAAATCACATCTTTCCACTGCTCGAGGGATAAATTCAGAAGGTTTTTACACCACTCGAAATGCTTTAAAGCCTTTGTATTGAAACCAGAGGTTTTCTAATTACAGCTCTTCCATAGTTTCCAGTTCGGTGCAGCCCTCGGCCGACAGTCTGTATGGAAACTGGGTTTTGTAGGTGTCCATCGAGGTCTGCAGTAATTTTAGCAGCCGTGGTCTTTCTATTATCCCTCAACAATTCGATTTAGGCACCGACGGTCTCTCTCAGACAACTTCGACTTCAGGCCAGACCTGCGCTTTGCTGAGGACGATTTTCCTTCCCTTTGACAAGCTGCCATTACTTGAAAGACAGTACCTCTAGAAACGTCAAGCATTCGGGAAGTTTCTGTCACACTAGCACCTGCCATACGGGCACAAAGAATTTGGCCTCTTTGAAAGTCAGAGAGCTTTGGCATTTTTAGGCCATAGGTTAGGTTTGCCATTCTTAGACATGAAAATTTACTCAAAATATCTGAGTTAGGATAAAATATCAATCAGCAGCAAGAATGAACAAAACAATAAAACATAAAATAGTCACTTTTAGATATATAGGTATAGAAGTCTAACGCACCTCAGAATGCCCTGGTAGAGACCCTTGGGTTGGCCCGAATCGCCGAAGTCGAAGAGCCCAAAACAGCGGCACAGCAGCGCCAGCCCTGACCAGGTCTCCGACGCGGCGCTCTCTCGGTACGGCAGCACCACAGCCGACCTGTTGCGTGACGTAACAAGTGACTCAGTATATAGATATCGATTAGCTGCTACATGGAAATTACATCATGAATATTTCTGATGAATTGTATTTCCAACACGGTAGTTCAGTTTAGTTTAGTGGCCAAATGTTTACTAGCGCTTCAGCTATTTAGCTATCTCGCACCAAAAGTCAAGATGAACATCACCATAGAGGTGGAAGGTTTCAATTATTCATCACCCACAAGGGGCGGAAGGTCTCAGATGTCCAGCCCGCTGAAGCTGACTCGAAAGAAGCAGCGTTAGCATCTCAAAGAGACGAAGTGACAAGGAGGGACAGGTGAAAAGCAACAGAAACTAAGACACTCGAACAAGAGGTGGCTTACACGGGACGTCGGCCGCCCGCACGAGAGAGACAGAGAAGGGAAATGTAAGGAATCCTACCTACATAATAACTTAATGTAAGGAATCCTACCTACATAATAACTTAACCCCACAACTGAGACCTGCAGTCATACACCGCGAGCTCAGCGGTGGGGCGCTCAGGAACAATCCCCCTAGGAGCGCGAAATCCCATAGGACTTCTGACGGGCACAGACACACGTCAGAAGTACCCCCTGAGGGGTTCCAACACGGTAAACATCACACACGCGATCAGATGTATGAAACACGAGATGAGAAAAAAAAAAACGCCGATCGCAGAGAGGAAGTAGTATCTAACAATATTCGAGGAGAGATGAAAGCGTCAGAACCCGATATTATAGGATAATACATAGCCAGACCTCTTAAGATGTCTCCCCCGTAAATACTCGTATAATTTCAATACATTGATTCGAGTGTAGGTGTTTCAAATCTCCCTTTTGTTTAATTAATCACTCGTGAATATCACCCTCCCTGTCCGCTTGACCGTAAAAACTTTTCACTTACGGTAGGTTCCAGGTTTTCAAGTCCCAGGTTAGTTTTTATAGTTGTGGACATATCTTCGTGATTTATTGAAGACAATGAACCTAAATTGAAACAATGATACAGACCCTCCGCCAGAAGGGGACAACCACGCGAAGCAGACCCGCCGCCTCAAGTTTTTACTTAACCAAACGTCTAACACGGCTTCAATAAAAGGGGCGTGTCTTGGCGAACATTTTGTGCGGATATTCAACAGTAAGAGAAGGCACACGTCAAAATATATCAAAGCCCCACCGGTAGTCCGTTCACTTTGTTGTCAAGGCCACCGTTTGCCATTTACTAACGCATTTATGACACCGCCGTCAGTCCGTTAACTCTGTTGTCAAGGCCACCATTTCAATTTACTAACGCATTAGCATTAACGCTACCACCGCCAGTCCGTTAACTCTGTTGTCAAGGCCACCATTTCAATTTACTAACGCATTAGCATTAACGCTACCGCTGTCAGTCCGTTATACGCATTAAGGCCACCCATAGTAATGCACTTACGCATTATTGCTCGTCGTGGGCAGAACGAGCTGTTTCTCGTTAGATGCGCAGCGTCGCACCTCCTCGGCCGTGACGCGCCACAGGTCGCCTGCACAGAGGTTAACAAATTAAGAGGTCAACAGGGTTAACAGGTTAAAAGTGTCATCAGGTCAACAGGGTTAACAGGTTAAAAGTGTCATCAGGTCATCAGGGTTAACAGGTTAAAAGTGTCATCAGGTCAACAGGGTCGTCAGGTCAAAGGGGTCAACTGTTTAGCAGGTTCAAAGGGGTTAACTCGTCCTCCACATAGTAGCTGGTTACCTGTATATAAAGGCTCAAGCATACGATTTCATGGCTCTAGGAATGCACCACGTTGTCCTTAACGGCACACATTGCACAATTAGCTCGCATTAACGACAAAGGATTGGCCATCGTTATCATCTGGCGTCTGCCCCGCGTGTCACGGCGTCTGCCCCGCGTGTCACGGCGTCTGCCCCGCGTGTCACGGCGTCTGCCCCGCGTGTCACGGCGTCTGCCCCGCGTGTCACGGCGTCTGCCCCGCGTGTCACGGCGTCTGCCCCGCGTGTCACGGCGTCTGCCCCGCGTGTCACGGCGTCTGCCCCGCGTGTCACGGCGTCTGTCCCGCGTGTCACGGCGTCTGCCCCGCGTGTCACGGCGTCTGTCCCACGTGTCACGGCGTCTGTCCCGCGTGTCACGGCGTCTGCCCCGCGTGTCACGGCGTCTGTCCCACGTGTCACGGCGTCTGCCCCGCGTGTCACGGCGTCTGTCCCGCGTGTCACGGCGTCTGTCCCGCGTGTCACGGCGTCTGCCCCGCGCGTCACGGCGTCTGTCCCACGTGTCACGGCGTCTGTCCCGCGTGTCACGGCGTCTGCCCCGAGTGTCACGGCGTCTGTCCCACGTGTCACGGCGTCTGCCCCGCGTGTCACGGCGTCTGTCCCACGTGTCACGGCGTCTGCCCCGCGTGTCATGGCGTGCCCCGCGTGTCACGGCGTCTGCCCCGAGTGTCACGGCGTCTGCCCCGCGTGTCATGGCGGGCCCCGCGTGTCACGGCGTCTGTCCCGCGTGTCATGGCGGGCCCCGCGTGTCACGGCGTCTGTCCTGCCCCACGCCACTCATGTCACCCACCGCGGTCCAGGAGCTGCTGCAGGAGGCGCGTGTAGTGGTCTCCTCTGAGCTGCTCCACGCCCGTCACTTCCACGTAGCGCCTGCACGTGAGATGCAAGCTCAGCTAATATAATACATACCTATATTACATAATATACGATAGGTCAGGTGCATATACAATGTATCGAACAATAAATAGTGGATGCATATACAATAAACTGAAGAAATAAGTACAATAATTCAAATGCAGCTCCAGTAAATTTTTATTCAAATGTGACCAGGTATTTACAATATGAGAAGAATTAATAGCAAGACGATTGTCTCGTATATATAACTCCCAAATCAACCAACGCAAAAAATTCCAAAACGAAGTCATTTTGAGGGTTTAACATAATTTACCATACATACGTATTTTGAAAGTATCTCATCTGCCTAACTATATTTTCATTGAATTCAAGTAACATTACGGATATGAATTATAATAATTATATGTTAATTTGTGAGTTAGAATATGATAAGAATTTTTGTATTGATTCTCGAGTACCAAAGAATTACAAGTTTGGGAGATTGATTACAGACTGAACTTTTTATTATTTAAGTAATTCACAGCATTGAAAATATTATAGCCTTCCATTTAAAGAAACTTAAATCGTTAAGCAACATGGAACATTATTACATATACCGGTATACTAAATCATTACATAGTTAATATTTAGCAGTCAACACTATAACAAGCACCTAAATAATGAAAAAAATATACAAAAACCAAAAGCATTAATAAATAATCAACTTGACTGCGATCACGCATGGTCCACGCACAGGCTGGTGCGCCTGAGCCTGAAGAAGAGCTGCTGTACGAGCGTCTGGTGACGGAGGCGCTGCAGGTGCGGGGCAGACGGCCGCACCAGCACCCGGGACACTTCAGGGACCACCACCCATTTTTCCGCCACCCCGCCACCCGCCAGTCGGCCTCCCGCCACCCCGCCACCCGCTAGTCGGCCTCCCGCCACCCAGTCACCCGCCACCCAGCTCTCCCATCCAGCCGACCCTCTGAAACACGAACGACAATTTCAATAAAATGCCAATGAATGAATATGGAGATATAATTCAACGATTCAATACTAATTTCAATAAAATATTAACGACCTCCAAACAGAAAAAAAAACATATCTATTGCAACACAAAGAATAATTTTATGAAATATTAACGGCTTCTATACGGAGAAACACACTTTAAATATCAACATATTTGCACTGAACAATGACATTAAACTTCCAAAGAACTGAAAGGAGAGAAGCTTATGCTTGTCAATAGATAAAAAACACTACCAAAACTATTAGTAGAATTGCAGAAAAGAACCAAAGGAACTTAATAGATTATGAGGCCCGCATCAAGACCAAGTGTAACTAACATTACCTATCTTATGTGATAGGATATGGGGCTAGTATCATGACCAAGTGTGGCAAACATTATCCCATGTGATAGACTATGAGGCTAGTATCATGACCATGCGAGCATAAATGCCGAAACGGCACCACAATAAAACTACCTTAGGCTTATAGCCTCGTATTACAGCACAACGTCAGGGTGCCCGAACGACTGGGCGGAGCAGCAGACTGGATATTATTATCATTTTAACTATCAGAATTGTTATTATAGGAAGAGATGATGGTCTGGTACAACCAGAACTTGGAGCACACGTGAACACATTACGTGTTGCGAGAAGTTAGCAGGTGTTGCGTGAGGACGTGGTGCGTGACCACGAACGCCACGCGCGGCGTGTCCGAAACCCGCAGCACCGCGCTTGCTCTGCCGTTCACCCCGCTGTAGCCTGCAGACCAGAGGGTGGTGTTTAGTGGTCTACAGACCAGAGGGTGACGTTTAATGGTCTACAGACCAGCGGGTGATTTTAATGGCCGGCAGGTGGTGTAAAGGGTCTCTAGACCATGGGTGATTTTCAATTCTCTGCAGACCAGAGGGCAGCATAAATGGTCTACAGACTAGAGAGTAGGTAGTATTTAAGCGTCATTGACGACAAGCCGTAGTTTAGTATTATCATAATTCAAATTTATTGAAGATTTTTGCACGCCCAACCTTTATGGGTCTTCATGGTCAAGAGCCAGTATAACTTTAACATTAAAAACTCATGAATGTTGAAAGATGATCTTTGCACGTTAATATGTTATCAAGTTATTGCACTATACATGTAAACCTATTTGTTAATGATTTGGTAGACATTAAAATACAACACGTAATTTACATTTTTACAAATTTATAGTAGACGCGATCAGGAAGAGGCTGGCTCATAACGGCCATCGAAAGAAACCGCAAGAAATAGAAAACAAATTAAATCTTGACAGATTTGAACATCGCAATGCAATGAACAGCTCGGAAGGAGATGCCTGCTGTGGTTAGGTTAGAAACTAAATTCACATGGGATACTGAAATGTCAAAGTCTAGCAATGACCAAAAACATGCCTACCGATAGTTTATACTTGAGGTTGTGGTATGAGAACAACAATGCAAGCGTTACACACAAAACCGTGAACTTTAGAATTACACAGAACACAAAGATTCCATGAACTGCAAAGATTTCATAAACTGCCAAGATTTCATAAACTGCCAAGATTTCATAAACTGCCAAGATTTCATAAACTACCAAGATTTCATAAACTGCAAATATTTCATAAACTGTAAAGATTCCATATAGGTACCTACTGTAAAGATTCCATATACTGTAAAGATTCCACGAACTGTAAAGATTCCACAAACTGTAAAGATTCCACAAACTGTTAAGATTCCACAAACCATAAGGATTCCATGAACAGTAAGGAACCAAATCAAGTCCATGAAATGTAGGGACTCCACGAACCGTAAGGATTTCAAGAACAGCAAGGACTTAATGAACCGTAAATATTTCACAAACAGTAAGGACTCGACAAACTGTAGGAATTTCAAGAACATTGCGGACTCCATGAACCGTAAATATTCCACAAACCGTTAGGATTCCACGCGGACACAGCCATGGCTCTGGGTTCAGCGAGGAGGGGCAGGACGGCGGCCACGTACGGGAAGAAGTCAGGGCTGAGCACAGCGCCTTCCTCAAGTATGACCACGTGCGAGCTGCTCACGTACTCCCGGGCCACGTGCTCCATGCTGCGCTCCACGAACTCAGCTGTGGGTGAGGATAAAAAGATTATAAAGGCTCCATGAACTCCAAACACTGCTTCACAAACTCAACTGTGTGTGTGTGAAAGGGATAAAAGGATTATAAATGATATATAATTAAATCGACATTTTTCTTTTTTTGTGAAACTATCTAAACAGCGTACATAATTATTAGCATTTATTTCCATTGGTAATGCTGAATTGGATTCTAATATAAACAAAGAATAAGCAATTAACTGAATATTTATTTTTTCACGAGGCTATTTTTACAGCATAATTTTTATTATCTATTACCACTTCTAATGCTAAATTGGATCTAATAAAGCCCCAAATACAATGTGTTTTCACCTCTATTGGCGGCATCAGTGACGGGCAGAACTGAAAAGTTGAAGAGCTGCGCCAGCTCCCGCGCGTCTGGCAGTAGGAGAGGTTCAAACGCCACCACCACCAACCTGTGTAAACACCAACTTGAGCGTAAATAACAGCTTTGGTTGGGGGTGAAATAACAACGAGACTTGAGGTCAAATACTGGCGAGGCTTGAGCGTAAATAACAGCTTTGGTTGGGGGTGAAATAACAACGAGACTTGAGGTCAAATACTGGCGAGGCTTGAGCGTAAATAACAGCTTTGGTTGGGGGGCGAAATAACGGTGAGACTTGAGGTCAAATGCTGGCGAGGCTTGAGCGTAAATAACAGCATTGGTTGGGGGGTGAAATAACGGTGAGACTTGAGGTCAAATGCTGGCGAGGCTTGGGGTCAAATAAGAGGATGAACAAAGCTCTTGTGTAAGCCAATGACGGGGGAAAAGACCTTACAGCAGCTTTTGTGCTTGGTTCAAAAATTTCTCTGCAAAATTATGCGTGGATAAATTTGAGCTTAAGTAAATGACTGAGTTTTCACTGTTAATTCTATTGATTGTAGTTTTCAAGATATGACGCATTAGGTTGGTACCATCCTGAGCTGTTCAGTTTACATATATATGTATATATATATACGGTATATATATATATATAATATACCTGTAAAAGCTTCATCGGATGATCGAGTATCTAAATACGCGAAGTGAGGTTACCAGCTCTGTTGCTGGCAACAGACAAATGACTGCCGCGTTTTGGGTTCCACAAATAAAAACGCCCCTCACACATAATTTACCTCATTCTAAATCTTACTTTAGTTCCAGATTTCCATGCACATTCAATACACAATATTAACAATAAGGCACGACCGTGCATACCTCGGCACGAGAGCTGACTGAGCCGCGAGGGTTTGGAGGGTGAGGGCGAGGGTCGGCAGATCCGTTTGCCCCAGCACCAGCACAGGCGCCCTCAGCAGCGGGCTGTCCGATAGACCGCGGCTCACGGGCGCCTCGCATACGCCCACGGGCTCGTATTGACCCGTGACTGCTCACAAAAACTGCATTTAGACCCTCGGGCATCCAACCATGAATCCTAAAAATCTCATGAATGGGAACAAGAGGAAGAGTGCTGGATTAAGATGGAGACATACTCGGATCAGAGATTTCTCGAGACTGGTTTCATGGCATTCGAAATGGGAGTCAAGAAAAGGAAATACCCATCAGGAAAAATACACTCAACAAAAAAGTTACTTTCATAATTCCAAGGTCAAAGCAAGACACGTACGTTATCTTAATAAATGAGCAAAAATTTTACAGCCACACATATGTAGAAACCCCACATCACAATTAATTCACCCTTTACACTGATTTAGTCTCATTGGTACAAATAAATAAACATATTTCCTTGCATAATATGCACCACGCACTGCGCACCATGGCACATTGTACTCTAGTGCATCTCAGCAACAAATAAATTGATGCATGACATGAATACAAACACATTAAACAATGAATATATAGTTGTATAATATAAATATAAATACATATTAATTATTGTACGGCAGTAAGAGACCAGAGCAGAGGTGCTGGAGGTACGGACGGCGGGCGCAGAAGGTAGCGCGAGCAGCGTTGTAGGAGAGGCTCGCGTCAGGAGCTATCGGCAACCCACGCACTGAGGAGACATGACAGCGTCAGCAGCGGTAGTGAGTGGTAGTTAGTGAGTGGTGACTCATTTCCATATAGTGAGTGGTGACTCATTACCATATAGTGAGTGGTGACTCATTTCCAAGTATGAATTATATCAAATATGTATGACTATCATACCAACTCTTTACTATGATAGTAAAATGACACGAGTCAAGGTCAAAATAACATAGTTACAATAAAATAGACATTTCTAAGCCGCAACATAAAATTAGGAGAAAAAAGTATGAAAAACAAACTCATATTGCAAGCCAAGGACACACACTACCACACTTACATTAGGATAATGTCATCCAGAAACGCTTATTCAATAATGTTTCTGTATATAGTAAACCTTTTATATCACGTACCGGTATTCAATCAATATTCAATATAAAAGGTTTACTGCAAATATTCCCTTAAACAGACCGTGTTTTGGGACGCAGGCCGCGGCGGCGATGCTGTTATCCTCTCCTCTGCCCAGGATTTGCTCGTAGGGTGTGAATCCTTTGATGCCTTCCTGGCCGATCATGTACCACTGATCCTGATACCCAAGGTTCTGGATCTGTCCGCTCCCTGACAAGTGGATTGTCAATACATGAAGTTTCTAATAGAAATGGATACCTAATCATAGTTCTTGCACCTCCCTTGACTCGAAGTATTATCACAAACAGAAAATTCCATAGAATTTAAAATGGCAATGAAATCAATATTGAGCAACATTTAATGCTACATCCATACAAATGAGAATCAATAGCAAAAAAAATCAAGTTTTTCAGTGAGCGTCTTGAATTTTATGCAGAATTTGCCCCAAACAAAAGAGCCCCAATTCACATTTTTTAGCTTACAAAATGTCTCCTATTTAGTGAATAAAACGCCAAAAGAAATGAACACATAAACCAATGAAAATGCATTATTATTAATCTAATCTAAATGAAAATTCAACAAAATATGATAATTTTACATTCAATTAACTAAACATTTGAGGTTTGGCAAACTCTTGCTTAAGCCTCAGATCAAAAGAGCAAAATAATTCCACAAAAATGTATAGTTTAAAACATAGGAGTCTGAATTAGCTCAAATAGTTAAAACAAATTTCACACATCAAAAAGTTTAGACTATAGTCATATATATGCTGCGTATGGATTTGTAAACATCAAAAGGTCTAAAACATTTTGTATCTTTATGCTCACAAATTCTTATTTGCAATGCAAAAGTTGCAAAAATAGAAAAAAAAGAAATATCTATAAGCTAAGAACTTACCAAGGCGAGCAATGAGATGACGTGCGTGGTGGGAGAGATTCCTTGATGCCTCGTCAAATGTCAGCAGGACTACGATCTGACCCGCTGCTATGTCATCACGAAGAAAGTCTTCCAGAGCTTCAGACTCCAAGTTGTGAGTGTCAAAACTAAAGGAAATGCAACAGAATTTTACAGATAACATATGAATATATGTTATGATATAACATTCATACAGTTTTACTTATAAAACGTTTTAAGTTATAGGCATAAAAATGATACTATAAGACCTTTGGCATGGTGCTTTTGAAATTAAGGACATGAACTTACTAAAATTTTGTTTCATCTTGAAATTATACATGATTAATTATGCCAAATATTATGTTTTTACCTTCGGGCTTTAACAGGCTGGAGAGTGACAGGGTCAACAACAGCCACGTTGATGCCACGACCACCTCCATTCACACCAAGTTCTGTGACACTGTGTGCAGTCAATGGATGCATTCCACACAAATTCTTTAGGAAATTCTTCTTCTATGAATAGTTAAAATATTAATATAGTAACAAAAAGTCTGAATACAGTAGATGTGTCTTGCATGCTATACCGTATACCAAATTTTATAATTAGCATGGTAATTCCAATACTTTACATGGTAATTCCAATAATTAGCATGGTAATTCCAATAATTATCATGGTAATTCCAATACATAGCATGGTAATTCCAATAATTAGCATGGAAATTCAAATAAATGTTACCAGTCCTTTCACTAATTATAACAAATATGAGATTATAGGTATGAAAATAACATAAAATTCAAGCATTACTGCAATGTTTTGGCTTTTTGAATTTCTTGATTTAATAGAGATCAGCCTAAACTACATTCACCTTTTTACCCAGTACACAAGGCTCATCACAAAAAGATGTTATTTTAATCTCACAGCAAGACAAGCCTTGGTTATGAAATACTATCATTATATAAACAAGTCATAAGCACAGGCAGGAGACCCACAATTTGCCAGCAATGCAGATCCTTGGCATGTCACTAGGATGGGATGAAACACTGACTGGCACGTGGTCTTCAGGGCACAGTTCAGGGAGACCACAATTTGGCAAAACTGCTCCTACAGAAAGCCACTCCTTTGGTGGCTCAGCTGCAAATACAAATTAACTTCAACAGACAATAAAAATTGGCTGCAACATCATAATTGCTTCACCTTATTCAAGAGAATTAATAAATAAAGGAAACTTCAAGTGATCATTTCATGCAATGGTTCTTATAGAACAGCATAATAACTATCAAAAAGAACTGCATATAGGTAGCTATTAATATCTATGTATTCTTGTAGTTTTGATAATGAAAAGACTAAGGAACATAAGATGTCTTCACTAATAATGATTACCAGGTAGTCATCACGAACAAAAACAAAAATTTATATGTTGATTTAAATAACTTTAAATATACCTATTAAGAATCAAAGGCATAGGTAAATGACGATGCTTGGATACATTAAAAGGAAATATTAATCAAAAAATATATACACAAACATTTTGCTTAAAACACAATGTAGATATGAATAGAAAGCTTCATGAGAAAAGCTAGTCTAAAGTTGAATGATATAATTGAAAATTCAGTGTAAATGCATAAAAATACATTTATACTGTACATGTACTGACCATGGTAGAGTTCAGCACGCGTTGCATTTCCAATGTAGAGCTCAGGGACTTTCTTCTGTCCAGATGAGAGGATGAAATCCACAACAGAACTCACAAAATAGTAGCCAACAACAATGGCTGCCGCAAGAAGCAGTAGCCGACATAATGCTGTCAAAATAAAAAATGTTGATGCTCATTATGATAATCTAATGAGAGTAAAAAGTGATGAGATATGAAGTTCAGTTTATTATTTTGTGCTTAGATGCATTATTTTTCAATGCACCCTTTAAAAAAATTACAGCACAAATTTTCAGATTTTGTTGTAAATTACTGCCTGTCATTAAAATTACAATACCTTCTATCTGAGCCACATTAAGACTTCCATTATATATGTTTCAACCAGGGTTGGCGATTTTTTTGATTTTTTTAAAAAAATCAAAAAAAATCAAAAATCAATGATTTTTTTGATTTTTTCATGATTTTTTTGATTTATTTGATTTTTTTGATTTTTTCAACTTTTTTGTCTTTTTGAAGTGTTATTTTTTATGTTGCAATTAGCCTACTAACAATAGCAGTATATAGATCATAATGGATGTAATTGTTTTGTTTCTAGTTTTAAATTCACATATTTAAAGATTGAAATTAAATATTTTAATTAGAATACTCGTATTAGGGTGGAAAATCTTTCTAATTGCCTAAAAGGTCAATACAATCTCAACCTCTCAATATACAGGGTGAGGCAGAGCCCATTGAGCAGTTTTGAGGTAAAATAAAAGAGTAATGGAGGTATATAAAGAAGAAAGTTTATTTTCCTAGAAGTTAGCATAACATACCATTTAGAATACTTATGTTTTGAAAACAATATCTGGAAGATGGGTGCTATTAGCTGTAACACACTGTTGGAGTCGTTTTCGGAGGAGGGAGTAACCGTAACAGTGAATTCCGATCGCTATGCTGCAATGTTGCAAAATTTCTTGCAACCCATGATGGAAGACATTGTTGAAATGAAGCATTGCCAGACGTGTGGTTCCAGCAGGATGGGGCTACAGCTCACACAGCTCGAATGTCACCCAATGTTTTGAAACGCATGTTTCCCAGAGGTCTGGTGTCTCTGAGGGGTGATTTACCTGTGAGGTCACCTGATTTGAGCATTTGCGATTTCTTTCTTTGGGGACATCTAAAAGAGAAGTTCAGAAGTTGCCCTCACACCCTACCACAGCTAAGGGGATGGATTATTGCAGCAGAGGTTATGGCCATACCTCGCCATATGTGTGAACGTGCTGAAGAAAACTTCCGAGAACGACTCCAACAGTGTGATGCAGCTAACAAACCCCCATTTTCCTGATATTGTTTGCAAAACATAAGTATTTTAAATGGTATGTTATGCTAATCTTGAAGAAAATAAACTTTCTTCTTTATGTACCTCCATTACTCTTTTATTTCGCCCCAAAACTGTTCAATCAGTTCTGCCCCACCCTGTATAATAAGCTAGCTAACACATTTAAATTGTATATTGTAATCAATATATAACAAATAGTCAAATAGTTAAAGACTACTTATAGTCTTATAAGAATTAGCTAAGCTGCTAGCTACCTACAATGTATTGCACACTTGATGCCTCTGTACCAAAAACATTCAATTTATTTGAACCTAATACACACTAAAGGCAACAAGTTTATATACCAATTTGTCATTTATAGTACATTTATACTAAACCATGAATAACAATACCTCAGTATAAATTAAAGACTGCCACTCAATATATTTAATTATATGAAAAAATCAAAAAAAATAAAAAAAATCGAAAAAATCAAAAAAATCATGATTTTTTTATAAAAAAATCAAGTGATTTAATCACATGATTTAATCATTTTGATTTAATCATTGCCAACCCTGGTTTCAACATTATGCATAATAGAGAAGCTTCTGCCAAACTACACCAAGTTTCAACATTGGTAGATTCTGATCTCATCAGGACAGAGAAATTTTTGCATGCAGCCTTAAAGTAAATACATATATGTACATAAGGCTGTATATTTCAAGTTAAACATATTATAAGTACCTAAACTTGGTACCTATGACACATACTAACATAAAAGTATGTTCAAGCTTATTTGACATACATATTGACTGCTTATTATTGATACATATTATGTGCAGCATTATTAGCACCATTCATGGATGACTGGATGTTTTGGTAAACATACGAGTATATGACCCAATGATACTTCCCTATACTTATTACTTTTTATTGAACTTTGTTTGGCTATTTAGCCTACTTATTATTCAATAGAGCTCATAAGACTTGCACACTAAAAAGGCGGAATAAAAATCAAATGACAATTATGACATAAGTAATAGTATAATTTCATTTCCCATTTTCTTGCCACAGTGGCTTGAAATACTGATGCATCAGGCAGAACTTGCAAATATTGATAAACAATAATCTAAGTTAGAGAGGACATAGTCAACCTAGAAACAAGAATTTACTCAGGATTCACTTTCTAGAAAATATCATGAATGAAGGTTCAACTTACTTAAAATGATCCTCATTGTTCAGCTAAAAAAAATGACATTTTAAAAATTAATTTCGCAAGAAAATTACAGTTCAATGGCAATAAAATGTTATCTCAATTTATTATTCATCCTATCTTACCAGCCATGAAAATTATAAAATTATAAATAAATATACCTACAACAGTGTTAATTGATATGCTTGCATTTATTCATTTTAGCACTGGCCTCTGAATATGCATAACAAGGCTGTTAAATTTTCAAATTGAAGTTTCAGCTGGTAGGTACTGTAGTAACTGTACATTTACCCTTATGATAATTTGATGATTTCTCTTTCATGGAAATTTTAAGTGAACAATAAACAAATCAATATTTGAAATAAATTAGGCAAGGATAAACTGTTCAAAATTTGACATGTTCCAGATCAAATTTTTATAATCCAACAGTAAACATTGATTTAATAACTTGAAAAATTCACATGGTTTTAAGTATGAGGAAATCAGAAATGGTATCAAGCAAGAAACATTCTCAAGAGAAGCCTAAAATTTAGTATTATTAAACAGAATCTAAAGAACAACCTAGTTAAAATAAAAGGACATTCTAAATTTCTAAGGAATGAAGAAAAGCCTAACAATTGTATAATAAAATTGCATCAATACAATACCCAGACCAGAGTCAGAGACAAAGCAATAGGCTAAAAACAAGGTATGCATGTAGGTATGTGTCAAGTGTCATAATGTGTGACTAATGAATTAATGACTACTAATTGACTATTGACAATAATAAAAAAAGCTAAAATAAAGCAGTGCAGCAACATGGATACCTAATGTAAAACAGTAAAAGTGCTAAATTATTATGGTAAAAGAAAATAGATAGACTTGAAACCATAACAATAGAAATTAGAATAGATTAAAAAAATCCTGAAATCACTGCAGAAAGATCAAATGTAAGAAATAAGAAGTGGAGCAATATGAATAGGTAGGTAAATCATAAATGGTGGTCATGCAATAGCTAAATGAAAATTAGGTATTAGGTTTTTGTCCAAAACTGGTATCTTGTATATTGTAGGTATAAGATAGTTGACTCACCAACACAAAGATTAGCAATTCCACTTTTGAAGTTTACTAGGTACCTATTCCATTCCAGTGGGACCAGTGCTAGTGGAATGAGTGGGTTATTGTGTGGTTCACCATTCAGTGGTTGCACTTCAGAAGTTCAGTCTCCACTAAACGATTATATTTAGAAATGAATATTTAGTATGATCAATTTCATACATTGATGATAACCTTGATAATTTGAACCCTGAAAGAATGAGTCTGAGAATAACAATTTAGCTAGTCAGCTACGAGCCTACGACCAAGGTGTCTGGCGTCTGCTGCTCTTGTCACTTCTCAGCTATGATGATTGAGCATTTCAAATAGCGGTGATCGAAACCTGAAATTGTTGGTTGGATATTTCATGTTTGAATAGGCAACCAGCCTACCAGGCCATGGCCATGGTTATGGGCAGGCGGCAGCAGCTGAACTTCTGAAGGGCAGCAGAAGCCCAAGATATCTAGTATACAAACTTAGCAGGTTCAACTTTTAAGTTACCGTCATGCATTACACATAGGGCTAAGGGCACCATGACGGCTAAAGATCCTTCGATTAATCGAGGTTCAACAAGTGCCCTGTTGAGAGGAGAGCAACTCCACTCACCTTCTCTTCTTGTTTGATGTTTATTGGAGCTTTGGAGACGTGTCCATGTCTGCAAGGGGCTTCAGTTGTTACAGCAGTCCCAAGTCCCAACGGGATGCAATAAAACTATTCGTCAGAAACGTTGGTTAGAAAAAAATTATCTTATGTACTGTGCAGTTATCTGGCTTGACGATAATTAGCCAAATTGAACACGTTATATTTTTTCCCTCTCTGTTTCAGTGTTTGGAACATTTTGACACTTTTTTCCTGTGTTTGATTAAATTGACACTTTTTCCTTTTTTTTATCAGTGTCATTCCACGTGGCACTTTTTCCTCTTCGCTCAACATGAGCAAGCCACGGAAACAGGTCATCTTCATTTTGCTTATTTTCGTACATGCTTGCATATTGCATTAATCTATTTCGGGTGTGATCACTTGCTGCGGTTGAGCAGATAGCTTTTGGTCCGAATAAGGGACTCCAGTACCGTAGTTGAAATTTTATTCCGTTGCTTTTTTTCACAGAGGTGACTTGTGAAAACACTTGCACCACGAATGCTTTGGAGACAGGTCAAAGTAGACAAGTGATGCATTAGGCAGCCAGTTCCCTGAATGGATGATAATTGTCAAGATCAGTGAAATGTTGAATGGCACCCCAGAATTCAAGTGGCACTCCAAGAAGTGGCACTCTAGAATTCAAAACCACCAAACAAAAATGGTGGAGTTTGCGTCGCAGAGATCCGTTCGACATCCTAACTCGTCCTAGGCCATATCATCAGTTCATCACTGATCAGTAATCAATCGAGGATCATCACTCTCATGCTCATAAATTGGGGGTATTTTATCAAGCGGTAAACTTGCGGTTCCAAAAATGGCGGGAAACCTCTAGTCGCGCCACTCTGATGGTAATCTATATAATCCACGCCTACGTTGGAGGAAATTTAAACTTCAGAGGTGGAACTTAATGCACTAAGTCAGAAAATACCAGATTTAGGCAAATATACCAGATCTAAAATGTTCATACCAGACAACTTCTGAAAATACCAGATTTGTGAAATCTGGTATAGAAATATACCATCTGGCAACGCTTGACCCTGATGCTGTCTGCACGGCAATTCGATCCGAATTGCCAAATCGGTCGTTGCATCAGAAATCAGTCCCAACAGTCGTGTGGGCCAGTGTTGCCAGGTTTTTTCTTGGCGAGAATACCAGACTGCCTAGCTCAAAATACCAGAAATTCTATTGTTCAAAAACAGACTAATGCCTCCAAATTTAATGAAACTATTCGTCAGAAACGTTGGTTAAACAAACAAAAAAAAAAAAAGATTACCTTATGTAGTGTGCATTTATCTGGCTTGACGATAATTAGCCAAATTGAACACGATATATTTTTCCCCTCTGTTTGGAACATTTTGACACTTTTTTCCTGTATCTGGTTACATTGACACTTTTTCCTATTTTATCAGAGGAGATAAACTGGCAATGCCTCGTACTGGCAATGCCTTATCACAGTGTGGCACTTCTTCTCCTTCGCTCAACATGATCAAGCCACGGAAACAGGTCATCTTCCATTTGCTTATTTTCGTACATGATTGATTGTATTGCATTTACATAACATTTCGGGTGTGATCGATCACTTGCTGCGGCTGAGCAGATAGCTTTTTGTCCGAATAAGGGACTCTAGTACCGCAGTTGAAATTTTATTTCGTTCCTTGTTTTTCACATAGGTGACTTGTGGAAACACTCCCATTGGAGACAGGTCAAATAGACAAGTGATATCACTTGTCTATTTGTTCACTTGTCCACTTGTCAAATAGACAAGTGAAGTCAAATAGACAAGTGAATGCATTGGAGACAGTTCAAAATAGACAAGTGATACTTGTCTTAAGTTGTCTACTACTACTATCTGCTTGTCAAAGTAGACAAGTAGGCAGCCAGTTCCATGAATGGATGATGACTTTCAAGATCAGTTAAATGTTGAACATCACCCCAGAATTCAAGTGGCTCTCTGGAATTCAACACCACCAAACAAAAATGGTGGAGCTTGTGTCGCAGAGATCGGTTCGACAACCTCACTCGGCCTAAGCCCTATAATCACTGATCAGTAATCAATCAAGGATCATCACTCTCGTGCTTATATCTCAATAAACACTTTTGTTATATGTTAACAATTAGATTGGGGTTATTTCATCAAGCGGTAAACTTGTAGTTCCCAAAATGTCGGGAAACCTCTAGTCGCGCCGCTCTGAAGGTAATCTATATAATCCACGCCATCGCTGGAGGAAGTTCAAACTTCAGAGGTGGAACTTAATACAGTTAATTTGCAATAGGTCAGACAAATACCAAATTTAGGCAAATATACCAGATTTAAATATTCATACCAGAGGGAGCGCTGCCGTAGCCCAAAAATTTGATTCTTAAATCAGCCTAAGAGCCAATGCCAACCCTCTACATGCAACAGAAATAGTCAGCCTAAATCCTATGCAGCTGTTCTTACTTGCCTCATCTTGTTTCAAGCCACACCAGCTTGAAACAAGCAATGCCTCAGCCCACAAGCTGATACTCCAAACGGATTACGCCCAATAGCTCCTACACCAATGATTTAAGCCCATACCATCACTTGTTACAAATGCCGTAAGCCGCAGGGTCCGTAGACCGCACCAGACTGCCGTAAATGGGAACGGCCCCGCACCGGACTGTCGCATCACCTTAGCCACTTCGCAAGAGTAAGCCCAGCCCTGACGCTCACCAGCATCTTCTCCCTCCACATTTACCCCCTTCTCTCCACCTTTCCGCGAAAAGGTTAGGTTTGGTTAGAATTCTTCCGCAAGCTGGTAGCGAAAGGAGGGGGAGCAGGGGGTAAGCGTGGAGGTTTAGCCTCCAGAAGAACGGACAGGCTGGAGAGGTAGCAGTGTGGCGCAGGGCGTACCGAAAGGAGGGGGAGCAGGGGGTAAGCGTGGAGGTTTAGCCTCCAGAAGAACGGACAGGCTGGAGAGGTAGCAGTGTACTGATAGCACTGTGGCGCAGGGCGTTCTTTATCGAAAGTGGTGAGGGGGCTAGGAGGCTGCATGGAATAGAAATATTTTGGGGTTTAGCGTGTGGGTTACGACCATTGTTTTGGCGGCTTGCAGGTCATTGGCTCGCTGGTTTACATCCATGAAGGGGTTTGGTCCCTGTGGCTTTCAGCGAGTAATCATGTTGGCTAATTTGCTCAGCACCATGCTTGCGCACGGGGAGACGTATGAAAATTATGCTGGTATTGGGCAATGCTGGGCTATTTCAGTCGTCCCATACCAGACACTTTCTGAAAATACCCGATTTGTGAAGTATGGTATAAAAATATACCATCTGGCAACGCCATCGTGTGCACATGGAAAATGTCACCAGCATTAACCATCGTAAACATTGCATCAAATGATCCAATGGTCATCCTTGCGGTTGTCCTGTGGCTTTAAGTTCACCCAGCGTGGACACCCGGAAAAGAAGAAGATCGAATGATCAACTAGAGCCCACAAAATTGGAGAGTTATACGCCAATATCTTGTTCAGGGAAATATATTGCTGTAGGCAGATCAAGAAACAATGTATTTCAAAGTAAAATGACATTTTGGTACCCATAAGAAATGTTAGATCACTGTTTCGCAAGCTAAACATGAAAACATCATCAAGGTGCCTAGGGAACAGTACTGGGCCACTGGCCGTCAGTTCATCCACCACTTGCACTGTCCACGCTACTGGACTCGTGTATAGTGAGGGGTTCAGCCGCTTCTGTGGCAAGTGCCCGAGAACGGCCCTAGGTGCTTGTGCAAGGGGACAGTGCTGGCGGCCAGTAGATCCGGCAAATGTCGGCCGCTTGTTGACTATCCCGCAAGTAAGCCTGCACACGAGGACAGTATATCGGTGCCGATAGGCGATAGCTTCTCGTTCGCGCCCGCCAGTGCGTCGTTAGAAGCCGTCGAGTGAGGTCTCTAAAAATGTATAGTGGGATAACCATCAACAACTCGAGTCTGCACGTTTTTTTATACTCTTTATTCTACCCTTTAATAAAATGTATAAAAAAAAAATTTAAAGACCACGTTTTTCATGTGGACTCAAAAGTAGAAAATAATTTTTCGGCCGCTACTGATCTCTGTTTGCTTTCATTCTCTTGGTCTTTTGTATTTCAGTTAAAATATTTTACAACATCTAAAACGAAAAACGTGGGGCGCATATGTATTTAATTGTTTGGTGATTACTTGATATGATGTTGAGCTTCCCTAAAAGTTTCAGAGCGCTAGCTAATGGGAAAGTTGGTGAAATATCGATTGCAAGATTTGATCATCACAGACACGAAAGCGAGGTAAGAAAAACGTGGTAATAAAAATGCAACGTCAGGAACAACTAAAACCTGACTAGTAAGGTCTTCTTTCAGTTTCAAAATACTCGTTTATCTCTTCATTTTGTTGGGGTAACCAGCATGGCAAACATTCCACGTTGATTCATGTTTTTAGAATATCTCAAAGAACAATTGAATATCGTCTGGACTCCACTTTGTTGGTTCTTCTTAGAACCATTATCGTTCAAACAAGCCATGATTCACTTGACCCAAGATGCTTCACAAGAGCGAAACAAATACTCTCACCATGGCTGCATCAGCGCTACTGTCCGCTTCTCCAATCTCCAGTGAAGACAACAACACATCGTGGTTCCTCTCGGCCGCTTCTCGGGCACATGCCTCTGAAGCTGCTGAACATACGCGAGGACAGTAGCGTGGACAGTTCAAGCGGCGGATGAACTGGCGGCCAGTACTGTCCTTGTGTACAGGCACCTTAATTAGGTTCTAATGAATTACGTGTACCAAGTTTCATCGAGCTGCGTTGATTAGTTTGGGAGATATTCCTTGATCACTGAAATTGGGAGACCGGCCGAATAGTAGTTCAACCATGGTTTACGGGAGCTGATGGAAGAATTCACTTTAGTCTTGCTTTTTGATGTATGGTGCTATTACTTCTGTAACATTAAACAATTCACCATATATTTCCATGTTCTTACGTAAGAAATCATGACTATATGAGCTATATGATGGTTCCAATTGTAATTTCCGCAAAAACTTTACATTGGAGTTTCCTTCTCTCCCGTAATCAATGTCACAGTAATTGATAATAAATATCATTGCGGCTATCATATAACATATTGATTTTGATTTTAAGGATTCATGCCAAAATTCTGTTATTTATCTACGAATTTTTGTAGAAACATTGTTCGGAAAAAAAGTTCTGAACAAGTTTTTAAAATAAATTTGCTTCATTAATTGTGGTTGAAAATGGAACTGGAATAAATTGTGTGGAAGCAATCAGGAGAAAGTGTTAAAATGATTATTTTTAGAAAAAGATTTCTGATAGCAAGTTTGAATACCATCCAATAACGAGTCAGAGTTTCATTGTTCATAGTGAAAATCCTTTAAAAGAAATTGGTAACAAAGAGGGAAATAAAATACAAGTTACATGTATCACCAAAGACTGGTTCGGGGGCACGGAGCGTAGCGACTCACGCGCGTGTAGCGCCCATAGGCTTGACCAGGCCATTGTTAGATACGCTCCGCTTGTTACCCTTTTGCCTGTACGAGCATATTTTTTCTGTTCAAACTTGTCTAGCTCAAAAACGGCTGAACCGATTTTCTTTTTGTCTACTTCGACAAACTATTTGGGGGAAACTAAGGTTAGGTTAATTCGACTCCAGGATGTCTTAATAATGAAAATTTGACCCTGTTACACGCAGTTTGAGGTTGGGTCCTTGACGCCAAGTCCCACCTTAATGTAAGACGCTGCTTGAGCACATTGAATGAGACATCGTGGGATGTAAGATGGTTTAGTTTATTGATATTTATATTAAAATGTAGGGGGTAAGGGAACATTCTGGATCATTTTTTATTCAAATGTCAATAATCAGCTAACGTTTGGAGATGATGTGTCTTGCTCATGTAATGTTTGCTTATTATAATATGTGGATCAAAATGACCCCCTGCAATGTAACGCAGAAGTTAAATGGCTAACGCTGGAAGAAAGCTGGTCACGTACGAAGTCGCTGTCATCAAACATTCTGAAAAGAATGGCACAGTCGACTAGAATTAACTTTCATCATCGCAGGCAGATAGTCTCACGCAATAACCATTGGTCGTAGCCAGTTAGCTGGTCATTGCATGGCTAGAATCGCGGCAAACAGTATCTCGCTCCCGCCGGTTGCGCACATCAGACTGCATGATGGGAGACTACGCCAACGTCTTCATTGTTGTGGCTGCAGCTGCTCGACGCTGTCCGAAGTGTCGGCAGTAATCACAATATTTTGCTCTAAAAATTTTATTGTCACTATTTGAACTTGCGTGACAGTCCTCGCCGTGAACCTCGCTTCGGATGGCACGGTCAGGAACCACACTGAGAGCCCTTCTTAAGTTTTTCCTCTTAATGATAACACAAAAGTGTCATTGATATTCCCAACGTCTCAACTTAACAAAGTCATCAAATGTTTCTATGCAATCAGTTTTATAGGCATTTCCTGTGTATTTAAGATATAATGATGGTGAATGGCGATCGAGATTTATTTCAGTGAGACAGTGAAAAATGTGACTGTCGAAGCGAAATTGATATCAAGGGCGACCACATATAATAATCAGCGTATCTCGAGAAACTAATTCCTTCAAACAATGTTAATATTCAAATATTTATCATTAAAACTTCCCAGACTGTATTATTTTTACTGAATCATTCGTCAACACTCTTTTCTATATACTCATGCTGTCATGCGCTCCACGCAGCCTACGGCTCCGCTCTATTTGTGAGGTCAGTATGAACGAATGAAAAGAAATGGCCGATATAATTTTATACGTCTTAATAGGTTAACATTCTCGTTTCTCTACTGGTCTGTTGATGTACGAGTAAGTAAGGCGGATATGGCAGACTTACCCAATCCAAAATATCCTAACCTAACCCTCCTTTCTTCCCCATTAATGGCAACCCTTCCTACCAGGTAGCTACCTGAGAGGGCCCCAAGTAGGAGCATCAGCAGGTGAACACCTGCTACGAGCTGTGGACCGCCCGCAACATCTACTTCAGAATCATCCAGGGACCTTCCAACTTCACCTAATGTTGCTACTTGTGTTTTTTTTTTCAAATCGACCAGCTAAGTCACTTTGTTCATAGTTTTTGCAAAAATTACAGCCAGCGGCCGGCCAACACGGTTGTTAGTTCTTCGAGTAATCTGGGGTGGAAGCCTCCTGGTCCACAAAACTTATTGGTATTCAAAGCAGCTAGGCGCATGAGTACCTCTTCTTCTTGGATTTTGAAACGTTTTAACTTTGGGCCAACGTGGCGCTCCTCGAAAGCTGGTACAATTTTCAAGTTCTCATCTGTGAAGATGCTGCTACAGAACTGATTGAGAACAGTAGCCTTGACCTCATCAGGAGATACGTATAAGTTTCAATTCAGAAATAGCGAGGTTTTTAGACTACGAACTAGCGCATACGGAGAGAAGACTTTGGGTTCTTTTCCGTAGTCTTAGCAATAACTATCTAAAAAAAGTCATTCAATAGCATTCTAAAAGTCATGGTAGGACAGCTAGTTTAGCCTGATTTCGTGCTCATAAATTCCAGTTATAATTAACACCAGTACAAGTCTGAATTAATGCTTGTATAGGCTCGTTATTGATCTTTTACTTAACTAAAACCGCACTAATCCTTCTCTGTGTCTTTTTGCCTCTCCCCAGACAAATTTAAGGGTCATTTTTATTAACTGCAGTCAAAACCGTGTCATTAAGGAAAGATCACGGCTCTTCCGAGTTCCTTGTTCCTAATACAGTCGGAAATATTCGTTGCACTCACATTTTCACGGAGTTTAACAAGTCACATTTTTCAAAGTCCAAACGCTCACGCTTCCGAGACTTCTTTTTTGTATGGAACAAGAAGACTTGTGGTGGCTTTTGCCCAACAGAGCCTCGTAATAAAGCTCATTTAACATTGATTCTTCACTTGTAAACACTATTTCTATAATGTCATTGTTGGAGGCAGGATGAATAAGCAATTCCCTATATCATACCGTTTTTATTTCGGGATTTATGGCTTCCTTATAAACTATTTTAATATACCGGTCAATGAAGAGAAGGTGATTGGTAAAATGAGCTTTGGGATGGTAGGTCAATTTCAATCTCTTTGTTTCGTCGATCAAGTTGATGTCCATATATTCCTTGCTACCTCTCACCACCAGCATCTGCGCGAGTAACAGATATCGCAAAGTTGAGAACAAATTCCATTAGTGAAAGTTTATTTGTGAGAAAAAAAAGCATTCTTATTTTGAAATGTGAGTTTTCCTAATGAAAATATCATCAGAAAATATCGTTCAGCATATTACGGTTCAATATACATTTACATGATGTTGACAGCAGAGCTGTCTGTATTGGGGAGCTGAATTTTTTCATTCTAATGATAACCAAATGAGATAATTATTGTTTGTAGTTCTCCCAAAGGAATTTCAATTGTTCTTAAACTAACTGTGCTCATGTGATAACTATAAAATTTGATTGTAGCAATTGCTAAATTATAATTCAATTTGTATTTCTTTCAAATTTTACTGGGATTCAGTGGTGTTCGATAAGGAAATATCGCTCACACAATCAAGATGCTGATTAGCTGCCGTTTTATTGAGAAAATTTAAAAAGATGAAGTAAGTAACGTAGAGCATTGTATTTTTTGCCCCAACTTAATATCTTGCTATTGTTTGGATGGGTAACCTGCAATGTTAACGAACCCAAGCGAGGTATAGATTTTATAACACCAACATAAGATAAAAAATAAAATTGATTTAAATGCGTTGAATGTACATTGTAGAGCTGGTATCGCAGCTAATTTTTTGCGCATTTTCTCATTTATGGAAAAAATGCACTATTGTGCTCGCCATGTCCGTCTGTCCCTCCGTCTGTCTGTCCGTGAATTCACGTTTTCGTCGACGAGAAATGTGCTCTCTGTCACTCACTGCAGTGAGTACTGAGTTAGATTTTTTTAATGTGTTGAGTCAACAGTACTTGCCATTGGTTACTGATTGGCTGCTTTTGATTAAAATTTTTTATGTAGCCTACATGAAGAATGCCCTGAAATCACCGTAATATTTTTTTCTTAACTTCTGATGTAGTTATTCACCACTTAAAATAAGCAAAAGCGTATAATTTCTGATATAATCATAATATCACCGCACAAAATTTGTCACGGGTAATCATATTCAAAACGACAAGCTATCAGTAGACGATGGGACTAACCGTTATCTGAACACCGTTTAGAGAACTGAGCATGTCAGCTGCCCCATGGGCGTCAATGACGAGTAGACTGAGTTGCGGCCACCTCTGCTTGAGTATCTTGCTAGTATATGCGTGGATGAGGGAGTTTAATGTCAGGCATTGCACTGAGTAGAGTTCTCCATCGCCTCGATCCTGCACATCAAGCAATGGTAATTAAAATTTTGTTTTTTATGCAATAAACTTGTTATGCAAATATTGTTTAAAAGGGTTCAAGCGATTAATGACAGACTATCAAGCGATTAATGACAGACTATAGGATTAATGAACGTGGATTATGGATAATTAAACTAATCAAGACAATTTCCAAAATTATGTTTGAAAAACTTTATGGCCGCCTTTAGTTCAAGTTATCGGCTGCTTGTACCCAGCGATATTATTGATTTTAGTTCTATTTTACTAAGTGATGGTGCTTATTCAATTTATTTTCATCACACTTAGTACGATTAAGTTCACAGAAGTGGATATAGCGGCTCAAGTACCAGACCTCGCTCGTGACGTGATCGAGGAGTGTGGCCGAGGCGTAGTTGATCTTTTGCAGAATCTCTGACAAGTCAGAATTTCGAGGCTCCCAGAAAAATTTCTGTAGATGAAATCATACAGAAACCTTTATAAACCGGTATAAGATTAGGGATAAAGTACAATTAAAATTGTGTCACATAAGGAAGAATTGAGCTCGTCCTGAGACATCGTATCTTTTAAATGATGCATACATAAAAATCCTACCACATTTTGCACAAAAAAACGTTCATTAGTGTGATATCTTGTCGTGATTTATTCACTAAAAACATGCGTCTTAACCTCGATTAAAGACTCAAATTTCACTGTCTTTGCCTCCTGTAGATATGATATGTCACGTCAGTGTTTATCATAATAATGCATACTAATAAAGTGAATATTTCGATCCACCAATCAAGAGTCTCAAGACCGACACTATCAAGTCACCTTATAGGAAGGTGTGCCAGATTCATTGCCTCAAAACGGTCTCTATCACACAACGGTTCACGTCATTATGTACAACATGAATGTCGGTAAATAATTTTTTAATAAACGAAAAAATACTACATGATTTCATTATACACCCACAAATGCCTTATCCGCGATTGTATGAGCCCGAATGGAAGTAGAATCTTCAATATAAATGCATTATCTTACACTATTCAGCGAGGCAATCCAGACATGCTGCCCCATTGCGCTTCCCCAACAAAATTCAGAGTCGTCCCAGCTACTGGTAAGTCAAATCAGAATCTGCCGCGTCTGTAAATTTTCACTGGGTTTGTGCTCACCTTTCCATGCAAGTTCTCGACCGCAACGCACACGTTGGCGCCGGCAGCCTTGCGCGTGCGGCGCGCCTGCTGGTACACAGTCGGCCGAGGCTCGATTAGCAGCCCCTGCCAGCCCAGCACCACCTCCAGCTGGCTCGAGAAGGAGAACAGCTCTCCGTCGCCTGAGCCAACTTCCACGTACGTCCCATTATCCTTCATAATAATAATAATACAGGAGAAAATTTAGCTTAGCCTCTTTATGATTGCATTGCTGCTATATCCGATAATTTTGTGATATTAGCATTCCCTAGCGACTATGTTCTAGAATCACCTGCAGTTAGGAATAAGGCGCATAACTTTATTGTGGACAAATGTTTGCTAAATGGTTTACGGTTTTCTATTATTTTGCAGTGGAATGATACCACAACCATAAATATATTATGATACCTCAACCATAAACCTACTGGAATAATACGCTATAAATATTGGGTAGAATTACTCTCTTGCTTGACAAGTTTAATTTCAACCAACTGGGGAGAAAATTACGTCGGTCCTATCATCGCTATAGTAGAGTGCTCTTGAAATATAATGTTGCTATATGAACACTATGGATGTAGATGCCGTTCATTGCGTGCAAATGTATTTCTTGCCTTAATTTTTACTGTACCTCCAATTAAGATCATCACAATCACGTGTTTAAATGGAAACGTGTAGAAAAATTTGACTAGAAAATTCGCATTCTTGTATGCAAATTTATAGTTATTTCTACTTCGTGCCGCCACTCACTATTCCATTGACAATGTCTCTGATGGTGGTCATGACTGAGTACCAAGGCCCGATGTCCTTCCACTCGGGCGTCTCCACCATGTCCAGGGTCAGGGGCTCCACAGGCTCACTCTGGGGCGGGTCCAAGACTTGGTCTTTGATGTACTGGATGAACATCGCGTCGTCGGGGCTCAAGGGTTTCTTCATTAGATCTTCTTCACATGCTGGCCATGAATGTCAAATAATTTGAATTTAAAATTATACGAGTTTATTTGCATTAATACGAGTTGATAGTTTGCAATAATGTATGATGATGGTGAACAGAAAAATAAGATACATCAGCAATAAATTTATATGAAATACAATCAATTTTGTATTAGTTTGCTATCTATTTACAGTGGACGAGTGCTACACAGATTTATACTGTTCATAATATTCCAGAGAGATTCTATAATGTACTGAAATAAATTTAAGATTCAGACTGTGAGCGTTTAAGGAGATTATTTAATTTTACTTTTCATTCTCCGATTATAAAATCAATACTCTTACCTGCTTTCCTAAATAATTTTAGAACAATAATTTATTATGCTCGCATCATTACGTCGTAGTACTTATATCCGATCAACATCGTTTAGCGTTGTATTTTCTATATGTATATATTCAATAATCATCGCTAATGGTTCAATTTGAGTACCACCATTTCCCATATGAAGCAAGGTATTATCCTTATGGTGAAGAGAAAACTCTAAAATGAAAAGATTAGCACGATATTCACTCTCTTCCTCCAAAATTCTCAGCACAGAAGTAGCGTAAACCAAACATAAAAGCCGTGCCAATGAAAGGCTTGCACCCACCCTCAATTAGAATAGAAGTGTCAGCACTGAAGAAATAGGCCCATGGCCTGTTGCCGATTCGTGTACTTTTCGTGACTTGATTTACAAGGGATCCGGTCTTTGGAACCTGATCTTTCCATAGCTGACGATTGATTGAGATAGCTGCTGGACTTATTGCCTTATTATTATTTTACCTTGATTACGTACATCTTTCACACAGCTCTCCCAGATCTGGAGCAGACACGGCCGACAGAGCTAGGAGAGCGAGCAAGCACAAGGTTATGGACGCTGCATTCTTCTGGACCCTGGCACACCTTCTCCTCCACATCTTCAGCAGGATGGAGAGAGGGCTCTTCCGTGGACTTACTTTGTCTCTATGCTTTGTCGTATGCGATGCAATCGTCATTGTATTACGTTGCTCTAGTCTAGTCAGTCTAGTGGGTTCTGCATTCGATATACGTATGAGGTGCTAGTGCACAGGATTATAAATATGTCTTCGATTTCAATGTTCTATAAATCGAAACTGTCATGTCTTTGAGAGTCTTTTTATTTTTTTGTTTTCGCTACGAGTAAGTTTTTGAGGCACCAATGAAAATGTAATAAATTTATCTGATTCTTCATTGCAAACACTATATCACATCAAATATAGTTTGGAACGTCATTGAGGTAGTAAACTCGAATCACGAAGTCGAAACTATGAAACACTTTCCTTCACAGCAATTTGCTCACAATTTCATAGTAGATGCAAGATGTGCAACGTTGGATCCAGGAAAATCGATCTAAAATTGTTCGAACGTTTTTGGCATCAACTTCAGGTGTTTTTTTTTTGTCTAGCTGATATCTATGACAAGTTTCCTCCTAATTCCTATTACTTATTTCCTCCCAATTTTTACGAATTGTTTCCTTCTGACTTTGTTCATGCCTCGGATGTAGATGTATTTTGTTCAATTGTTTTCGATGTTGGAGACTGACCGTTGTGGTTGTAGGGTATATATACAGCAATCCCTTTTTACTCCTCAGATCGAATCCCGCTGGTGGAGTTTTCAGTTTTTCATCTATTTTTACTTCATGGGTTTTTAGCTTTATTTATATCGCGCGTTCATGCTAAATTGTGGATTTTTGAGAAATGGATAAATGTGTTGAATTTTACCAGTAAAATTATTTTGAAACCTAATTGATTTAGAGCCTTCACATTGATGTATACAAGGGGATTCATCAAGTAATTGCATTGATACGAAAAAATGATTTTGGCTTCTAATCATTGTCAATCATATTGAAAGCAATTGAGTCAACCGTGTTTAGATGAAAATGAGCAACGTTTTTCTCATGTAGGAGTACGCCAAGGACTTAACGACGCTTGGAATGCCGAACTGCCCACAAATTTATCACAGATTTCTTATCAAACGACGAAATCTTGTGAGAAATCAAGAACATATTTCACCGGCGATTAGGAGCGAGATATACGCTTACGACCGAGAGTGCAATTTGCCGCCCCACCCAAAAGTAGTTCAGCTTACGCTGATAAATCGCTGTCTCGATAATTGAATTAAATTATATATATAAATATTTTATAATCATTAATTAATTATTTAATTTAAATTATTGATTTATTGAATAATAATTGAATTGTCCCGTCCCGATAATTGAAAGAACCACGTATTCGTGATTTGCATTATCATAAAATTTGTTGACAATTTATTTATTGTTTAACAATTGAATAAACCCACCAATACATTTGTAATTGACTCACTATTTTGAAAATTGTTTGATTTACGTTTCTTTCCATAAAATTTAACTGAAATTTTGTACTAGAAATTTTTGCGGTTGCAGAGATTTTCATCGAAATTTAATTCTCTTCTATCCATGTTTTCAACTTATTTTTATTAGTTGCCTAATTTTATTGAAAAATTCGTAATTTCATCGCCACATCGTGGCAAATAAACATGTTAACTATTATGCGTCATATTGTTGAATTAGTTGGCTACCAATGAAAGTAGTAAAAAACCGGAGAGAGATAATACCATATGACATTTTCTATTTTTTATTAAGTAATATTATTAGTAACATCAGCAAGATTCTTTTATTACATCTGATGTTTTGCTAAAGGAATCAAGTAGAAGGCTCTGTTCGAAACTTCTTTGATGATGATTCCATCCGATGAAGAAAAACGACATTGTTTAAATGATCATCTTCAATACAAAGGAAAATGCCGACCTGAGGGCCAGAATATCACTGAAAACCCGGTCTCGAAAAAAATTTCGAAGAAGAGCCTTCTTTTAAGCAAGGCATTAGTCAGTATTCATTGTATATTATCTGTATTTCGACATAATAATTTTATTCTTTATCAATTGAAATGAAACCAATCTATCAATGCAATGCGAAGGAAAAATATGAATGATATAGGAACCAAACCTACAACATACACATGTCTGCATTTAAGCACATCTTTAGTCGAGTTACCGAATAATTAAGCTAATCAATTCAATTACACGTTATAGAGGAAAGTTTTGCATGTCATCATCTAGTTAGAGCAAAGGCAGAAATGAATTTGACTAGGAAAGCTGTTCGTCAAAGCTGCCAAGTAAATTTTGAATTTTGTACACGGACTTCATTTTTTGTAGAAGAGATCATTCGAAGATAAAGCTTGTTAGTGAGTAGGGGAATATGCTGAGACTTTATTACGTCATTGTACAAGTTTACAATTCTTGGACATGCTCTGAAAGAACACTAATGTCACAAAAAAAACAATAATGTCCTTCGTCACGGACAGTGGAATTTTTCTATATATTTTGCTATTGTAAAAATTATTCGTTTTCACAGTAATTTATGAACTTAGTCAGCGAAAAATTTTTTTGATTACAAATAACCCAAAAGGCTATAAATTTAACGATAAAACAGGTGTACTGAGGCCAAAATGCCTATATCAATGAATCAACTTGCCGTGCCGCAACTAAAAAAATTTAGATTCAATATTTATATAAGCTAATCAACTACAGCCCTATTTCCATGTAGGCTTAATTGCAGTGTTAATATTTCGGGACCTTTTCCGTCCTGGACCTCCTCTAGAAAAAAAGGCGACAGCCATTGCGCGCTTCATGTTGACGAAACCAACAGTCGAGGCCGATGTTGAAGCTGTTGTTCAAATACATTCTTTTTAGGTGCGTCCGGCGCTGAAACGAGCACTGGAAGCGAACCTGGATGTTGCTGCGGTGTAGCAAGCTCTAAGCGGGTCACCACTGTAACCGGGTGGGCAAGAGCACACGGGCTGGTGGTTGCGCACAGTACAGTCGGCGAGTTCGCCACACACGGATCCGGTCTCAGTGAAGCATGCAGACTGAAATACAGGAAACGAACATCAGGTTTAGGTAAAAAATCATAATTTTATTAACATAGTGCATCTGAAGGGTTTCTTGGAGGTTTTTGATAAAATTTAACTGGCATGCTGTTATAACATAACATAACATAACATAACATAACATAACATAACATAACATAACATAAACATAAATATAAACATAAACATAAACATAAACATAAACATAAACATAAACATAAACATAAACATAAACATAAACATAAACATAAACATAAACATAAACATAAACATAACATAACATAACATAACATAACATAACATAACATAACGCTGAAGAGTAAGCCTGATGTGGCCTGTCGCCGATTCTTGAACTTTTCGTGACTTGTTCACAGAAGATCTAAAATCGTGTCATTTGACCGGATCTTTTCATATTCAAAAAGTATGCTGATCTTAAACGATGGAATTCACCCATCAATACCGAACTAAGATGTAATGTTATTGTGAATTAATTACCTGGCAATGGTAAGCATGGCAGGTCTCTTCAGCAGCGCAGTCGTTGGGGCTCTGGCACTCCCCTCGCTGGCACGACACCAGCGGGTTGCCGATGTCCCCGATGGGGCAGGTACACACGGGGCGGCTCTCGCCCGAGCGGTCGTGCCCTGGGGTGCAGTCCGCTCCCGTGCCACAGGGGTTCGGGTTGCAGAGATCAGCTGCCAAGCAGGAAATTAAATTAAAACTTATCTGAAGTGACATAACTCCTGCATGGGGTGCAGTGGCATAAATCTTAAGCCATAAGTGGCATAAATCCTGGGGTGCAGTGGCATAAATCCTAAGCCATAAGTGGTATAAATCCGAGGGTGCAGTCCGCTCCCGTGCCGCAGGGGTTCGGGTTGCAGAGATCAGCTGTCAAGCAGGAAATTAAATTAAAACTTATCTGAAGTGACGTAAATTTCTTTAACGGCCCGGGTCGGTAATTTTTCCTCCATCGTGGCCTGGGACTGCTACGTCCGAAACAAATACTAAGGATACTTAGGTGAACATTTTCGAAAATAGTTTAATTTAAATTGTCATCGATAAGTTTTTCAGTCTTTTATAAATGAGAATAAAAAATGTAATGTATCTAAACAAAATTGAGTTTTAATTAATAGTCTTCTCGAGGTCAAGCATAGAAATATTCAGAAAATTGAATTTATGAAGCCGCTACGATAAAATATGGCCATTATAAGAAAATATACTCGTCTGGATTTTTAAAAATTTTGCAAGAAATTGGAGAAATTGCGGATGGAAATTTCTCATAAAGTGGTCACTACGCTAAAAAAACTGCAATTCTGAAAATGTATTAAATTAACAGTAAAGGGAAACTTTCAAGCTGCAATTTGAAGTAATATTCTCTAGCTACCTTAAATTAATAAATTAATATTGGTTCTTCCGACTTCAAAAAATGCGGAGAGATCGTCAATTTCATAAAAAATATCATATTTTAGCTCTTGGCATAGCAAGGGTTGATGCTATATATGGATGGACGGGCAGATGATTGGAGATATTCAGCGGTATGATTACGTATATAGCCTTATATATAAACTAGAGGACATTAGCTCGGTTTCTTTGGAAGGAAATATAAAGTGATCATACTTGGTAATTATCCCGCAAAAAGGTTAAAAAAGATCCTATCTGCCACGACTTGAAATTTCAGCCTAATTTTCTATACTACTACGCCAGCTCGTTCAGTATACTCTGTATCAGTCCCATACCAACACTCGAGAGAGGTTATACTTTAGAATTATTGTTAGAGACAAATACAGTAAAAACTCTTCTGAATGAGTCAAATGCATTGCCCTAGTCTCTCCATCATGGAAAATGAATTTGTATTAATCTAGACTGAAAAGAAAAATCCGCACAAGCCACACTTCAATAAATCTGTCTCCTATGAAACTAACGTTTGAAGCTAATACAGAGACACGTGTAGACAGTGAATTAAACTCCTATACCTTTAGTGAACGGTCTGCAGTGAACCCTACCTTAATTCAGTGAAAAACGGTCTGCAGTGAACTCCTACCTTCAGTGAAAAACGGTCTGCAGTGAACCCTACCTTCAGTGAAAAACGGTCTGCAGTGAACTCCTGCCTTCAGTGAAAAACGGTCTGCAGTGAACCCTACCTTCAGTGAAAAACGGTCTGCAGTGAACTCCTACCTTCAGGGAAAAACGGTCTGCAGTGAACTCCTACCTTCAGTGAAAGGCCTGCAGGACTCGAAGGGATGGCCAGTGAAGCCCTTGGGGCAGGAGCAGATGGGTTTGTGGTTCTCAACCTTACAGTCAGCGCCAGTACCGCAAGCCCCCACGCAAGGGTCGATGCACCTAAGCTCGAAACATGCTTGCGAGCTGGAGCAGTCGTCGTGCTCCGTGCACTCGGCGAAGCACCTACGTGAACACCAGCGTTATATAAGTGGTATTAAAATTAATACCACTTAATATTGATAATATTAATTGGTTGGTCATTAAAAAATATCAATGAGTACGGTAGTATTGCATCTGTCTTGTGCCAGTACCAGGAGAATGGTCTTCATTGTCTAGCCCTACATTGCCTTCATGAGCAGCAAGAAAACAATGAATACAGACGTCCCAAAACGCTGACAGCAATATAGGGGTTGCGTTAAAAGTGGTAATTAAATATTCTCGATTCCCATAACTATTAGGAGACTTCAAACCTTTTACGATAAATAAGACATGAAGATAATCGACACCAGGTTGTTCGCATTGAAAAGTTTGTTATATGTTCACGCAACTGACACATTCTTCTGAGCTAAAGTAACTTTCTCCAACCTGTTGTCTCTGTACGCACCTGCTGTGTGGGTCTCCTTGGAAGAACTGCGGGCACGTGCAGGTCACTCGGTTGTTGCGCACATCACAGTAGGAGTTCTCACCACAAGCGTTGTAAGCGCAAGGATTGACACAGCGGTTATCGCGACAGGTTCTGTCACCGGGACAGTCGCGGTCTGACACGCACTCGGCCCGACATCCTTCAAGAGGGTTCCCGATGTAGTTGTCGATGCAGGAGCACACAGCTCGGTCGTTCTCGACGCGGCAATTGGTGTTGGCACCGCAGGGTGAGGGTTGGCACAGCTCCTCTGGCAATCAAGAAACCCGCTTTTCATACTAAAAAATTTCGTTACAACAAAAAATTAAATTTAACAAAACCGGGAAACGACCATAGGTCATTCTAAACTTAAATTTAATAATAATTTTTTAATCTCCTGTCATTTCGGTAATTTCCTACAAATATTGACACCAAAATGTGTGCTTCATCTTGATTTGGAAGCGTCAACTCACGAGGGTCGAAGCGCCTGCAGGCGACAAAAGGATCTCCAGTGAATCCGCGTCCGCAGGAGCACACGGGTTGGTGGTTCCTGACGGTGCATTCGGACCCGCGACCGCAGATGTCGGGGATGGTGCACGGGTTGATGCACTTCTGCTGCTGGCATGCCTGGTTCGTGGGGCACTCGCTCGATTCTGAAGGCGAAAATTCGCGTGATAACGTGGGTATCAACGTGGGTATCACCGTGTGTATCAACGTTGGTTTCATCAGCAAATCAGGGATTTCATCAGGTATACAAATCATCAGGTATACTCGTACGAGTATAAGCATGCTAGATTTTGAAAACTTTAATAAGGGATGATTTAGAATGGCTACGCGAACATTTTTTCGAGTTTAATATTAGATAAATAAAGCATCGCCCTAAAGAATACGCTTCCATTAACGCAAACGACGAAGGTAACTTTATGTATAATCAGAATTTTCTTAACAATCTTTTATCTTTCCGATAGAAAGACTAAATGCAAGACAGAGACGAAAATTGACAGGACAATATAGAGAATTTTAGAGAATCCCTTCGCACGTTAAACGACATAATCAACTTGTTCTTTGATGAGACAACGGCGTCAAGTTGTGTCAAGAAAACTAAATTCTGAAAACTACCTGGTTTCTTGGAGTGAAAACTCTAAGAAACCAGAAACGAAAATCATATCTTGAAATTATCCTAAAATATACCGAAAAAATCCCGTAAAAACTCAAAAAGACCTTAAACATCAGAGGCTCGGCCACCGAACTATTTGGAATTTCGCGATGAAAATATGAACGTATTTATGCCATAACTAATTATGAGATCCATAATAATATTAGAATACATTAATAATAACAATGAATAACAATAATAATATCCGACCATGACTACATAGTTATAATTTTAGTCAGGATAATCGCAGACCATGCTGACTAATAATGACTAAATAATAATAATTGAATTCATGATAAATGCAGACCGTACTGACCTATAATGACTACATAATAATAATTATAGTCATGATAATCGCCGACCGTACCCTAGTGCGTACTGACCGACACACTCGACCCTAGTGCCTACTGACCGACACACTCGACCCTAGTGCGTACTGACCGACACACTCGACCCTAGTGCCTACTGACCGACACACTCGACCCTAGTGCGTACTGACCGACACACTCGACCCTAGTGCCTACTGACCGACACACTCAACCCTAGTGCCTACTGACCGACACATTCGACCCTAGTGCAGCGGGTGAGAGGGTCGCCCTCGTATGCGTAAGGGCAGGTGCACACCGCGCGTCCGTCTCGCTCACGGCACTCAGCGCCATCACCGCAGGGGCTGGGGAAGCATGGGTCCGGAGGGGGCGCCGGGGGGTTCGCACGCACCACGGGCACTGCGCAACACAGGCATAAACGAATGAATGAATATTTTATATTAAAAAACCATAAAGAGAAATTATGATAATATAGTTAAATGACCTAGCGACTTTTAAAAGAGTCATCGCAAAATTGATGACGATTGCACAATACAGGCATCAACAAATTAATTTTTGATTTTAAAAAGCTATAAAGAGAAATTATGATAATTTAGTTAAATGACCTAGCGACCATTATATGATTTATCGTAAAATTGATGACGATTCGAAGAAGCATATTTATTCATCTGCACCAAATTATGATAATAATATCGTTTTGTATCCAGTTGTTTACAAATTTCTCTATAATTAGCTATGAAATATTCACACTTTGTGCGGTCCAGTGAGAAAATATCTTCTATTTGAAACCAAGCAATAAATATAATGGTCCAGAAAATATTTTTGTTGGAAAAAGTAGAACCAATGATCATAACAGACGATTTAAGCCATATTTATTCAGGAACAAGCCCCGTAACTCACAGTTCTTGTTGCAGCTGACTTCAGGCTTTATTATTAGTCTTACAAGCCGAGTGCAAACATCAAAAATCATGGTCCAGAAACCATTTTTGTAAGAAAAGTTGCACCAATGAACATACCGTACAGTTTTAGCTACATTTATTGAAGAACAAGCCCCGCAACTCACAGTTCTTGTTGCAGCTAACTTCAGGCGAGCCGGCGTAGCCCTTAGGACACGTGCACACCGCCCTGTGATTGCGGGCGTCGCAGTCCGCGTTGAGACCACACGCTCCGGGCACACACACGCGCTCACATTTGGTCTGGCGACAGCGGTAGTCGTCCGGACACTCGAAGTCGCTGTTGCATGAGGTAAAAATATATTTTTTATTAGTTATAATATTATTAATATAATATTTATATTAAATTATCAAGTGTTGCTCTGACTCGAGGTCTCTCGTACGTATGAAATTAATCGTGAATATCGTTGTATGATTGCATATAATCGGGTAATACACGTTAATATTGGTTGAGAAAATGTCCGAAAGCTGTTCGTCCAATACCAGGTATAATAACCGCGCGATGATGAATCACTGCAAGCCCTCCTACTAGAGTAGAACTGGTACTCTACTCAAAGAGAGAGGACCGATCATGATAGACTACAAATCATCGAGACATTATATATGAGATTTTTTCCCATCAGATCCCTTATCATTCCTCTTTCTATGCTTGCCTGATATAATGAGGCTTGCAGCCGTTGATGATCTCACCTGACACACTGAGGCTTGCAGCCGTTGATGGTCTCACCTGACACACTGAGGCTTGCAGCCGTTGATGGTCTCACCTGACACACTGAGGCTTGCAGCCGTTGATGGTCTCACCTGACACACTGAGGCTTGCAGCCGTTGATGGTGTTGCCGTCAGGCACGAAGTTATCCAGACACTTGCACTGGGCGATGCCCCGAGCATTGACGCTGCAGCTGGTGTTGGGGCCGCACGGCGTTGGGCGGCATGGGTCTCCGGATCCAGAGGCTGCTGTGATAAATTAGCTAGAAAAACTAAGCTTGCGAATAATAAAAAAGCTAAGCTTGCGATTCTCAAAAAAACTAAGCTTGCGATTCTTAAAAAAACTAAGCTTGCGATTCATAAAAAAACTAAGCTTGCGATTCATAAAAAACTAAGCTTTCGTTTGATTTTGGCAGGCTAAATACTGATTTGGTTCTCTCAACTACCAAAAGTGGTACTGCTCATCGCTCAGTAACGATTCCTATCGTTGAATAACCTAGGGTTATATAAATTCATAAACAAGTGCTGAGTCGACTATAATCTGCAACATTAATAATCATTTGAATAGAATAGGTTTATATATTCATCATATAGTATAGAGTCACTGAAATATCTACGAACAGGATTGGCGGAGTCCGACTTGAGACGAAGACCCTCGGATTGGACCAAGTCCTGAAGACCTCACGGGCCCTGACGCAATGCGTGAGTCGGCTGGTGGTGGAGAAACGCAATAAATAGAACGAAATCCCTTATATTTTTCATATTTATTAACAAACCTTATATTTTTCTACAAAACCATTTATTGTTTTCCAGCGAATGCATTTGCAATACTGTAATTACAACAAAATAATCGTGTTTCAAGTTTTGAGGTTCGAATAACTCTGGGTTTACGTGAACGCAAGGCCAGTATTTCAATAAAACGTACGAGAGGAATAATTTGTTAAGACGAATTACGATTGATGAACAAATTTTTTAGATTCAATGAAAGATTTTGGTAGTTGTTCTTGCCCAAATAGATCTTGCACTCTGTTTGATTTTGAATTGACAAACCGAACCTCAATTACAGTATAAGTACAGAATGCAAAACTTATCTGGACGTTTAATTAAAAATAAGAATCAAGTTACTGTTTAAATTTTTAGTTATAAGTTAATTTTCTCCTTAGTTTAATTTTTATTTAAATCTTCGAATATAAAAAAAAGGAAAATAGAAGACTGCCTATTTGTGGTTAACTACAATCACCTACAAACAAAGTTAAATCGTTATCATTGAATCACACGACAGGAAATCAAGGAGCAATCGTTTTCATTGCAAATTTTGAGTTTAAAGATTGGGAGAACTATGAAGAAAAGCAAATTTCAGAATCAATCAATTAACGAGTTGATTACATTAACAAACAGATAAAAGTTAACAAAACACGTTACATGAAAAAAAACAAGTTGATCATTTGAACAAATAAATCATTACGTGGTTAAACAATAGGACAGTTACAAGAACAAGGCCTTATATATTGGGAAAGTCTCTGTCCCGACGATCTGCACTGCAAGCCGTCATTTCTTTGAAATCAGAAACTAATAATAGAATTAAATGCATTGAAGTAACTCATACAACAGCCTTTGATTCTGAGAAATGATTGATAAAAAATAAAAACGTATATTTAAAGGTAAAAACGCTGCAGGTCTAATATATTGCTTGAATGAAGCCATGTCCATTGTAGTCGAGCTGAATAATAAGACATTATAATATTGGAAGAGAACACAAACAGTAAACTAGAAGAAACACTCGGTTAAAGTAGATGTGTAATGACCAGTTAATTAGGGTGGCTCGTAAGATCCAGAATCAACGTTTTGGAAAACAAGTTACGTCACTGAAAATATTTGCAAAAATGAGGATGGGTAAAAGACAGCCCGTATGACTGGTCAAAACACGACATGAACTTCGTTTGAGATTTTTATTCGTTGTACGTAGGAACATGGCGGACATGCACAACAATTGGGATATATTCTTACGGAAGCCAGCAATAGGGCGGATCTGGGACAGAGTTGATGATGGGAATCGAAACGCTGAAAGAGGAAAGATAAAAATATGTGAGTACGGAATTGAACAGGTGAATTAACAATGGACTTCATGCATAACCATGCCAAAGACCTTACAGTATCTAGTCGGTTTCCGCTGGAAGTGGCTGGACACGTGAGAACTTGTTCGCCGGTTTGGAAATATGTTAGTTTCCCCTGCCAATGGCTCACAATCGAACTTTTTTTCCGTTCCGTGATATCGAGTGTATGCGCTAAATCTTAGTGGACACACGCAAGCAGCTGTATGTCGTCGAGTTTTGCAGCTGGCATAACCAATGCATTTTCCATCCGCTGCAATACAGGCATCCAAGCAACTGCCTGACGAACATATCTCGTTGTCTCTGCAGTCCTCGTTGTTTCTGCACCTTGAATACTGATTATTTTGTCTGTTTACCTGTGTTTGACCAAGATTTTCCTGTTTAAATTTAATCTTGGTGTCTGTATTTTCCCGAGATGAGACTTTCTTGGCTGGGTTTAATTTTGATGCTTCATAAAACTTTTTGGATTCGAAAACTGAGGAAGGTTGGCTTGGTACACTCAAATCATTCTTCGAATAATAACTGTAAGATGAAAACTTGGGTGATTCCTTTTCTGGCGAGATAAGCCTTGTGACGCTTCCGTTGGTGGCATGCGGCTTAATTTCCAATACATTTACTTTTGAAGGAGGTAAGTAAGACTGTTGAATTTCCAATTCAGATGCTTTTGACGGAGGTAAGTAAGACTGTTGAATTTCCAATTCAGATGCTTTTGAAGGAGGTAAGTAAGACTGTTGAATTTCCAATTCAGATAATTTTGGTGGAGGGAGGTAAGACTGCTCAAATTTCGATTGAGATTTTTCAGTTGGGATTTGATACGACGACTCGATTTTTAATTCAGACTCCTTTGAGGGAAGTAAGTAAGACTGCTCAATATGTAATTCAGATCCTCTTGAAGAAGGTTTAAAAGACTGGTCAATTTTCAATTCAGAATCTTTCAGAGGCGGTACGTAAGACTGCTTAATTTCAAATTCAGATTTATTTTGAGGTGGCAAGTAGGAGTCTAGCCTAAATTTGTTCTTTTGAAAGTCATAAAATGTATGTGTTCTTGAGTCAGATTTTTGTTGTGAATTCAAGTAGGTTTGCTTCGTTTTCCGTGGCGATTCCTGCATTGAAGTTGTATACGAGTGTTTGGTTTCGTTTGTGAGCGGCGAATTTGTTTTGTGTAATTCCATTTCATTTGCAAACGCGTCTTCCACTAATATCTTGATTTCTTTCTTATTGGGATTCGAATTGGGTATGGTCGTATTAAATTTTCTTCCTACATCGCCAAAATGTGACTGAAAAGCAAAGACAGATAAATCGCTGTCAGTGAAATTGACCTCGTCAGATGATTCCTGAGAATTTTGTGAAAGATTTGGGGTTGAAGAAGATTCTTGATTTATATGCAGCTTTCGCAGGAGCTTAACAATGTTGCTGCTGTGTCTGTCGGCGACTGAAGTAAATGAAGATGCTTCTGATATAGAGGAATTCTGCGAAGCATTTTGGTCTTTTCCATTGTAAGAAAATTTATTGTTTCCTGTGGTCACTTGATGAGATTGTATTTTGTTGAGTTTTATACGAGCGGGAGGATGTGACGGGAACACTCTTTCTTTGTCTTTCGTTGACCAATATATGTCAAAAAATGGATGCGGAGCTAGCTTCGATTCAGTTCCTGTTTCTGCGTTTAGTTGACTTGTTTTACTTTGGATTTTATCCAGCGCTCTTGATCGCAAAAGACCCGTGTCGAAATTAGAGTTCTCTCGTCGAAAACCCCGTTTTCGATTAAAAGTTTCATCTCCATCTAATGAAGGTAAGTCTTCAGGATGTTTTAACGTTTTTCTCATGCTGATTGGGTCTTCATTGAGAGAAGTGTTGTGGCCTTTAGCTAATAAATGTTCAGAATCTCGAGCTGGAGGATGCAGTTGCCTGGTCAAAAATCCTGGATGTCTTCGGCGGGATGAGCTTTCTTGTTGAGCCTTCATAGTTAACTGTTGATTTTCAACATCACCTTTGAATTTTTCGTTTATAAAAGAGCTAGATCGTCGATCTAATTGAGCCCCAAAAGGAGTATGAGCCATCAGAGGAGAATTTGCAAGTCGCTTATCTCTTTTTAACTTATATTCTAGGTCTTCGTGAATGACCTCTGCGCGATGGAGCTGCCTAAATGCTGATTCGGAGGACTCGTAGGCCGCTGAGTTGGAAACAGTGAGCGATCAAAATAAAACAGAAGCAAAGCCATACAAAGGAATATTAACAATCGGTATTTGAGTATCCAGGATGTGATGCCCATGTGCCGACTAAAAAGCAAAGATTACTAACACTCTTTACATCATTAAGGTCGGGTTCACACCATATCTGCCGGGCACGAGCATTCACACCGCCGTGAAAGGTACCTGCCATGCTAATGGTGTGAATGCTTATACGGAAATGCATGAAAAATATTGGACTGGACCACGACTGGCATATGCCTGATACGTGCCTGGCAGTATGATGCACGTACGTAAACCCGGCCTAATGCTGCCAAGGATATCATAAGCTCTGTTTATATCATATTAAGAATAAACCTTTGACTTAAGCGTGGATTGTTAAATTGACATGTACATTACAGATACTATGTAAACATAAATGACGCCCATTTGAAATAGGACTAAAGTGGGACAATAAACATGTGTGCGTTTATGTTGTTGAACATCTGGATGTATTTTTCGAGATTAAAGTCAGTTAGGAGTAAATTTTCAAAATGAAGTTACATTTTCAATTTTCTGTTTACTTAATAAAATAATAAAATTACAGCAATCAATCGCACTCACATGTGGTTCATCATCACTTAGGTTCTATCAAACACCGGATTTATAAGCTTTGATAAGCGAACGTATGTTCAGTGTTGGCTTTAGTATGTTCCTATTTTATAGTATATTACGTATTTATTTTATGTGTGATGGAAAAGCATGAACTCGAAACACTGTAATGTTTTCGTGAGCCGTTTTACACAAATTTTGAATCTCCGAATCCAGTTGAATCATTAGCGAAATATTATCTGCCATGTTCGGCTCAAGTTAGCACCATCAACCAATATATTTTGAATTTAGAGACATGTGTGGCGTCGTTTTCCCTTAGTAAAAAAAACACCCTATACCAGACACAAGGCCGGGGACCTAGTACGTAGAAATCGTACAATTTTGTTAGGTAGCGCCTAATTCTGCCCGCGATTGAAAGGATGACAATTCGATTTGCATAATACATTAAAGTCACCATAATTTTTTCTCTATAGCCTTCCATGGTAGAATATTTATTAATTGAAGGATCTGGCAGAAAATTTAAAATTAAATATTTTAAGCCTAAACAATCATTCATGCCTCCATTGCCAATCCAGTATTAAAAACCAATGCAACGATCGCTACCGTTATTGTAATTAATGCCAACTGCCTCAAGATTCATCATAATGGAAAGGGGAAGTGTACACGTAGACGATGGTGAAGTGTTCGTAGACCATTGTAAAGTAATGTGACAGTTGGATTGTGTTCGTAGACCGTTGTAAAGTAATGTAGACTGTTGGATTGTGTTCGTAGACCGTTGTAATGAGTTGTAGACTGTTGGAAAGTGTTCGTAGACCGTTGGAAAGTGTTCGTAGACCGTTGTAAAGAGATGTAGATTGTTGTAAAGTAATGCGACTCTTGGAAAGTGTTCATAGACCGTTGTAAAGAGATGTAGACTGTTGGAAAGTGATCGTAGACCGTTGGAAAGTGTTCGTAGACCGTTGTAAAGAGATGTAGAGTGTTGGATAGTGTTCGTAGACCATTGGAAAGTAATGTGATTGTTGGATTGTGTTCGTAGACCGTTGGAAAATCATGTAGACTGTTGGATTGTGTTCGTAGACCGTTGGAAAGTCATGTAGACTGTTGGATTGTGTTCGTAGACCGTTGGAAAGTAATGTAGGCTGCTGGAAAGTGCACAGAAATGGTGGAATGAATAACCGGACATATATTACAGTAAATGCGGCGTATCAAAGATACTCACAGTGTTGGGCTACGGCGCTGCCCAAGAGCACCGCCAGGCTCAGGACCACGACGCGCATCTTCGAAATCTGCGACAAAGAAATTCAAGAGATACTTAGTGATGTTTTGGATATAGAATGTTTAAATTATTTATAAATTTATAATAATTACAACATTTTACATGTTATAGTGATTCAGTTATAGTGATTACAAAATTAAATTGCCTTGTGAAGATCCGATGGAATGACTTCTCTCCTTAATTAATTCATTATTGAATGCAAATATACGAACCAAAAAAATTTAAGAGAAATATTGAGAAAATATTGCAGATATGAGTAAAAGATAAACGCTCAGATTGGAGTTATCGCTTGAAATTTATCTTTTGGAGAATTAGATAATCGCTGTGATTGGAGTTATCCAAAATGCAAATTAACAATGCCATTAAATCTTGCAGCTAATTTTGAAATAGAAGTTAGGTAGTGTAATTCCAAACGCGCATGCCGCACGAAATTCCCATTACCTCCCATTTGCAGTTTGAAAGAAATTAAAATTTTTTTACATATTGGATAAAATGAATCTGGTAAATCTAAAAAAAAGGAAACTAAATTTCGGTTCAACTTTGTATAATGCATACAAATGAATTTTTTTGTGCGTGGAAGAAGTTGAGGTATCTTTTGCTTGAAAGTGAGCGAAAAAAATAAAGGTCACATCTTAAAATTTATGAAGAAAAGTTGCATCAAAATTGCACTTCCCTCTATTGATAACATAAAATGCTTTGGGTTTCTTTACTCTATTGATGGAATCTCTGTAAATAAAATACGTTTTAATGCTCATAAATTCTAGCTGCATTGCAAAATTGATTTAAAATAGAAACACAACAAAAATCACCAATACTCTTCTAATTAAGGACAAGCTTTAGCACCTTAGAGATCTTCATATCTGAGGAAATCGACTCGCAATATGGCCGTAAGTCAAATGTCGAGAAGCAGACAAGACAGAAGGAGTAAATGGTGTCAACATTGCAGGAAGTAGACAGGCATGAGCAGGACTGGATTAGGGGCATGAGCAGAGATGGCCCAGAGACTAGGTTAAGGGCCTGAACAGAGATAACCCAAAAACGACAGAGGTGTGGGGCATGTGCAGAGATAGCCCAGAGACGAGGGTGGAGGGCATGGGCAGAGATAACCCAGAGACGAGTAGGAGGCATGGTCAGAGATAACCCAGAGACGGGTGGGGACATGGGCAGAGATAACCCAGAGACGGGTGGGGACATGGGCAGAGATAACCCAGAGACGGGTGGGGACATGGTCGGAGATAACCCAGAGACGGGTATGGACATGGACAGAGATAACCCAGAGACGGGTGGGGACATGGTCAGAGATTATCCAGAGACGGGTGGGGACATGGTCAGAGATAACCCAGAGACGGGTGGGGACATGGTCAGAGATAACCCAGAGACGGGTGGGGACATGGTCAGAGATAACCAGAGATGGAGTAAGGGGCATGGTCAGAGATAACCCAGAGACGGGTGGGGAGGCTTGTGCTTGCTGGTGAGGTCAAGGCGACACGGCGACAGCTGCTCTGCCTCAGCACCAGACATATCAGGCAGCCAGGAGCACTCGTGATGTAAGAGATGGCCGGAGAGTATGGCGCGGAGACATTTATTATATTGTCATCTGTCCATCATCGGCCATACTATCAGAACGACTATAAGTACACGTAGCGGCCTTAATACACGAAGCGTCCTTAGTATACGTAGCGGCCTTAGTACACGTAGCGGCCTTAGTACACGTAGCGGCCCAAGTACACGTAGCGGCCCAAGTAAACGTAGCGGTTTTAGCGCACGTAGTGACCCAAGTACAAATAGCGTCGTCATATGTACACGTAGTGGCCTAAGTACACGTAACGGCCTATAAGTACACGTATATAGCTGCCTAAGTACACGTAGCGGCCTAAGTACACATAGCGGCTGTTTTCTCGCTTCGAATTTCGTTTCCTTGAGTGATTTGCGAACTCTTAATTATTTTGATAGTACGAACATTGAATAATAATTTCAGTGAGAGTGATTTTTGTTGAAAAGATTAAGAGAGCTAATATCACTTAATGTCAGTTGACACAATTAAAACGGGAGTATCGCACTCCCGATAACATTTATTGAAACATTATGTAGTCTATCACATACGGTTCTTTTTCGACAGCACAGTTCTGAATAAATAATTCACATATACGAGGAAGCCGTCTAGTAAGGAAGTAGTTTATTCTAATATTAAACAATTCCGAAGTGGGGCAGACTGAGACGCTTAGCGCTTGTCAAATGATAAGTTAGCACGACGCTAGTATGAAGAATTTGCATTATTTTTTTTTGTGATATATCTGAAGCTTAATTGTTTATACGAAAAAAAATATCTCACGAAAACAGTAATTTATTTAAATCAAACGACTCTTCTGAAATGGCTGTTTAACGATTTTACATATCTACGTTTTTTTTATTTTCTTTATATGTTTAAGTTCACAGAATAATATCGGTTGTTTAAAGCTCTCTGTTTTTATGAGAATATCAAGTTCGAAATCATGAATTCTCGAGTTTTCTTCTATCAATTTCGAGTGAACAGCTCTTATAATCGATCTGTAAGCAATTTTTAATATACTGCAGCGTTGAAAACCGGTGAATATTAGTCTATTTTCATCAGCAGCTGCGGTGACGTTGGTGCACGACGTTTCAGCGTGAAATTAGTGAGTGACGTTTCAGCGTGACGTAAGTGCACGCTGTTAGTGCACGACGTAAGTGCACGACGTTAGTGCATGACGTTTCAGTTTGACATAAATGTGCAACGAACGTTTCAGCGTGACGTTAGAACACGAAGTTTCGGCGCAATGTTAATGCGAGACGTCTCAGCGTGACGTAAGTGCACGACGTTAGTGCACGAGGTAGTGCACGACGTAAGTGCACGACGTAAGTGCACGACGGTAGTGCAAGACGTTAGTGCACGAGGTAGTGCACGACGTTAGTGCACGACGTAAGTGTGCACGACGTAAGTGCACGACGTAAGTGCACGACGTAAGTGCACGACGTAAGTGCACGACGGTAGTGCACGACGTTAGTGCACGACGTAAATGCACGACGTAAGTGCACGACGTAAGTGCACGACGTAAGTGCACGACGTTAGTGCACGACGTAAGTGCACGACGTAAGTGCACGACGTAAGTGCACGACGGTAGTGCACGACGTTAGTGCACGACGTAAGTGCACGACGTAAGTGCACGACGTAAGTGCACGACGGTAGTGCAAGACGTTACTGCTCGACGTTAGTGCACGAGGTAGTGCACGACGTTAGTGCACGACGTTAGTGCACGACGTTACTGCTCGACGTTAATGCAAGACGTAAGTGCACGAAGTTATTTAGCAATAACTCGCAATTTCGCTCGTCGTCATTGTTCAGGCGCTGCCTTTTGACTTTGCCAAGGAGCGGCGCTCCTTGGCAGCAGACGAGATCCTTCAGAAATAACACTCATCGCAAAGGATGGAGCTCGTATTATAAATTTTAAACAATCGTATTTATTAATCTTTAAGAAATAATGCATCGATGCACTTTTTACTCACGTGTGCGTCACCTGGGCCCAGTTTGGCCCTGCAAAAGTGCGTATCAGTGCTACGTATATAACGTGTGGCAATATTCGGACCGTACGTACGACCCATTTATTACACTGAGTGGAGGCAGTTGGCGGGAGGCAAATAATCTGCAGTTTGCATTGTCACTGTTGTGGTTGTGTGGGAAGATCAAACTTTGAAAATTTTCACGTCATCTTTGGCTCATAATATTGGTTGTCACTAAAAAGTTCTGCTCCTAAGTAAAGGTTCTGTTATGAAGCTTAATAAGGTGTAAGCTGCGCTTACATCTTCGGAAAAAGTAAATTCAATAAAATTAATTAAAGATGTGTATGCGAGAAATTCCCGATGCCTCATGCATATTTTTCCTTTCTTTTTTAAATCGTAATTCCGTTTTACCCGATTTAGAGAAAATTTAACCACATATTGCCCTAAAGTCGTAGTGAGTACAATAGTACAATGATCGTACTAAAAACTATGTGCGTTCATTTATCCGTTCTCCCGCCGCCGGTCGTCAGGAGTCTGTATGTTGACTGGGGAGACCGAGTTCGTTTATGGGCATCGCCATTATGAGCTTAGCCTGTTCGCAGAAGCAATGAGTTCACCGTCTATAGGAAATTCCTGCAGAATTACTGCATCGTCCGCAAGCCCGCTATTGCACCCGGAGCGTGGCATGTGCGGACGGTTTCTGCGCGTCTTGTAAGGAGAAACCGTCCGGTCATCGTGCGACGCGCAGCAACGGTAATGTATTCCCGGAAATTGACTTAAAAAAATTGATTTACGGCTTGCGCAAATTTAGTTTCTATGAATAGTGTGTAAGGTTTGTTTGCGATGGTGTGTGCGTAGCTTTTCCTCTATCTATATATTTATTTGTACCGTTTTTAAAGCAGATGAAGGATATTTGTAATGAAATTACTAGAATTTCCGTGGTAGTACTAAAGGGAAAACCCATCTTTATTTTTACCAAGCGTTGCCTTAAAAAAATAATATTGAATAACAGCTCATATAACAATTTATCCTAATCACAGTTTTATTATAAATGCAAAATACATGCGAAATGCAAATCTGAACAAAGGATGTCGCTGCCTTAAAAAATTATAATGGACAAAAAGTCATACAACAATTTATCCTAATCACGGTTTTATTATACATGCAAAATACATGCAAAATGCAAATCTGAACAAAGGATGTCGCCGCCATGATGAGCTGGGGTTAACGCTCCTTCTCAACCCCTCATCGGGTGGCAGGACGCGGAACAGTCGAAGCTGCTACTCCGGTTTGCTCGGCTCGCTGTATTTGGCATTTAAAGCCTAAGGCTGCAATTCTCGAACTCTTCTCGCTGTAAAAATTCTTTTGGCAGCTTGAGAATATTTTTTGCTTAGACGTATATTGACGAAACTTGGAGACTTCAGGGCTCTTATGCGTATGCAGCGTTAGCGCTGTTGTTTGTGAAATCGGTTATCTGAGACATATAAACTCTTT